TCGTGTCTTGAGTCGTGTCTTGAGTCGTGTTTTGAGTCGTGTCTTGAGTCGTGTTTTGAGTCGTGTCTTGAGTCGTGTCTTGAGTCGTGTTTTGAGTCGTGTCTTGAGTCGTGTTTTGAGTCGTGTCTTGAGTCGTGTTTTGAGTCGTGTCTTGAGTCGTGTCTTGAGTCGTGTTTTGAGTCGTGTCTTGAGTCGTGTCTTGAGTCGTGTTTTGAGTCGTGTCTTGAGTCGTGTTTTGAGTCGTGTCTTGAGTCGTGTCTTGAGTCGTGTTTTGAGTCGTGTCTTGAGTCGTGTTTTGAGTCGTGTCTTGAGTCGTGTCTTGAGTCGTGTTTTGAGTCGTGTCTTGAGTCGTGTCTCGAGTCGTGTCTTGAGTCGTGTTTTGAGTCGTGTCTTGAGTCGTGTCTTGAGTCGTGTCTTGAGTCGTGTCTTGAGTCGTGTCTTGAGTCGTATCTTGAGTCGTGTCTTGAGTCGTGTTTTGAATCGTGTCTTGAGTCGTGTCTTGAGTCGTGTCTTGAGTCGTGTCTTGAGTCGTGTCTTGAGTCGTGTCTTGAGTCGTGTCTTGAGTCGTGTCTTGAGTCGTGTTTTGAGTCGTGTCTTGAGTCGTGTCTTGAGTCGTGTCTTGAGTCGTGTCTTGAGTCGTGTTTTGAGTCGTGTCTTGAGTCGTGTTTTGAGTCGTGTCTTGAGTCGTGTCTTGAGTCGTGTTTTGAGTCGTGTCTTGAGTCGTGTTTTGAGTCGTGTCTTGAGTCGTGTCTTGAGTCGTGTTTTGAGTCGTGTCTTGAGTCGTGTTTTGAGTCGTGTCTTGAGTCGTGTTTTGAGTCGTGTCTTGAGTCGTGTCTTGAGTCGTGTTTTGAGTCGTGTCTTGAGTCGTGTCTTGAGTCGTGTTTTGAGTCGTGTCTTGAGTCATGTTTTGAGTCGTGTCTTGAGTCGTGTCTTGAGTCGTGTCTTGAGTCGTGTCTTGAGTCGTGTTTTGAGTCGTGTCTTGAGTCGTGTCTTGAGTCGTGTTTTGAGTCGTGTCTTGAGTCGTGTCTTGAGTCGTGTTTTGAGTCGTGTCTCGAGTCGTGTCTTGAGTCGTGTCTTGAGTCGTGTCTTGAGTCGTGTCTTGAGTCGTGTCTTGAGTCGTGTTTGAGTCGTGTCTTGAGTCGTGTCTTGAGTCGTGTCTTGAGTCGTGTCTTGAGTCGTGTCTTGAGTCGTGTCTTGAGTCGTGTTTTGAGTCGTGTTTTGAGTCGTGTCTTGAGTCGTGTCTTGAGTCGTGTCTTGAGTCGTGTCTTGAGTCGTGTCTTGAGTCGTGTCTTGAGTCGTGTCTTGAGTCGTGTTTGAGTCGTGTCTTGAGTCGTGTCTTGAGTCGTGTCTTGAGTCGTGTCTTGAGTCGTGTCTTGAGTCGTGTCTTGAGTCGTGTTTTGAGTCGTGTCTTGAGTCGTGTCTTGAGTCGTGTCTTGAGTCGTGTCTTGAGTCGTGTCTTGAGTCGTGTCTTGAGTCGTGTTTTGAGTCGTGTCTTGAGTCGTGTCTTGAGTCGTGTCTTGAGTCGTGTCTTGAGTCGTGTCTTGAGTCGTCGTGTTTTGAGTCGTGTCTTGAGTCGTCGTGTTTTGAGTCGTGTCTTGAGTCGTGTCTTGAGTCGTGTCTTGAGTCGTGCTTTGAGTCGTGTCTTGAGTCGTGTCTTGAGTCGTGTCTTGAGTCGTGTCTTGAGTCGTGTTTTGAGTCGTGTCTTGAGTCGTGTTTTGAGTCGTGTCTTGAGTCGTGTTTTGAGTCGTGTCTTGAGTCGTGTCTTGAGTCGTGTTTTGAGTCGTGTCTTGAGTCGTGTCTTGAGTCGTGTTTTGAGTCGTGTCTTGAGTCGTGTTTTGAGTCGTGTCTTGAGTCGTGTCTTGAGTCGTGTTTTGAGTCGTGTCTTGAGTCGTGTTTTGAGTCGTGTCTTGAGTCGTGTCTTGAGTCGTGTTTTGAGTCGTGTCTTGAGTCGTGTCTTGAGTCGTGTCTTGAGTCGTGTTTTGAGTCGTGTCTTGAGTCGTGTCTTGAGTCGTGTCTTGAGTCGTGTCTTGAGTCGTGTCTTGAGTCGTATCTTGAGTCGTGTCTTGAGTCGTGTTTTGAATCGTGTCTTGAGTCGTGTCTTGAGTCGTGTCTTGAGTCGTGTCTTGAGTCGTGTCTTGAGTCGTGTCTTGAGTCGTGTCTTGAGTCGTGTCTTGAGTCGTGTTTTGAGTCGTGTCTTGAGTCGTGTCTTGAGTCGTGTCTTGAGTCGTGTCTTGAGTCGTGTTTTGAGTCGTGTCTTGAGTCGTGTTTTGAGTCGTGTCTTGAGTCGTGTCTTGAGTCGTGTTTTGAGTCGTGTCTTGAGTCGTGTTTTGAGTCGTGTCTTGAGTCGTGTCTTGAGTCGTGTTTTGAGTCGTGTCTTGAGTCGTGTTTTGAGTCGTGTCTTGAGTCGTGTTTTGAGTCGTGTCTTGAGTCGTGTCTTGAGTCGTGTTTTGAGTCGTGTCTTGAGTCGTGTCTTGAGTCGTGTTTTGAGTCGTGTCTTGAGTCATGTTTTGAGTCGTGTCTTGAGTCGTGTCTTGAGTCGTGTCTTGAGTCGTGTCTTGAGTCGTGTTTTGAGTCGTGTCTTGAGTCGTGTCTTGAGTCGTGTTTTGAGTCGTGTCTTGAGTCGTGTCTTGAGTCGTGTTTTGAGTCGTGTCTCGAGTCGTGTCTTGAGTCGTGTCTTGAGTCGTGTCTTGAGTCGTGTCTTGAGTCGTGTCTTGAGTCGTGTTTTGAGTCGTGTCTTGAGTCGTGTCTTGAGTCGTGTCTTGAGTCGTGTCTTGAGTCGTGTCTTGAGTCGTGTCTTGACGTGTTTTGAGTCGTGTTTTGAGTCGTGTCTTGAGTCGTGTCTTGAGTCGTGTCTTGAGTCGTGTCTTGAGTCGTGTCTTGAGTCGTGTCTTGAGTCGTGTCTTGAGTCGTGTCTTGAGTCGTGTTTTGAGTCGTGTCTTGAGTCGTGTCTTGAGTCGTGTCTTGAGTCGTGTCTTGAGTCGTGTCTTGAGTCGTGTCTTGAGTCGTGTTTTGAGTCGTGTCTTGAGTCGTGTCTTGAGTCGTGTCTTGAGTCGTGTTTTGAATCGTGTCTTGAGTCGTGTCTTGAGTCGTGTCTTGAGTCGTGTCTTGAGTCGTGTCTTGAGTCGTGTCTTGAGTCGTGTCTTGAGTCGTGTCTTGAGTCGTGTTTTGAGTCGTGTCTTGAGTCGTGTCTTGAGTCGTGTCTTGAGTCGTGTCTTGAGTCGTGTTTTGAGTCGTGTCTTGAGTCGTGTTTTGAGTCGTGTCTTGAGTCGTGTCTTGAGTCGTGTCTTGAGTCGTGCTTTGAGTCGTGTCTTGAGTCGTGTCTTGAGTCGTGTCTTGAGTCGTGTCTTGAGTCGTGTTTTGAGTCGTGTCTTGAGTCGTGTTTTGAGTCGTGTCTTGAGTCGTGTTTTGAGTCGTGTCTTGAGTCGTGTCTTGAGTCGTGTTTTGAGTCGTGTCTTGAGTCGTGTCTTGAGTCGTGTTTTGAGTCGTGTCTTGAGTCGTGTTTTGAGTCGTGTCTTGAGTCGTGTCTTGAGTCGTGTTTTGAGTCGTGTCTTGAGTCGTGTTTTGAGTCGTGTCTTGAGTCGTGTCTTGAGTCGTGTTTTGAGTCGTGTCTTGAGTCGTGTCTTGAGTCGTGTCTTGAGTCGTGTTTTGAGTCGTGTCTTGAGTCGTGTCTTGAGTCGTGTCTTGAGTCGTGTCTTGAGTCGTGTCTTGAGTCGTATCTTGAGTCGTGTCTTGAGTCGTGTTTTGAATCGTGTCTTGAGTCGTGTCTTGAGTCGTGTCTTGAGTCGTGTCTTGAGTCGTGTCTTGAGTCGTGTCTTGAGTCGTGTCTTGAGTCGTGTCTTGAGTCGTGTTTGAGTCGTGTCTTGAGTCGTGTCTTGAGTCGTGTCTTGAGTCGTGTCTTGAGTCGTGTTTTGAGTCGTGTCTTGAGTCGTGTTTTGAGTCGTGTCTTGAGTCGTGTCTTGAGTCGTGTTTTGAGTCGTGTCTTGAGTCGTGTTTTGAGTCGTGTCTTGAGTCGTGTCTTGAGTCGTGTTTTGAGTCGTGTCTTGAGTCGTGTTTTGAGTCGTGTCTTGAGTCGTGTTTTGAGTCGTGTCTTGAGTCGTGTCTTGAGTCGTGTTTTGAGTCGTGTCTTGAGTCGTGTCTTGAGTCGTGTTTTGAGTCGTGTCTTGAGTCATGTTTTGAGTCGTGTCTTGAGTCGTGTCTTGAGTCGTGTCTTGAGTCGTGTCTTGAGTCGTGTTTTGAGTCGTGTCTTGAGTCGTGTCTTGAGTCGTGTTTTGAGTCGTGTCTTGAGTCGTGTCTTGAGTCGTGTTTTGAGTCGTGTCTCGAGTCGTGTCTTGAGTCGTGTCTTGAGTCGTGTCTTGAGTCGTGTCTTGAGTCGTGTCTTGAGTCGTGTTTTGAGTCGTGTCTTGAGTCGTGTCTTGAGTCGTGTCTTGAGTCGTGTCTTGAGTCGTGTCTTGAGTCGTGTCTTGAGTCGTGTTTTGAGTCGTGTTTTGAGTCGTGTCTTGAGTCGTGTCTTGAGTCGTGTCTTGAGTCGTGTCTTGAGTCGTGTCTTGAGTCGTGTCTTGAGTCGTGTCTTGAGTCGTGTCTTGAGTCGTGTTTTGAGTCGTGTCTTGAGTCGTGTCTTGAGTCGTGTCTTGAGTCGTGTCTTGAGTCGTGTCTTGAGTCGTGTCTTGAGTCGTGTTTTGAGTCGTGTCTTGAGTCGTGTCTTGAGTCGTGTCTTGAGTCGTGTCTTGAGTCGTGTCTTGAGTCGTGTCTTGAGTCGTGTTTTGAGTCGTGTCTTGAGTCGTGTCTTGAGTCGTGTCAGTCGTGTCTTGAGTCGTGTCTTGAGTCGTGTTTTGAGTCGTGTCTTGAGTCGTGTTTTGAGTCGTGTCTTGAGTCGTGTCTTGAGTCGTGTTTTGAGTCGTGTCTTGAGTCGTGTTTTGAGTCGTGTCTTGAGTCGTGTCTTGAGTCGTGTTTTGAGTTGACTCAGCATCGTTTGGTTGGGCTCCGCATCTTAGAAGAGGTCCCTACCTGAGCGACTTGGGCTTCATGGCAATGACATCTTGCATGGCGATAGAGCCCTTGTAGGCGCGCTGCCAGCGGTGCGCCTCATGCGTCATGTTGAAGCAGTTGCGGCAGTCTGTGGCGCTCTGGCGGTTCAGGCACGCGAAGGAGTGGCACCGGTGCTGCTGCCACCGCACGTTGCCGTCCATCAGAGCCTTCTGTGTGAACAGTGCGTCTGGGACTGGCATGGGCTGGGGGCAGATGGGAGGCAAGAGGGATTGCAGGGTTGGGGATGGGAGTGAGCGGAGGGAGGGAAGGGACTGGAGGGATGAAACGGATGGATGGGTGGAGGGATGGGAAAGGGATGAAACGAATCCCCCTCTCCCCTCGCTTCATCCTTGGCAGGGCGTGGCAGGCCTTGCGACGTCTCTCCCCTCTCCCCTCTCCCCTCTCCCCTCTCCCCTCTCCCCTCTCCCCTCTCCCCTCTCCCCTCTCCCGTCTCTCATCTCCCCCCTACCTCCTCCCCCCTCCACATTCCCCCATACCCCCTCCCCCCTCCCCTCTCTCCCCTCTCCCCTTCCCCTCTCCCCCCTACCTCCTCCCCCCTCCCCCCTCCCCCCTCCCCCTACCCCCTCCCCCCTACCTCCTCCCCCCTACCCCCTCCCCCCTACCTCCTCCCCCCTCCCCTCTCCCCCCTCCCCCTTCCCCCCTCTCCCATCTCCGCTCTCCTCCCCTCCCCTCTCACCTCTCTCGCTGCATCCACCGTCGCAGCGGTGCATCGTCTCCTTGGCAGCACGTGGCACGCTTTATCAAACACCTGCCGCTGCAGCAGCAGCAGCAGCAGCAGCATAGAACCAGTCTCCATGTCTCCCCTTACCCCCTCTCTCCTCATCCCACCTCACCTCTCTCGCTGCATCCACAGTCGCAGCGGTCCATCGTCTCTGTGGCAGGGCATGGCACGCCTTGTCAAACACCAGCCGCTGCAGCAGCAGCAGCAGCAGCAGCAGCAGCAGCAGCAGCAGCAGCAGCAGCAGCAGCAGCAGCAGCAGCAGCAGCAGCAGCAGCAGCATAGTACCAGTCGCCGTGCGACATTGTAACGAGACGAATTCTACAAGCAAGCCTCACCTCTCTCGCTTCATCCACAGTCGCAGCGGTGCATCGCCTCTGTGGCAGCGCGTGGCACGCCTTGTCAAACAGACACATACTGGTATCACCTTTGAGAATTCTCTAACCCCTCTCCACCCCCCCTCACCTCTCTCGCTTCATCCACAGTCGCAGCGGTGCACCGTCTCCGCGGCAGCGCATGGCACGCCTTGTCAAACACGAGCCGCTGCACCAGCAGCCAGTCGTCGGGGCACGGCCCGCGGGGGGTGAAGTTGAAGAAGCGCCGCATGTCCGCTGCTGTCGCTGCACAGCGGTAGGCGTGCGGGCCGGTTGCTGCTTCGGATGATGCAGCTGCAGCAGGGGGGTTGTACTGGGCCAGAGCCTGCTTTGCTGCTAGGAGAGCCTGGATGGGGCGGGAGGAGGGGGTTGGTGGGAGGGAAAGGGTCAGGGTGTGGCAGGCCTTATCAAACAGCAGCCGCTTCACCAACACCAGAACCAACTGCACCAGCAGCCAGTCGTCGGGGCACGGCCCGCGGGGGGTGAAGTTGAAGAAGCGCCGCATGTCCGCTGCTGTCGCTGCACAGCGGTAGGCGTGCGGGCCGGTTGCTGCTGGGGATGATGCAGCAGCAGCAGGGGGGTTGTACTGAGATAGAGCTTTCTCCGCTGCTTGCAGAGCCTGGGGAAGGGGGAATGGAGGAAAAGGGGGGAGATCGGAAAACGGGGGAAAAAGGGGGGAATGTTTGAGGGGAAAAGGGCAGGTTGGTGGAAAGAGGGGGGTTTAGGGCATGATAGGCCTTGTCAAACCAGTACGCATGTCCCGCTGCTGTGGCAGCACACCGGTATGTGTGGGGACCGGACCGGACCGGACCGCTTGCTGCTGGGGATGCTCCTGCAGCTGCTGCAGGGGGGTTTTAGTGAGCTAGAGCTTGCCCTGCTGCGACGAGAGCCTGTGGGAAAAAGGGGACAAGTGCGGAAATGGCGGGAGGGGGGTGATGGGAGGGGGCAGGTTGGTGGGGGGTTTTAAGGCGTGGCTGGCTGCAGCAGGTGGGTTGTACTGGGCTAGAGCTTGCTTTTCTCCCTCCCTCCCTCCCTCCCTCCCTCCCTCCCTCCCTTCACACGCACCTCCTGCGACACAGTGTCGTCACTAAAGGCTGCCCGCTCCTTCATCTGGCTCTCCAGGTGCAGATTCTCCGCCTGTAGCCGCGCCACCTCGCGCTGGGGGCAAGCAAGGAGAGGGGCCGGGACGGGAGGGCAGGGAGGAAAGGAGGAAGGATCAGGGGCATAAGAGAGTTCCCTTCATCTGGCTCTCAAGGTGCAGATTCCCTGCCTGTAGCACAAGGAGAGGGGACGCCACCTCGCGCTGGGAGCACAAGGAGAGGGGCCGGGCGGGAATGGAGAGGGCACGGAGGACAAGGGGTCCGGGTGGGGAGGGAGAGGGCACGGAGGACAGGGGGTCCGGGTGGGGAGAGGGGGGGGGGAGTGTATTTCTTTCATCTGGCCTCTCCTTTACAGATTCTCCGCCTGTAGCCGCGCCACCTCACGCTGGGAGCAAGCAAGGAGAGAGGACGGGCGGGAAGGGAGAGGGTAGGGAGGAAGGGAGGCTTTTGAGTCGACTCACATAGCGAGCTGACTTTGAGTCAACTCAAAAAGTCAACTCGCTGGGGGCAAGCAAGGAGAGAGGACGGGCGGGAAGGGAGAGGGCAGGGAGGAAGGGAGGCCGGGGGACGGGGGGGGGGGTGGGAACCGGATTTCATCTGGCTTTCTCTCCAGGTGCAGATTCTCCGCTTGAAGGCACGCCACCTTGCACTGTGTAAGGGGGGGTGGGGCCGGGGGGACGGGGAGGGCGAGGAGGGGAAAAGGGGGAAGGAGGAAGGAGAGCTGCCTTCATGTGGCTCTCCAGTTGACTTTTGAGGCAACAAGAGTCGACTCAAAAGTCAACGTGGCTCTCCACGTGCAGCTTCTCCCCCAACTTACTTCCGTTCCGTGCTACCTTGTGCTGCTGCTGCTGCTGGTGATTTTTTAGCATTCTCTGCTCAGGAGGTTTTGGGGGATTCTTGTAAGCATTCTCGTCTCAGGAGGTTTTGGGGGATTCTTGTAAGCATTCTCGTCTCAGGAGGTTTTCGGGGATTCTTGTAAGCATTCTCGTCTTAGGAGCTTCTCTGCCTGCAGCCGTGCCTGTCTGTGCTGGAGGTATATACACACATATGGGCACACGGGGTGTGAGTGAGTGAGGAGCAGGCGTGAGCGTGGGGTAGAACCTAAACCTTCATAGAGCAGAAGATTCTTTCTTTCTGTGGCTCTGAAACTGCAACTGCAGGTGCACCTCTGCCGCTTCATCCCCTCCCCTTCTCCCTCTCTCCCTCTCTCCTTCTCCCTTCATCTTTTTCCCTCCAACCCCTTCCCCGCTTCTTCCCCCTATCCCCGCCTCTCCCCCTCCGCCTCTCCCCCCCTTTCCCCCCCTCTCACCCGGAGTTCCAGTAGTTCCTTCTCCACCATCGCCGCGCTCACCCCCTCAAACGGATTCCCCCCTTCCGCGGGCTCCGCCCTCCCCCCCGCCGCCTCCCCTTCCGCCTGCCCCTCCGCGCGCGCCTTGGCCGCGCCCAGCAGGCGCGACAGCTGCGCCTCACAGCGCCCCAGCTCCGCGAACAGCCCCGCCGTGCTGGCGGAACTGCGCACGTCCGCGTCGGTGCGCGCAAGGAGAATGTCGCTGGGGAGGGGGAATCGGCGCGGGGGGAGGGGGGGAACCGGCGCGGGCGGAGGGGGAGGGCGTCCGGAAGCGGGAGTCGCGGAGAGGGAAATTTGGCGCGGGAAGCGGATGGAGGAGAGGGAAAGGACGGACGGGGAAGGAGAAGGGGGAGCGGAAGGGGGAAGCGCAGGGCATAAGCGCCAAAGACTTGGCGCATGGCCACATTGGAGGGAGCCTTAGAAGGACGTAGAGCAAAATTGTACATTCTATATCCCACAATATATCCCACACGATATCCCACCTTTGCTGCTGCGCGCAACCCCCGGAGCCGAGCCCGAGCAGCGGCACGCCGGCAAAGAGCGAGAGGCAGTAGAGCAGCACGAGGAGCGCCGCCAACGCCGCTACTGCCACGGCGCCGCTGACGCCAGGCCCTTTCCACGTCGGCGATGACATCGGAACGGTGGAACGGTGGTGTTACCAGCCTTGGTGTTACCAGTTTGAGAACTACAAGTTTGGTGATACAAGACTCGAGAGTTTACATGGAGCACATAATGCAAACAGCACGGCACGCGCGGTGCCTTGCCCGTATGCTCTGCGGAAAGGGTTGACTTGACAGGACCTGAACGAGATTAATATTCTCCCAGGACCACTACGTGGTTCTAAGAACGTCCAACCACTCTCTAGGTAACTAATTCTGCTCCCGCGACGTGTTTGGTGCTTGCTTTCACCGCGCTTTTTGCTACCAGAGAAATGCTGTTCCCGAATAGTATTGGTGAGGAGTTTAGATGTGGCGACGCGACGCGTTAGGTAGGGGGTGAATTTTGTTCAGGGGACATGCGAGAAGGAGGTGGTAGTTGGTTGGTTGCGTTGCGACTGTATTTGTACTGTTCGATAGAAGCTGGAATTTGGGATTGTTACAGAATCTCGAGTTGATGGTCTATGATAAACAAAATTGGCACTCTCTCTTCCAGTAATTAATGCTTCCTAAAATTGCACTTTCCTGATACCAAGTATGCTGGACGCACGTCGGAAAAAGTCATATGCACAGAGTCCACGTTCACTGCAATATGCAAATTGCTATGCTATACAGAAAATGTACACATGTTGAAATCCTTCCCAGCACTACTATTTAGGCGGCAGCAGAGGAAGTCTTGTACTGCTGCTCCTGCCAGCCGGGCCCTCCTCCAGTCCCAAGAACCCTAGCCGTGCCCTCATAAGCAGAGTGCGTGACGTGGCTCACTTTGTCACCCACGTACTCAGTTGCGCCCTTCACGCCGCCTGCCACGTAATCTAGGGACTCCGCTCCAATGGGCTTCTTCCCGCGCATGTAGTTGATGAACCACACGAGCGACCCCACGCCCATGGCCGTCATCGTCGTCATAAAGAGTGCTCCGCCTGAAACCACAGCAAAATGTAACAAAAGAAAAAGAAGCCCAAACACCATGAGTAGCTTCCCAGCCGTGGGATCAGGGCATAGTTCTTCCGCTACCGAGTACAGCGAAATCGTAGGCACGCAGCGACTAAACTGAACGAAGCGCGTAACCAAATCGAGCAAGCCCGAATGTCAGTTCCACGATTGATTTTTTCTTTTACCTCCAACGACGGTGCCGAAGATGGCGAGCGGGACGAGGATCGGGGAGAAGAGAAGCAGGAGCGGCGATATGAGGAGGAGAAAGCCGCCTCCGCCGATAACTGTAGTGGCAGTTACCACCGTTGCGATGGTACCCGCGATGCCAAGGGTACCCAGCAGGAAGAGGATATCCCTGGGGGGTGAGGAGGGAAAGAGGATTCGTGCAATAAAAAAAAAAGTTACCATCACGATTGGGCGATACTACATATCTCGTAGTAGACCGAGCGCTGAAAGACTGTGCAATATGAATCCGCAAAAACACCGCCTCGACGCTACAACGACCAGCGAAGGGAAGGGGGTTGAGTGGATTTGAGATGACTACCTGGTCCGGTACCCCTGCTGACTGGGGAGCATGTGCTTCCCCTCAAAACCGCCGCCGTACATGGTTGTCACAGCCAGATTAACGAGCAAGAGAATAAACTGGCTGAATTAAGCGAGGAATCAGGAGGCGAAAAAAGACGGATGAAGACTCCACGATTGCTGGCTCGTTTTTGTATCAGCGAGCAACTAAGTTGCGAGTCGTCGACGCGTTCGCGTCGGTCGTCCGTGCAAAGCGCGAGATCGCAATGGACGACAACGCCAACACGCTAACGCAGGGAGAAGCATCGGGGAGAGCGAATGGGGAAATTGGAGAAACTAGACAAAGCAGCTGGTGTAGTTGGCGAAATCGGAATGCGCGGTGCGACGAGCTGGATCGTACAAATGTTCGCTGGCGAGGGAGCTTGGCGAGGCATGGCGGTCTGCGTGTGAGCAAGATTTGGGGTTGGTGGAGCTCTGGGTCCGTGCTTATCCGCCACGTGCGAGCTTATGAGTAGTTGTTTCTGTAACACTTGAGTCATGTCCCTTCAAAGAGAACTGCTGTACAGAAAAATACAGTGAATGCTTCCACTCCATGAATTATACAGATAGTAACAGTATTCTACACTATGACGGTTGTTCTTCCACCGAGTGTAAGCATAACGAGTAACGGAGTTTTCAAGGCATCGGCAACAAGAATGGCGTCACCCAGCTTTAGCGTGAAACAACTCGCAGAAACGCTTTCAAAACCTACTAAACGCACAGAAAAGGCTTGCACCCAACGTTCTCGCTGTCACCACTGGCCAACGGTCACCACTTGATTACTGCTCTCCTCCCTTGCTCTCCCACCCCACCAGTCAGTCACCCACCTACGAATCCCACCAACCCATTCGTTCGTGTCATGGCTCCTACATATGTATGAACTAGTTACTGCCGTGACTTTCCAGAATATATGCTGCTTGCAAGATGGCATGGAACTTACCACCTCCCGTTATGAGGTGGCGAGCGTCGTTGCTCAGGGGCTCGTAACGACTCTTGAGTGACTGCCCTTGCGACATTCTATGCTCATTCTGCTCCATAACAGACAAACAGCGTTGCTATCACTTACAAGAGTGGAAGCGCGTTCCATATGTCGTACAGAACATCCAGTTGTTGTTGTCTTCCTTTCCACGGCGACTTGGTTCTACCTTAAAAGACGTCTGATAAGTCCTACAGTCCTACAGCGCACCCCTTTAGCCAGTATCGTCTTCCATACCACCCATTGAAGCGACAAAGCCGAGCCTTTCCTTTCACCGTTCCTATCCATCGTCGTCCGCATACTGAACTCCAACCCGTGTTCCACCTCTCTAATCTATCAATACCCCATCTCTTAATCTTACACCGTTACTGTCCGGCAATTTCCAGCAATTCGCCATGGACGAGTTATTCTCAAAGGCTATAGACGCACTCGATTCGTCTCTTAACGAGTTTCCTTCCTCCAGCGCCGATGCCGCCGCAGCCGCCGCCGCAGTTGGCGGCACGTCTGCCGCCGCCGCTTCCGCCACCGCGTCGCTCCTGCAAGACATGGAAGCGTTCCAAGACGCAACCCTCCCTCCCTCCGCGATCGACGCCGCGAAACGCGTTCTCGCGGCGTGGGAGGAAATCGATCTGGAAGGGAAGAAATCCGGGTGGGACGCGTTAGGGTTGACGATCTCGCAGTTCCAGGAAACGAGCTCGAAGAACCGCCGGTCTCTCGCGGAGCAGACGAAGGCGTTCAAGAGCAGCGGCGGGGAGAAGAAGGACTTTGCGCCGCTGCTCAAGGCATACCAGGTGACGGAGAGAAGGCGAGAGGAATGATGTCTGTGTGTTTGCGCGAACGTTTGCAGCGCCCGATATTAATTGATCTTTCACCGATTAGGTTTGGATCTTTGACTGTGCCAAGTGTTAGTTAAAATATAATGTGAAGCATTTTGCTCTGAGGTCTCGCAATCTCCAAAAGGGCACCTTTCCTGTGTTTCTCTTCCACCACCACTTTCCTCCCCCCTTTCCCTCCCAACCCCTCCATCCCCGCCACCCCCTCTCTTCTCCACCTCCCCTCCCCTCCCCCCCTTCCCCCCAACCCACCATCCCCTTCCCCCCTTCCCCCTTCTCCCTTCCGCGCCCGCGCGCGCAGGCGGAGATCGACTCGATCACGAAGCGCGCGAAGCACGCGGAGAGCGCGTACCTGGGCGTGTACCAGGCGCTCTACGACGCGCCCGACGTGCTGCCGCTGCTGCGCTCCTTCGTGCCCGTCGCGGCGCGCGTGGCGGGCGCGGAGCAGGAGGCGCGGCGACTGCGGCAGGAGATGGAGGTGACCCGGAGAAGCAGGGAGAGGGAGGGAGCGGGGGGAAGTGGGAGCGGGGGGGAGTGGGAGCGGGGGGAGGGGTGGGCAAAGGGGGGAGGGAGGGGAAAGGGGGGGGAATTTGGGGGAAGGGTAAAGGGGGGAGGGAGGAATTTTGTCGTGTAGACTATGACTCTTGTGCCCTTCCACCCCCTCTCCCTTTGCTTCTGTCTCTTCCCTCCCCGTTTCCACCCCCCTTTCCCTCGCTTGCTATTCCCTGCCCCGCTTGTGGCTTTCTGAGTCTTGCTTTATCTGTTTCTGCCTCCTGTCCTCTCTCCCATTCCCTCCCTCTTTCGCCAACCCATGCCCCCCACCACGCCACATCTAAACTTTTGAGTCCGCTTGGGTACTTTTTCCTCCTTTCCTCTCCGCCTCCCCTTCTTCCTTTTCTTTCTCCCCCATTCACCCCTCCTTTTCGCCCTCCCTTTTGCCCTCCCTGCCCTCCCATTTCCCGCTCCCCGTCCCACATCCTTTGCCCTTCCCGTTCCCCCTCCTTTCCCCCGTCTCTGTCCCCCTCCCCACCCCCCTCCCTTTTCCCCTCCCTATCCCCCGTCCTTTCCCCCCCTTTTTCCCTCTCCCTTTCCCCCTCCCTTCCCACCTCCCTCCTTTCCCCACCCACACCATCCCCCATCCCATGGCAGATCGTGCGTGCGGACGCAGCAGCAGGCAAGGCACTGCAGGCGTCACTGCATCGCCTGCAGGAGCGCAACACAGAGCTGGTACGGCCGTCTGGGTTGGGTGGGGTTCATGTGTGCGGTGGTGTTTGCTGGGTGGGGTTCATGTGTGCGGTGGTGTTTGCTGGGTGGGGTTCATGTGTGCGGTGCTGTTTGCTGGGTGGGGTTCATGTGTGCGGTGTGGCGTGTATGAGGTAGGTGAGGTGAGCGTGTATGTGTGCGTGCAAGTGGCATATGTTTTTGTTTCTTCTTTCCCCTCCTTTTCCAAGTAACCATACTTTGCCTGCCTCCACATCCCCCCTCTGTTATGCAAATTCCTTGCCTCCCTGCTTCCCCTCTCTCCTCCCTCCCGCGTTGTTCTGTGCCCTGTGCTGTCTGGTGCTCTGCTGTGTGCTCTGCTGTGTGCTCTGCTGTGTGCTCTGCTGTGTGCTCTGCTGTGTGCTCTGCTGTGTGCTCTGCTGTGTGCTCTGCTGTGTGCTCTGCTGTGTGCTCTGCTGTGTGCTCTGCTGTGTGCTCTGCTGTGTGCTCTGCTGTGTGCCCTGCTGTGTGCTCTGCTGTGTGCTCTGCTGTGTGCTCTGCTGTGTGCTCTGCTGTGTGCTCTGCTGTGTGCTCTGCTGTGTGCCCTGCTGTGTGCTCTGCTGTGTGCTCTGCTGTGTGCTCTGCTGTGTGCTCTGCTGTGTGCTCTGCTGTGTGCTCTGCTGTGTGCTCTGCTGTGTGCTCTGCTGTGTGCTCTGCTGTGTGCTCTGCTGTGTGCTCTGCTGTGTGCTCTGCTGTGTGCTCTGCTGTGTGCTCTGCTGTGTGCTCTGCTGTGTGCTCTGCTGTGTGCTCTGCTGTGTGCCCTGCTGTGTGCTCTGCTGTGTGCTCTGCTGTGTGCCCTGCTGTGTGCCCTGCTGTGTGCCCTGCTGTGTGCCCTGCTGTGTGCTCTGCCCTGCTGTGTGCCCTGCTGTGTGCCCTGCTGTGTGCCCTGCTGTGTGCCCTGCTGTGTTCCCTGCTGTGTGCCCTGCTGTGTGCTCTGCCCTGCTGTGTGCCCTGCTGTGTGCTCTGCTGTGTGCCCTGCTGTGTGCCCTGCTGTGTGCCCTGCTGTGTGCCCTGCTGTGTGCTCTGCTCTGCTGTGTGCCCTGCTGTGTGCCCTGCTGTGTGCCCTGCTGTGTGCCCTGCTGTGTGCTCTGCTCTGCTGTGTGCCCTGGTGTGTGCCCTGCTGTGTGCCCTGCTGTGTGCCCTGCTGTGTGCTCTGCTGTGTGCTCTGCTGTGTGCTCTGCTGTGTGCTCTGCTGTGTGCTCTGCTGTGTGCTCTGCTGTGTGCTCTGCTGTGTGCTCTGCTGTGTGCTCTGCTGTGTGCTCTGCTGTGTGCTCTGCTGTGTGCTCTGCTGTGTGCTCTGCTGTGTGCTCTGCTGTGTGCTCTGCTGTGTGCCCTGCTGTGTGCTCTGCTGTGTGCTCTGCTGTGTGCTCTGCTGTGTGCTCTGCTGTGTGCTCTGCTGTGTGCCCTGCTGTGTGCTCTGCTGTGTGCTCTGCTGTGTGCTCTGCTGTGTGCTCTGCTGTGTGCTCTGCTGTGTGCTCTGCTGTGTGCTCTGCTGTGTGCTCTGCTGTGTGCTCTGCTGTGTGCTCTGCTGTGCCTGCTGTGTGCTCTGCTGTGTGCTCTGCTGTGTGCCCTGCTGTGTGCCCTGCTGTGTTCCCTGCTGTGTGCCCTGCTGTGTGCTCTGCCCTGCTGTGTGCCCTGCTGTGTGCCCTGCTGTGTGCCCTGCTGTGTGCCCTGCTGTGTGCCCTGCTGTGTGCTCTGCCCTGCTGTGTGCCCTGCTGTGTGCTCTGCTGTGTGCCCTGCTGTGTGCCCTGCTGTGTGCCCTGCTGTGTGCTCTGCTCTGCTGTGCGCGCCAGGAGGAGCGGCTGACAGAGAAGGTGCGGGAGGCGCTGGAGGAGAGGGCGGGGGAGATGGAGGCGCGCGTGCTGGTCTTCCGCCAGCGCGAGGCGGACCTAGAGGCGCGCATCCGCGAGGGGATGGAGAACCTCGCCGCCATGCAGGTGTGCTGGCGGGGCACAGGGGGGGGGGGGGGGGGGGGGGGGAAACGGATGGGGGACGGGGGGTTAGGCTAGGGGAGGGGAGCGTTGTGGAGGGGGAGGGGGATTACTCTGGTGAGGAAGTGGGGTGGGGGAGGAAGGGTATAGGCTGGCAGTGCGGGGAGGTAAGGGGGTGTACAGGTGGGCTGGGCGCTGGAAGGGAAGGCGGAGGAGATGGAGGCGCGCGTGCTGGTCTTCCGCCAGCGCGAGGCGGACCTAGAGGCGCGCATCCGCGACCGCGAGGGGATGGAGAACCTCGCCGCCATGCAGGTGTGCTGGCGGGGCAGGGGGGGAATGGGGGGTGCGGGGGAGTGGGGGAGGGCCCAGAGGGGATGGGGGAAGGGCGCAGGGGGATGGGACAGGGGGAGGGAGAAGTGTAAGGGATGGGAGGAGAGCAGGAGACGGGCGAGAAGAGGTGCAGGGCAAGGGAGAGGGAGCAGAGGAAACTGGAGGACGGGATGGAAAGACGATGCGGGTTGGAAACGTTGGAAGAGAGGAGGAGAGGGCGACGATACAAGTTCTGAGACGTCTCAATTTCCCCCGCCCTCTTCTACCCTCCCCCTCCCTTATGGCCGTCAGAGAGCAAACGAGGCGACGCAGGGCGTGGTGTTTGAAGAGAATGCGCGCATGGAGGAGGAGAGGGCGAGCAAGAGAATTCTAAGACGTCTCATCTCCTTCCCACCCCCCCCCCACCGCCCCCCACCCTCCCTTTTTCCCCTCTCAGAGAGCAAACGAGGCGATGCAGGGCGTGGTGTTTGAGGCGAATGCACGCATGGAGGAGGAGAGGGCGAGCAAGCAGCACGAGATTGATGGGCTCATGGAGGAGCTTGAACGCAGCCAGGTGCGGTGGGGTGTGGCGGGATGAGATAAAGAAGGGTGACGTGTGAGAGGAGGCTGAGCTGAGCGAGGGGCAACAGGAGGCAAGGGTGGTTGGTGGGATGCGGTGGGATGTGGTGGGATGTGGTGGGATGACAGGAGATGGGGAACAGAGTATAAGGGTGGGGAGGGGAGTGTAATTTGATGACCAAGGAGTGAGTTGTACCTCGTCTCCCTTTGCCCCTCCCGTTTTTCCTTACCCCCCTTCCCCCTTCTCTCCTTTCCACCTTTACCCGTCCCCCTTTGCCCTTCCCCCTTTGCCCGTCCCCCTTTGCCCTTCCCCCTTTGCCCGTCCCCCTTTGCCCTTCCCCCTTTGCCCGTCCCCTTTTGCTCCTTAAGCCCTCTTCCCTCTTCACTTTTTCCTTTGCCGTTCCCCCTTCCCCCTTCCCTGTTTTCTTTTTTGCCTTCCTCCCTTCCCTACCCCCGTTTCCCCTGCTGTCTTGTCCATATCCAATCATTCCGGTTCTCTTCCCTCCCACCGCCCGTCCCTGTCTCACTCACTCTCACCGCCCCTCCCGCTTTCACTCACACCTGCTACCACACCAGGCTCGTGTGAGCATGCTGGAGAGGAGAGTGGCTCTCTGCCGCCACCGCTGCTGTCGTTGCCACTCTCCATACGTTCATATCCAACCCTGCCTCTCCTCTTTCCCCACACCCCCATCCCCACCCCCACCCCCACTCCCACCCCCCACCCCCAACCCCACTCCCACCCCCATCCCCACCCCCACTCCCACCCCCACCCCCAACCCCACTCCCTACCCCCATTGCCCACTCTCACACCTGCTACCACACCAGGCTCGTGTGAGCATGCTGGAGCAGCGGCTCTCTGCTGCTACCGCTGCTGCTACTGCTGCTTCGCCCCCTCTTCGCCCTGCTTCGCCCCCTCTTCGCCCTGCTTCTGCCACACCCGCCGCTGCCGCTGCTGGTGAAAGCTTGCTTGGGGAAGGAGAATTAACCACAGAAGGGGAGGAGGGGGGTGCTAAGTCCCCTGCACTGCTCTCAGCATCAGCATCGGCATCAGCATCAGCAGCAGATGCTGCGGCTGCGGCTGTGGCAGAGGATCCTGAGGAGGCTAAGGAGAGGCTTGTGTCTCGCCTGCACATGCAGCTGCAGCAGATGCAGGACACGCTGCAGGTACGATCACTACTCCTGTTGTGCTGTATATGTTGCATCAGCATCAGATGCTGCGGCTGTAGCTGTGTCAGACTGTCAGTGCTAGAGGATCCTGAGGAGGCTAAGGAGAGGCTTGTGTCTCGCCTGCACATGCAGCTGCAGCAGATGCAAACATGCAGGAGACGCTGCTGGTAATACTACGGCTGACATGACTTTGTTTTTGAAGATTCTAAATTAACAACTGCTGAATGACACCTTGCATAAAGGAATCGTCCCCTCATCCCTGTTCTCCTTTTCAAACGCTTCTTACTCCCCCCTTCCCCCACCTCCCCCACCCTCCACCCCTTCACCCCACCACTCCTCCCTCCCCTCCTTTCCCTCCTCCCTCTTCTCTAAAACTATAAGAACGAGGTTCATGACACCATACCAACTCTTTTCTTGCTTCATCCCCCGACTGCCACCGCATCAGCGCGAGAGGGAGGAGTGGGAGAGCGCGTTGCAGCAGGTGGTGGCCGGAATGACTTGTAAGTCGACTCAAAGGTCACCATCCTCCTATGTTTCCCCGTGTTACCCCCCGACTGCCACCACCCCAGCGCGAGAGGGACGAGTGGGAGGGGGCGTTGCAGCAGGCGCAGCAGCAGGTGGCGGAGAGGGAGGCGCAGGTGCAGCAGGTGCAGGCGGAGCTGCAGGCAAGGGCGTCCCCCGCGCAGGTGGAGGAGCTGAGACAGCAGATCCGCGTGCTGCAGGTGAGGCATGGGGGGAGGGGGCAGTGGGGGAGCTGGGCTGCGGAGGTTGGGGTGATTGATAGACTCAGGATGGGTGGGGGTATGCGGGGTCTAGGGGAGGATGTCCCCCGCGCAGGTGGAGAAGCTGAGACAGCAGATCTGCGTGCTGCAGGTGGGCAGGGGGGGAATGGGGTGGGGGAGTGGGGGGGATGGGCAGGGGGGAGGAGGGAGGGGGGTGTTTTGATGGTCACGGGATGGGTGGGCGCACGGGGTCAAAGGGGCGTCCCCCGCGCAGGTGGAGGAGCTGAGACAGCAGATCCGCGTGCTGCAGGTGGGGGGGGGGGGAGCTGGGAGATGGGGCCGGGTGGTTGGGCGTAGGGGGCAGACACAGCATGGGCGCAGGTGGAGGGGCTGAGACAGCAGATCCGCGTGCTGCAGGTATGGGGGAGGGGAACTGGGTGGAAGGGGGAGGGGCGAGAGGGAGGGAGTGTGAACAGACACATCATGGTAGGGGGGAGGGTAGAGCAGACAGAGGGTGGTTGAGTGGGCGGGTGAGTGGGGTAAATGGAAGGGTTGGGTGAAGCAGAGGGGTACTTTGGCCCCCAGGCAAACGGGATTGTCCTCCCCTTTGTCACTTTTCCCATTTGTTCCCCTCTTCTCCTCTCCTCTACCTGTGTGTTTGTTATACCCTTTCCCCGCTGCGCTCCTCCCCTCTACCCCTTCGCTTCCCTTCCCCCTTTTTCCCTTCCCTTCCCTTCCCTTCCCCTTTTCCCTTCCCTTCCCCTCCCTTCCCCTTTTCCCTTCCCTTCCCCTCCCTTCCCCTTTTCCCTTCCCTTCCCCTCCCTTCCCCTTTTCCCTTCCCTTCCCCTCCCTTCCCCTTTTCCCTTCCCTTCCCCTCCCTTCCCCTTTTCCCTTCGCTTCCCTTCCCTTCCTTTCGCCCTTCACTGCTCGCCTCCACCTCGACATTTCCCTTTTCCCTGTCCTTTCTCTTTCCCTCTACCACTTCCCTTGCCTCTTTCACTCTCATTCCTCCTTCACTCCCCTTACTACCTTCCCTTGCACATCGCTTCCGTTCTCGCCTCTCTTCTATCCCAGGCACTAGCAGGGGCAGAGGTAGTTTTGAGAGTTCTCAAAAGTGTCCTGCATTCCCGCCTCCCTTCCGCCTGTGTTCCCAGGCATTAGCAGGTGCAGAGGTGGATGATATAGACGGTGCAGAACTCTCCTCCACCCTCTCCTCCTCCTCCGCTGCAGCCGCCGCACTCCCAGCAGCTGCAGGAGGGGAAGAAAGAGAAGGCAAGGGAGGGGAGGGAGAAGGAGCAGGAGCAGGAGGAGCAGGAGGAGCAGGAGGGGGAGCAACAGGAGCAGTAGCAGCAGCAGCAGCGGGGGTGCTACTCACAGAGGAGCATCGAATCCAAGCAGCACTGCGGGAGAGCAATCGCCGCTTAATGGCAGAGCTCACAGCCACGCGAATCTCCCTCTCAGAAAGCCGGCTGGAAGCCGAGGAGAAAGCAGCCCGCGTGGTTGCCTTAGAGGAGGAATGCAGCGAGTTGCGTGCCCTGGTGCAACGGCTAGAAGAGGACATTGTTGCTGGGAGCGGGTCGATTAGAGAGATTCTGGTGCAGTCAGGGGTCGGCGGGCAGGGGAAGAAGGGAGGGTTTCTGGGCGGAGGGGCAGGAGGGGCTGAAGGGACTGCTGCGACGATGGCTTCTCTGCTTGGAGGTGGGGGAGATGGAGGAGGGGGAGGAGAAGGGGGAGGGGGAGGAGGAGAGGGGGGACGAGGGGCGGGGGGGAGTGAAGGAGCGGGTGGCGGGGGAGGGAGAGGGGGGGCGGGGGCGGCAGGGGAGGAGGGCCAGCGGGACATGCTGCTGATAGTGTGCGATCAGAGGGAGCGGTTCCGCAAGCGAGTGCAGGAGCTGGAGGAGCAGACAGGCTCCCTGCAAGAGCAACTCAGTGAGTGTTTGGTTGGGGGGGGAGGTGTGTGGGAGCCTTGGGGGTGATGGGGAGAGGGGGGGGTGGATTAGGGTTGGGTTTAAAGAGGGTGGCGAGTGCAGGAGCTGGAGGAACAGACGGGCTCCCTGCAGGAGCAATTCAGTGAGTGTGTGGGGGGGGGGAGAGGAAAAAGGGGGAGCAAAGCAGTGAGCCTGGGGGAGGAGGGTCGGATTAGGGTTGGGTTCTGATACGGTGGCGAATGCAGGAGTTTGAGGAGAAGACCGGCTCCCTGCAAGGGCAACTCAGTGAGTGTGTGGGGGGGGGGAAGGGCGGGCGGGAAAGAGGGCCGGATTAGGGTTAGGGGTCTTGGAGTGTGGCGAGTGCTGAAGCTGGATGGACAGGCTGGCAGACTGCAAGAGCAACGCAGTTTGCCTCCCTCCTTGCCTCGCTCCCTCCTCTCCTTCCCGTCGCCTCTTTCCTCCTCCTTTCAACCTCGTCCTCCCACTCTTCCCCCATTTCCTCCCTCATTCCAACCCGCCAGACCGTGCGAACCTCGAGACTCAGCGAGTGACGAATGACAACCTGGCGCTATACGAGAAGATCCGATTCCTAGAGCAGTACAACCGCCGCTCCTCTGTTCCCATGCGCAAGCTCTCCCCTTCAGGAGACGATGATGGTACAGGCTCCTATGGAGCAGAAGGAGGGGGAGGCGGAGGGGGAATGGGAGGGGACGGAGGAGGGGGAGGAGGAGGCGGTGGAGGAGGGATGATGCGGGGCTCTATGCAAGGAAGGAACGGAGGGGTAGGGGTGGGAGCAGGGGCAGGGGGAGCAGGGCCGTCTGCGTCTGATGTGGTGATTTTCGCAGGGGTTGCAGGGGCCCGGGCGGCAAGATATGCTTGCTTTGGCGTATCTGATGCTCCGGATTCGGGAGACGGGGCGGCAGGAGGAGCAGGAGGTGCAGGAGCAGGAGGAGCAGGGATGGCTGGTGCTGGTAGCTGGGGTGGGGCAGGGGCAGGGGGAGCAGGGGGGGCAGGGGGAGCAGGGGCGGCAGGGGGAGCAGGGGGACTAGCTGGGGCAGCGGAAGTGAGATACAGAAAGCTGTATGAGGAGAAAATGAATCCTTTCACGGAGTTTCACCAGCGGGAGCAGGAGAAGAGCTATCGTAACCTGCGCCTCCATGATAAGGTAAGCAGGGATGTCTTATTTCGGTATCTGTGAATTGGGGGATGTAGGATGCCTTATTGGGGCTTGAGAGATGACTTCGAAATTCAAATGGCTTGTGAGGTTTGGACCGAACCAAAGGGAGCAGGAGGAGAGGTGTCGCAACCCGCGTTTCCACCACGGTGAGGTGATTGGGAATGCTTTGAATTGGAGGGGGGTTGAGATGAGGGGGGATTGAAAAGGGGAGAGTTGGTGAAATTGAGAAAGTCGGATTGCACGGGCTTGAGTTGACATGGGGGGCCCTCTTGAATTCCCCCTCCCTTTCATCTCCCCCTTCCCGCTCCCCCTTCCACTCCCCTTTCCCTCCCCGTCCCCGTCCTCTCATCTATCCCCGCTCACCTCATACCCTCTCCTCCCACCCCCTCCAACCCCCCTTCCCCCCCTTGCCCAAAACACCACAGATCACTCTCAACAGCAGCCGTTTCCTGCTCACAAACAAGTACGGCCGCGCTTTTGTATTCTTCTACACTCTTCTCCTCCACCTCTTCATCCTCGCCCTTCTTTACCGCTCCATGCACCGCCGAACCATCGTCCTCACTCCTGCCGCCTCCACCTATCCTGCTGGCACTGTTGGCGCTGCTGGTGCTGAATTAGGGTTTCTGAATGGGTCAACGTCTGGAATGCTGTCCCCTGCCGCTTCTTTAGCTGCAGGTATAGGCACGGAAACAGGGGTGCCGGGGTTGAGAGGGGGAGGGATGGGAGCAGGAAGAGTAGGGGAGGAGGTGGATGGTGGGGGGAAATCCAAACCAGAAGTTCACACACTTGCAGAGAGTATAGCAGAGAGCGTTGGTGCGATGCTGCAGACTACTCATGCGCTCACTTCCGCTGCGGACGGGGTGAGTGGTGGCAGCAGCAGCGGGGGTGGTGGCAGCGACAGTGGCAGCAGTGGCAGTGGTGGCAGTGGCAGCAACAGTGGTGAAGATTCGAGCTCTCGCATAGCCTCAACAGATGCTGAGGGGTCTGATGTTGATAGAGACAGTGGCAGCAGTAGTGGCAGCAGCGGTGGTAGCGGTGGTAGCGGTGGCGGCGGTGGCAGTGTTGTCACAAGTGATAATGCTAGTGCTGGTGATGATGCTGGTGATGGTGCTGGTGATGGTGCTGGTGATGGTGCTGCTGCTGCTGGTGATGGTGCTGGTGATGGTGCTGGTGATGGTGCTGCTGCTGCTGGTGATGGTGCTGGTGATGGTGCTGCTGCTGCTGGTGATGGTGCTGGTGACACTGCTGGTGCGACTGCTGGTGAAGACTCCACACATCATGATGCTAATCCAAGTGAAGGTAGCAGTGCTGATTCTGCCACTTCAGGCCCTGATACGGATGCAGATAGGGATGGTGCTACTGCGAATGGCGCTGCGGGTTTTGGTGGTGCTGGTGAGGGAAGCAGCGAGGAAAGTGAGAGTAGTGCAAACAACTTCGATTCTGAGATCAGCAGCAGCAGCAGCAGCAGCAGCCTTAGCAACAGTGTTACCACCAGTTCGATTTCAGAGGCTGCAACTGTAGGGTCTGAGGGAGGGAGTGGGGAAGAGAGTAGCAGCAGTGGCAGCAGCGGCGGCAGCAGCAGCAGCTATGGGGGAAAGAGAAAGACTCGCAGGCGGAGAAAGAAGAAGCTGAGGAAGCGAAGGGTGGTTGATGCTGGTGCTGGTGCTGAAACTGAGGGCGAAGGGGGCCGGGATAGCGGGCGGCGATGAGAGGTCCGGGCAATGGGTGGTGACAGACTGTTGACTTTACTGATGGGGGGTACGGAGTGAGAGTGACAGAGGAGAGGGAGTGTGATTTGAGTGAGTATTATGAGTGAGTGAGAAGAGAGGAAGGCTTGTAGTTCGGGCTTTGTCTGTTGGGTTTGATGGTGGGTGGAGTGGAGTGTTGGCTGGTGTGACTGGTGAGAAGATTGTTACTGGTATTCTAGGTCCAGCATACCGTATGATCGTATATGGTACTGCTGCTCGTAGTACTCTTTTGAACGATGATGAACAACACAAGGATCACACATCTCTTTCTGCCTTTCTAAATTCTTTCCTTCATCCTGTCATGTCTGATGTTCGGTAACTCTGAAGAAGCCTCAGCAGCATCATCTACTATTTGAAACCAAGGAAACAATAAATATTGCAATCCCTCCTTTCCAGAGCATCCTGCTTTCTACTCAGAAGCAGGCACCTGGCCTGGTTCATTCTCAGGAAGTTCAATGTGTTGGGCTGAGGAAAGCCCCTAGGATCTTTGCAGGGGTGAACTCTGGGTAGGACTGATGTAATAGCGGAAGCGTTTTAATAAAGAGTTGTGAACCACCTTGCGCTAGTATGTGAGGGCAAAGTAGATTGATTAAAGCAAGGAGATACAGGATTATATAAGAGTACAAGGAATACGAAGAGATACAGTTATAACTACTTTACTGTTGTTGTTGCGGTTCGATACAGTGACGACTCGGGCAACTGCTCTGTAGCGAGTCAGTTGTGTGTCCTTGCTGTCGCGCTGTACTTGTCAGGTCAAAGGTCGCTGACCTTTGACTTTCGCGTAACCTCCAGCAGTTGCTCAACCTCCGAGGGTTGACTCGCTGATGCTGCGATATGTTGTGCTTCGCTTGTGCCTTGGTGTTTCGACACGACAGAGGCGCTTAGAATTAGTTGTTTCCAACAGTCCCCTTCGCTTCTGGAGTGTCGCTGCTGATGACGTGGCTCTGTCCAGTCAGCAGCATGCAGTGCTCGAACTTCTGTTTTCCGAGCTTCTTGGTCAAGTGTTCAGCTGCCATCTCGGACGTGGGGCAATATGACAGCTCGAGTCTCCTCTTCTCGATCTCGTCCTTCATGAAGAAATATCGCAGGGCGATGTGTTTCGTCCTGTTCGCGAAGCCGTTCTTGTTGGCTATGCGAATGGCCGACTGGTTGTCGCAGAACAGGGTGAAGTTCGGTAACTAGGCTAGCTTGGCTTCCTCCAGTAGTTCGCGAAGGTACAGTCCTTCCTTGGTGGCTGAGCAGTGTGCGATATATTCTGCTTCAGCTGAGGAGAGAGCGATTAATTCCTGCTTGCTCGACTGCCAGGAGATAGGACCGATAGGCTCGAAGCGGTAGATGTAGCCGGTGCGGGAGCGCCTGTTGTCGGAGTCGCCGGCGTGATCGGCGTCGACGTAGCCGATTAGCCTAGGTGACGTGGTCCCGTTCTTGTGATAGGTTAGACCGATTGTTGGGGTGCTGACGAGGTAGTGGAGAGCGCGGTCGAGCTCTGCCATGTGTTCTGCTTCAGGTTTTTTGAGGTAGGTCGCGAGCTGACTTGCGGAGTATGACAGGTCCGGACGGCAAGTGACGGCTGCGAAGAGGAGACAGCCCAGCTTTCTCTGGTAGTCACGTATGCCGGCGGGCTTCAGTGGAGCGGATTCTTCCTTGCAGTTTCCTGCCGCGTAGCGATATGGCGTGGAGATGGTAGTTGGTGTGAGAGCGAAGCGTTTGGCGATGTTGTCGGCGTACTTTGCGGCGCTAAGGTAGATCGCGTCTTCTTCTTCCCGTATGTTAAGACCGAGGTATTGTGTGACGGTGGACGAGACTGTGAGCGTGAGGTCTTTCTGCAGCTCCCCTTCGAACCAAGTAGTGACGCCGTCGGTCGACCCGATGTAGAGCAGATCGTCTACGTAGACGATTAGTAGGATGTAGTCGGTGCCTTTTGTCAGCCGGTACATTCCCTGGTCGTGAGGTAGCTGGCAAAATCCTATGCGGATAAGTCTTGCGTGCAGGTACTGTTGCCACAGCCTCGGAGCTTGTTTGATGCCGTAGAGCGACTTCAGCAGTTGACAGACTTGGTTGGGTTCCCCGTTGGAGCCGTGCGGGAGCTCGACGAAGATCTCAGCGTCAACAGGTGCGTAGAGAAATGCATTCGCGACGTCGATTTGCCGCAGCTTCTTTTTCTTCATGGCGGCGATCGCGAGAAGGATTCGAAGTGAGGTGTGTCGGCTGACCGGGGCGAATGTCTCGGTGAAGTCGCGTCCGTGTTCCTGGTCGAAGCCACGTACAACCCAGCGTGCTTTGAATTTGTCGATGGTGCCGTCTGCTTTTGTTTTCACTCGGAAGACCCACTTTCCGGTGAGAATCGTTTTGTTCCGTGCCACACTGATAGGGACGACTTTCCAGGTGTTGCGCTCCTCTAGTGCCTTTAATTCCCTGTCCATGGCTTCGCGCCATTTTTCCTTATGCTCCCCCCCCAGAGCCTGCTGAACTGTGGCAGGCTCCTTAGGAATGGCCGTGCCGTGGACTGCGGTGACGAGTCCGAGTATCTGGAGTCCACTCTGTGTGTAGCGGGGAAGTGACATGTCCGCGGGATAAACAGCTTCGTCTCCCGCTTCTGGATCAGGTGCGAAATTGGGTCCTACGCGTTCTGCTTCGTCGGTGTTGACTTGTGCAGGTGTAACGTAACCGTTGTCAGCGAAATGGTAATAGGTTTCGGCGTTGATGCTTTCGCGTGGGTTTTCGTCGTCCATTGGCACGTCGACGGAGCAGTAGGGGAGGGGTCCGGCTTCTTCCGAGGCTCCTTCCACGTTCTGCTCGTCCCAGTCAGCTTCGTCGTCTGCCGAGGCAAAGGCTCGGGTGCCAAGAAAACCATCGGAGCGATCGGGGTTTCCTTCTTGCAAGTTGGCAAGGTAATACCGGAGGGTGAGGTTTTCGTAGAAGATGACATCACGTGCTGCTACTGTTTCCTTTGTCTCGACGTCGAAAATCTTCCATGCGTTGTAGTGTTTTTCGATGCCCAGGTGTAGTCCCCACTGTGCGCGTTGTGAGAATCGGCCAGCGCGTGCAGATGGAGGCCGGTACTGTACCATGCAGCCGAAGACTCTTAACATTTTTGTGCTGCCCAGTTTTCCTGTCCACAGCAGATGCGGTGATGCGTTGTTCGGGAGCGATGATGACGAGAGCAAGTTGTGCAGCATGACGGCGTGGTCCATTGCTTCGGGCCACTAGTGGTTGGGCAGGTGCATGCCACGTAGCAGCTTGCGCATGGTGTTATGGAGGGTCCTGTTCATCCTTTCTGCTACACCCTGCTGTTGATGGGCGTAGGGGAGAGAGATGAGTCGCTTGATTCCTCTTTCTGCCAAGTACTCTTTGAACCTTTGTGAGGTGTATTCTCCCCCTCCGTCTGACTGGAAGCTTTTGAGTTTTACGCCCGATTCTCGTTCTGCTACTGGAAGCCAGGCGACGAAGATTTAGGGTGCCAGACGTATCGAGTGGCTGCGTCGATGAAGGTGATGGTGTAATTGTACGCGTTTTGTCCAGGCTCGCGGTTGTACAGGATGTCGCTGTACACCTTCTCGAGTGGCGCGTAAGCTGGTGCGCTTGGGTTGTGGTGAGACGCGAACGGTTGATGCGGTAAGTCAGCTTCGGGACAGGTGAAGCATGTTCCACGGGCTCGCTGAAGTTCTCTGCCGTCAGTTAGGAGTAGAGAGTCTTTGTCGAGCACGCCTGCTCTTATCGTGTTGTTTAACACCGTGTTGCTTGGGTGTCCCATTCTTGCGTGCCAGGTTCCTTCGGTGGCACGATGTCCGGGTGAGCGCCGATACATATCGGAGTTGGAATAGAAGCTGGCGGTGAGGTTGGCGCTTCGATGAACTTCTCGTGGTGCTGGGTGCAGTTGCTGCGCGGGTGTCGGTGGTGTGTCGTCGACGAAGATCGGTGCCGTTGAAGGACCAGCGATTGGTGTTGATGTTGCCGCTGTTGTCTCCGTTGTCTCTGCTGCTGCCGTTGTTGTCTCTGCTGCTACCGATGTTGTCTCTGCTGCTGCCGATGTTGTCTCTGCTGCTGCCGATGTTGTCTCTGCTGCTGCCGATGTTGTCTCTGCTGCTGCCGAATGTTGAATTGTCGCTAACGCTCTTGTTCTTTCTGCTTCAGGTATCGTGTGTGAATACCAGAAACCGCCGGGGCTGAAATCTGGGTCAAGATCCGGTGGATGTGTCCAAGAGGTGAAGGTGATGATACCGTCGCTGTCGGCGGTGCCGAGTTCTGGAACGAAGTCGAGAACGAAGACATTGTTCTTCAAGACTGCTTTGCCGATGTAGAGACCTCCTCTCCCGTTGTACAACTTGAACTCCTGGGTGGTGCTGTCTGCTTCGAGGTGAATGCCTTTTGCCATCAACTGGCTGACGCTCAGTAAGTTGTAGCCGAATCCCTCCGCGATTAATACCTTTGACATCTGTAGTATAACATTTGTCTCTCTTGACTGAAGTTGAACCACGCCTTGTCGTCGTGTGCGCAGGTTCTGGTTGTTGGCGACGGTGATGACTACTTCGCGTTGGAGTTGGTATTCTTGCTGCACGAAGCGTCCTGAAGAGCACATGTGCTATCCGCAGCAACTGTCCAAGAACCAGGTGTCTTTCCCGGATGGCTCGCTCTGGGCGATGGCTGCGTATGTTTGATTCGGTTGAAGTGACTCGCGGCGAGGTGTGGTGTTGTCGAGTTGTTCTTCCGGTGAGTAGTGTGGCGGTGACTCGGTGATGCAGGAATCGGTCAATTTTGCCATGCAGCTGACGATGTTTCTTGCTCCTTGTGCAGATTGTGTTGTTGAAGGTTGCGACTGACTCGTGGGGTTCGCCTGCGTCAATGCCACTTGGCTGCTTGAGGGTCGAAGCTGCCGTTGCGGTGGAGTTGACTGTTGTCGATTCGGGCAGTGTGTGCGAGGGTGCCCTGACGTCTTGCAGATGTGGCAGAACGGAGGTACAGGCTTTGGTTGTTGTCGGTTGTTGTTGTTGTTGTTGTTGTTGTTGTAGCGTCGGTGAGTGTGGAAGGCGAATTCCGGTGCTGATGCTTTCTTCTTGTGTCGTTCCTCTTGCAGGTCCATGTCTTGTTGCTCGGCGTGAATTTCGGCGCAGAGTGCTGCTTCGGATATTATTCCGTGAGCTCGGAGAATGGCTTTTGTGGCGCGCCATTGAGGACCGAGGCCGCCGATGATAACTGTTACGAAGGCGTCATCAGATATCGACCCTCCGCATCGAAGAAGTTTGTCGCGCAACTCGCGACAGCGGCTGATATACGCTATTCCCTTTTCGCCTGGTTTCATTTCCACTGTTGTCAACTACGCCATTAGTCGACTCTGATTAACGCTGTCTGTTGCTTGGTACAGGTTCTTCGAGTGGCTGTATGCGAGTTCGGCGGAGTTGCCGTATCCCCGGTAAGACCGTATATTCTGCTGCTGGTTCGGGGTGATGTTCCTCAGTAGAATCGTATACGCCATCATTGACTGATAGGTGTACTGCTGCTTCTCGTACTGTGTGCCGTTTGTTGGGTATGGCAGGGATCCGTCGAAGAAGCCAAGAATCTGCGTGCCTTCCATCATTAACTCGAACTCGAACGACCAGGTGAAGAAGTCCTTTCCGTCGAAAGGCCTTGACGTCTGAAGTTTTAAGACGTGCGCGAACTAGGACTGGACTTGAAGTGCGTCTAGTGGTTTCTTCTGTCCAGGTGCAGGCTGCAGTTGTGGCATAAAGCTGACGGAGCCGCGCTGGGGCTCGTACGGAGCAAAGGTAGGTTGCTGCTGTTGATTTCCACGTGCGTAGGATGAACCGTCAAGGCTCATTGGAATCACGTCGTTGTTGTTGTTGCTGTTGTGTGACTGCGCAGGTACCGATTGCTGGTGTTGCTCGTAGAAGGACATGAAGGAGAAAAACTTCTCCATCATGCTCTGGTCGAAGCCTGCAGGTTGATTCGCAGGAGTCTCGGTGGATGTTGCCCTGGGTCTTGTTACCGTACCCTCCTCTGTCTGTAGGCCAGAGGCAGGAGGTGGAGTAGGAGTAGTACCGGGAGAATCGATGGAGGAACTCCTTTCCTTCTGAGTAGCCATGTCTTCTGATGTTGTAGGTGTTTTGATAGTTGAATTCCCCCTGATAGCTCTCATACCATGTTGGGCTGAGAAAAGCCCTTAGGATCTTTGCAGGGGTGAACTCTGGGTAGGACTGATGTAATAGCGGAAGCGTTTTAATAAAGAGTTGTGAACCACATTGCGCTAGTATGTGAGGGCAAAGTAGATTGATTAAAGCAAGGAGATACAAGATTATATAAGAGTACAAGGAATACGAAGAGATACAGTTATAACTACTTTACTGTTGCTGTTGCGGTTCGATACAGTGACGACTCGGGCAACTGCTCTGTAGCGAGTCAGTTGTGTATCCTTGCTGTCGCGCTGTACTTGTCAGGTCAAAGGTCGCTGACCTTTGACTTTCGCGTAACCTCCAACAGTTGCTCAACCTCCGAGGGTTGACTCGCTGATGCTGCGATATGTTGTGCTTCGCTTGTGCCTTGGTGTTTCGACACGACAGAGGCGCTTAGAATTAGTTGTTTCCAACACAATGTACGGCACCTAGGAAGGTGGCTGCAATGGCTGCAACGCTACCATCGCTGCAAAACAAGATGCATTTCCACTACTACCACTATTTGAATGGTACAGATGATGCTCACCTCCTGCACGCGAATTTGCCTTGCACCGGATGGAAACCTTGCACCCGGCTGGTTTTGTTCCGTGAAGTTGCACCCCATTTACAAGCACCTCGAACAAGTTGCCACCTAAATCAGCCTAATTGCTTTTTATAAGCCCTTTTTGCCTGGTGCGAATTGACGAAACCTTTTCGAAATGCAAAAACCACTTATAAGCCCAGAGCACAAGGCAAAGTTGGGTGCGCCAAACGAGCATTAGCTGTAACTAACTGAAGTCCTAAAACCTCGTCACTTGCAGTACTTATCCGCCTTCTTCTTGGACCTCTCGTCCAGTGCCTCTTCCCGCGTTTTCAGCTTTTCCGGCTGCGCGTACGAATACCGTACCGTTTCGAACGGAAACATTTCTTCATACTTTGGAGTCTTCTTGCGACCGTCAGGCGCAAAGCCTATCCCCGTGTCGTATTCCTCAACACCCCCCTGGCCTGGTTCTCCTTCGGTCCCCACCGCTTCTCCCCCCTCCGCGGCTCCTCCCTCCCCGCCTCCTGCCGCGGCGTTTTCCGCGTCCGCTGATTTCTTGTGTTTTTTGTGCTTCTTCTTCTTGATTAGCTTGCTGACGTCGCCGACGCCTTTAAAGACCAGCTTCCCGCCGCGCACTTTGTCAAACGAGCTTGGTTTGCCAGACATGGTTTTCGGCGCACTCGCATCCGCGTCGAGCTCACAAAGCGGATTTCACGGTATTCGAAAAGAGGGGTATTCGTGAGTTAGCTAAACGGCGTGACCCTAGAATTACGGATACGAAGTCACAGCAGGATTCGCTGAAGTCACGGGATAGTGTATGCGAAGTCAGACAACGAAGCGGGCTCTAAGTGGTACGTAAATGACCATATATTTTCTGCAATATGTGGGAGAGTGGAATGGTGGAATGTGGTGGAGGGTGGTGCAGATTACCCAGCCTGATGATGCTTTTTTGCGAATTGAAAAACAGTTCAGTAAAGTGTGCGTTCCCGCCGACAACGTTTTCAGGTGTAGCGAATTCTCTGTAAGCAAGCACGAAGGAATGCCCAATGCTCCTGTTCTCGCTGCCTCGATACACGCACAACTGGTTCCATGTAATAATCATGCCACATAGGTCGAGTTGTTAGGGCTACTTAAATATTATAGTCCCTAGCCTAACAATTAATGAAGCACGATGACAATTTTCTTTACAATGGAACAGCGCCAGCATTAACATCGCTACGAAGCCATCCCATGGCGCCTGGTTCCTGGTCGTCTTCAGCTGAGCTATGGCAGCTAGCGGGTCCCCGTCTCCAACTATCGCGGAGCTCAAAGGCTGCAAGCCGCGCGCTTGCGCCATTCAGTCATGTCTGAAACGCAACGACTACCAATCCAGCAGGTCGTAAACCCATTGTATGTCGCTCGCGTTCAGTTGTTATTATACACTGACGTTTCTTTTAGACTTGGCGCGTTTGTCGTACCAGCGTTTCTGAGTCCTATTTGCTGTGCGCAGCCCGTTCATTCTCCTTCCAAATCTCCGTCACATTGCAGCGACATCCTGCTCCTACTTACATCTCCTCGCCTTCGTTCCTCAGATGTACCTCCCCTATTCGTCTCCTGCACGAGTGCTGCATGAAGCTGCAAGTCGTAGGCACGACCTCTCCGCACTGCGCTGCTGTGGACGCGCTTCTACCCGGGAAGGAACTGGCGGAAGGAAAGCCAGCGGAGGGTTTTCGGAAGGAGAACGGCGATTGAAGCAGGCTGGTAGCTGATTGTGTGTGTGAATAGGTTAGGCAGATCAAATTGTATTCTGGCTGAAATAGAGCGATCGCTGTTCTCTTATTTACAACTAGAATGCATATCTTGGATCAATGCAACTAGCAGATGAGCCACTTTTCTGAGAGTTAGTGAGCAATCAGAATATTGTTAATTTTATGTCAAGTTTGCAATTACTACATCCAGCATAACCCTACATCCTGGTTATTTGAAACCTCAATATTCAGCTTCTACATTTGCAAGCAGGGAACCCCGAGGTGCTGACGGAAGAGATTGCTGGCAAGGCCACCAGGCGATTTGTCAGCACGGAGTGACACCAGAGGAGCATTGCTACGTACCTAGATTTTTCTGCAACCTGACTCAGTGCCGTGGGTGGAAACTAATCTTAAAGCTAATAAAAAGTCCTGCTATCAGTAATCTTCCACTAACTTGGAAACCAGGCTAAAGTTGGTTCACTACATAAGTCCTGCCAGCACTGTAGCCGCGGCAACAAGGATCCACAATTGATGAGCCAGCACCAGCCCCTCCCACGTCCGCGGACTTAACCCCGGAGTTCCACTCTCTGGAGCACATGTGCCCTCATAGGCCACTTCCGCCCCCGCGCACTGCGCCTCCTGCGCCCCACACCAGTAGGTGACGCCATTCACGGCGCACACACTGCAAATAAATGGTATTGGCGGGTGAAGGGGGGGAGGTAAGGGGGGGAAGGGTTATGCGTGGAACGGTTGAGTGAGACAGAACCGGTTGGACAAACGAGGGAGGGCGAGGTAAAGAAAGGTACGGGCGGAGAAATGCGCAATGAAAGGAAAACGGCATGCTACTGACAATGGTGCCAGTGTTATTCAAGACCTTCACGCGCCTCAATGTTTAGTCAGGTCGATACATGATTCAATGGAACGAGGGGAGAGGGATGAAAACATATGAACCCAGACGATTAAGGGAAGGGCGAGAAAACGCACGGGTGAGGCCGAAGGCAGGTCGACGAGCACTTGACCGGCGAAGCCAGCGACTTGTGCGCGCTAGCTGCTGCTGCATCATGCGTTGGCTCCCCTACCGAAGAAACAATAGAGCTACTGCTACTCCTGCTATCTATGCTGCCTTCACTACTGCTGCTGCTGCTGCTGCTGCTGCTGCTGCTGCTGCTGCTGCTGCTGCTGGGAACGATCTTGGTATCTGTGGTGGCGTTAGTTGAAGAGCGGTACACGTGGGTGATGATGGTGCGGATGGTTCTGCTGATGGTGTACCTGCCAGCGCCGAAGTTCCGCTTAGCAGTGCAGGGACCTGGTGAGAGGGCGAGCAGGCAAGCAAGCAGGAGTAACAGGGTTTTAAGAACCATACAAGCAGAGTTGAAAGCGCGACCGAGTAGCGAGAATGAAACACCAGGACCAAGATCAGGAACGATAAAGCACTGTGAAGTACCGACCAAATATCATGTGAAAGCACAGACGCTGATCCCACTCACCAACGGTCAGTCGGCCTTTCGTCGCAGCCATGGCTTCGCATTCATCTGCGAACCTCCTGCCATTGCTGGAGCAGACCTGCAGGTGACATAATTACCCAAAATGACGGAAAGGACGTAAAGGGGAAAATGAAAAAATAAGTCGATCCACAGAACCAGGTAGACATAGATCAAAACGACCCAACCGATCTACACAGATGCGGCTGCAACGAAAAACACTCGGGAGAACGATTGACCTTTTAGCTAAGAACATTTCAGATCTGATTGAAATGGGTTGTTTTGTCGTTTCGTCAATGCCGGTTTTGCAGGACTGTAAGTCAGCTTCCAAAGACTACGGTTATAAAACAATGGAAGGACAGGAGAGGTCTAGTAAAGGACACATGTAGAAGAAAAGGCAGGAACGTAACACATGAAATTTTATATTGAAGGAATGATAATTTTGATGTCTGCGACTACGTCACTCAACACCACCGAACGCGGTAACTTTTGTTAAACGTTTTCAAAATATGCAATGACGTTGTTAACGATAAACAGACCAATATTGAGACAAGGGGTTCCCAAAAAAACAAGAAACAAATTCGGTAGTGAAGAAATCGTGGGGAAACAGATGCGTACGGGTCCTGAGTGGGGATTGCAACCCCTTGTCGAGTGCTGGTCGGACGTAAACTTGGTCTCGTTGCTCGCAGCAGGACGTGACAGCAGAAGCGGAAGCGACTGAATCGATGACACGGAGCTCGCAACCTGCGGACCCGCCATGGAAAGAAAGACGAGCGCGAGCAGCAGCAGCGATGAGAGAGGCAGACTTTGACCACCGCCTCGTTGCCACATCAGCCATCGCCACCTCATCAGCGGTAAGCCAAGTTGCGGCTGCAGCCAGACTCCCTCCATATTTTAAAGACGCTCACTACGCGACGAGAGGAAAAGGACGCACCGCTCAGAGGTAGTACTAAGAACCGCGGAACCGGGCCGCGCTCATCGGAAAGACAGAGTTAGTATTTGGTTGAGCAACGGCCCTGTTAGTGGTGTCAGGCCAGGTGAGGCTGGGGGGAAAACAGCAAAACTGGCGGTGGAGGGGGTTCAAGAAAGAATAGCTGGAGGAAGTTGAGGAAAGGAAGCTGAAAGAAGCTTCTGAAGAGGCAAGGTGAACGGAAAGGGATTGGTTAGGGGGAAGGGAGGGGGGAGGGGAAAATCGGGACGAATGAGGGGTGGTATGGGTTTGGAAGGAGTGGATAGATGGGGGGAAAGCGAGGGAGAGTGTGGGATGAAGGGGAGAGGTTGGGGAAAAAATTGGAGGGAAGGGGAGATACGGGATGAGGGATTGAGGGAGCACCGTAGCAGCTGGCCTCTGCAGTGAGTGGTCAGTGAGGCTTGGGGCCAGGTTTGTGGCGTGGCGATTGGGGGGTTCTGGCGGTCAGCGCGGGAAAATCGATGAGTACCTCGGAAACCCCTTCTTGGGAGGAGAAGCGGGGCGGGTGCCGTGTGGGGCGGGGCCGGGATGACGGAGTTTGGCAAGTGAAAGTTCTCAGGTGGGGGAAGCGGAGAGTGCGGGGCTAGAAGGGGAAGGAGGGGGGTCTTAGATCTTGCCTCCGGAGTTCGCCTGCGACGCCAACATAGTGTTGTCGTTTGGGCTGCGGCCCGTGGGTCAAAACTCTCAGACGCTGCGCAGGGTGCTTCTCATGAATTAGGTTTCGATTGGCTAGTTTACCTGACAATATGTTACGAAACATGTAAAAGTTTAGTACACTACCTGCTGGGCGAAAATGGGCAAGCCGAAAGAATATGAACCCAGGAGGTGGACACCTCAGCACCAGCTCGCACACCTATGCTATTTGCGTGAAATTCGTGAAGGTCAGAGCGCGTGGAGCAGCGGGTAGACACCACACCACACCACATGCCCTGCGCCCAAGCGCGGTCTGATGATCTGTTGTTCCTTGGCGGAAATTGCTTTTGAAACTGGGCAATGAGAAGCGACGGCGGCGCGTTAACGTGCGGAGAAATTGGTCTCTCAATTTGGCGGCAGCGGAGTGGGAGGTTAGGCGCGGGTATGAGGGGGAACGCTCCCCGCAGTGCGGGGTGATTGATTCCGCCAATCAAGAGTTTGGCACTGCCTGTCAGATTGTGCGGAGGAAGCATAGACTCCATGCAAGCCTGTTATTGGAGGCTTTGGTACTTTCGCGCTTCCCGACGTGGAGGCAACGATACGGACCGCGCTTAGCACCCACGGAACGAAGCAGAGAACCGCTTTGGAATGTACTACACTCCGTTTGCCTGCTGGACTTTACCACTGCCCACCATCGTCCCTTCCCTGAGCCTTTCAACCGTCCGATTCGTTCGTCAGATGGAGGGAAATACCGTTCCAGCGTAACAAGAAAGCAGAAAGCCAGCGTCAGGAACGTGCCACAAGCTCTACAGCCGATTTGTGCCTGACATGGCAAGAGTTGATTGGCACGAATAGTGTGCCAAATATGTGGGAGATATTGCTACTCAATCCCGCTACTGGAGCAACAGCTGCAACGGAATTAATTCTTTCACACACTAACTGTAAACAACTGCATATAACCTGACATTCTTGTGAGTGGACCAATCACTAATCGCATATTTTCTATAGTATTTTTCTGCAGTGACCTCCTTGAAACCCGCCTCAAAATACATTGAACCGAGAGAACACAATAAGCATAATTCTTCTCACGCGTCCAAGCAAAGTGTAATATTGAAGGTATATCTAACAGCTGCACTTCTTAACGGATAACATGTTGTGGATCCTGTGGTGAAAATGGTAAGTTTCTGACGGTGTTTATATCATTGATACTTTCCTTCTATTCACCATGAGGGTTAACAGGCAATACGGTACTAGTTGTAAAATGGTCGCAGCCTTGCTAATACTGAAGACGCCACATTCGGTGTTGGGCATGCTGGCGTGGCATGGTCCAGCGTGCGCTCCTTCATGTTTGGAGATTTGCTGCATGGTCCAGCCCTTCGCGAAGGTTGCCGATGTTACCCTCTCCCAATGCCGAAGTCTGAATGCGTGCGACTCTGCTTGTGCGTAACAAGCGATGCAAGTTCGCTGCATCCTGCGCATCGTGGTTCGCAAGGCTTCCAGCGTGGCAGGTAAGATCGTTGAAATCTCGGCATGCCACGTGTGCATGAGCTTCCCTCGACAAGTCAAACCCATGTAGTGTAGCCTGCATGACTACCAACCATGTGATGCCTGGCTGCCAGCGTCACGACATATGTCCAGCACCCATGCCATCTTATCCACTTCTTCAAGGATTCCACTGCCTTGCCCCACCTGTGCTTCCAAAGGGTTCAGGGTTTGTCGTTGACATTGACAATCTCCCAATTTACTGCATCATCTTCCGGCCGACGCAGGGGCTGTCTAGAAAATAATATTTTGTTGCGGAACCAGGAACAATGTGTCACCCTACATTGCATCAGAACAACCCCAGGAACAGCAAAAGAGCAGGCACTCTCTGGTTTCTGGCCAACATTTTGGATTACGCCCTTGGCCTTTCGAACGAACTTCCCAAACTGAAACTCCCTGACCCTTCCACGAATTCGTCCTGGATCTAACCAAGCCTCCCCCCAGCTTCTGCTACTACAACTATTCCCAGCAAGCATTTGGTTGGCATTTCGTGGTTTCACATCTCGAGTCATTTGCCTACTCATCTCACAAGCATCTGTCAGTCAGGCAAGGCAGTCAGTCATCCCGCTGGACGCAGCTCGTCACGACCATTCGTTGTCCGTTCAACACTTGGCGCCGACACCCCCCTTTCAGTTGTTGTCCAAGCCCGTCCACTTTCAGTCACCTTGCTAGTTCCGCCTCTTGACGATTCCAGTGGCGAGATTTCACACCACATTCCGTCTCCGGTAGTCCCCTTACAGTCTCCATCCCTTATTACCTAGCCGCAACGCTCAAGTTCGTTCATAAAACGCTGCTCTGTTCTATCCTCTCAAGCCCGCCACCCTCTCCTTTTCCAGCCTCCCTCTTCAATCCATGGCGACAGACGCTCCCCCCGCCGCAGTCCCCGCCGCCGATGCCGCCGCCGACGCCGGCGCTTCGGCTGCGGCGACGGAGAAGCTAAGCGAGGCCCTCGTGTCGATCCACAAGGAGCTTCTCGACCTGCGCGACACGCTCAAGGCGATGCAGGAGGCGAAGACGCCGCCGACGGAGGAGGCGCTGCAGCCGCTGCAGGAGCGGCTCGACGCGGTGGATAACAAACGCGTGGACGGCATCTTCGGCGGGTCGCTCAAGACCGTCATTCCCGAGGGCCAGGCGATCCTGCACGAGCTCATGGACGAGGCTTACGGTGAGCGGCGGAGAGAAAGAGGGGAAGAGAGGAAGAAGGGGAAAGCGGGGAGGGGGTAAGTTGACACAAGCTCATGGTGAGCGTCGGAGAGTGAGTGGTCTGGAGGAAGGAGGGTGTTGACACGTGGTTGTGGTGACAGGAGCACGCGGACGAGGGGTATGGTGAGCAGCATAGGCTACTGATATATGGATGATTTTTTTTTTTCCCTTTTTTCGAAAGTTTTTCTGTATGTGTGTTTGAGTCTTTTTTCCCCCTTTTTGTTTCTTTTTTCATTTTCTTTTACCGGCGACCACGACTCGTGGCTATAGCGGGTCGATGCGGCGGGAGTACAAGTGCGCGGACGGATCCTCTTGAGAGGTTTTCCGAAACACTGATAGCCGACGAACCCTATGGACGATCTTAGGGTGATGCAACCGCGCTAGCTCGTGCGAACTCATGCGAATTCGTTCGAATTCGTGCGATCTACGACACGCTGTGCGGGCTGGCCGAACAACCACCTCTCTTCCGTCACCCCTCCTTTATCCCCATACCAACCACCTCCTTCGGCCATTTCAAGCTGTGCAAGCAAACTGAGCTAAGCAACCCCACCTCCTGCCTTCCCCCCCTCCTTTTCCCGCCGCCACTCCACCCTCCCTCCCTCTCCCCCCTGTCCTTCCGCTGCCATACCTTGTCAGCGAGCGGGTCGTGAACGAGTCGGCCATGAAGCAGATCTACGACACGCTTTGCGGGCTGATTGAGTGAATACAAACACTTCCCCACCTCCTCCCCGTCACCCCCTCCTCTTCCCCTCCCCCCTTCCGCCTCCGTCTCTCCCCGGATTTCCCCCGCCCCAGACCTTGTCAGCGAGCTCGTAGTGAAGGCGTCGAAGATGCCGCCGGAGATGAAGCAGATCTACGACACGCTGTGCGGGCTGAAGCGCAAGCTGAACAACCTCCGCCTCCCTTCTTTCCCCTCCCCCATCCCGGTCCCCGTTCCTCTCCCCCTCTCCCCCCCACTTCCCCCCACTCCCCCCCTTCCTCCCCCCCCCCCTCCCGCGCCAGACCTGGTGAGCGAGCTGGTGGTGAAGGCCTCCGAGATGCCCCCCGAGATGAAGCAGATCTACGACACGCTGTGCGGGCTGAAGCGCAAGCTGCAGAAGATGAAGGCGGACCGGTCGTACTCGCTGGAGGACATCCACCACTACCAGCTCATGGTCGACGCTATTGACTCGCGCCGCGTCGACGGGATCTTCGCGGGGAACCTGCAGTCGATCCCGCCCGGCCAGGCGCAGTGCAGCACGGTGCTGTTCCAGGTGTACGGTGCGTGGGGGGCGGGGGAGTGGGGGATGGGGGTCAGGGGGAAGGCAGGTAGAGGGAAGAGAGTCTAGGGGAATGGGGGCTAGGGGACTGGGGAACAAGGGAGAGGGGGGAGCGAGGTGGAAGGGGGAGTAGGGGGAAGAGGGAAAGGGGAAAGATGAAGGCGGATCGGTCGTACTCGCTGGAGGACATCCACCACTACCAGCTCATGGTCGACGCTATCGACTTCCGTTGCGTGGACGGGATATTCGCCGGCAACCTGCAGTCGATCCCGCCGGGCTAGGCGCAGTGCAGCACCGTGCTGTTCCAGATGTACGGTACGTGGGGGAGGGGGAAAGGGGGGAAGAGAGGGGGGGGTGTGCAGGGGGGAGGGGAACGGGGAATTGTGGGGGTTGGGGGAAGGGGGCCTAGGGGCTGGGGGAACCAGGGGGAGGAGGGAGGAGGGGAAAGCGGGGGAAAAGGGGAAGCGTGGCGGACCAGTCATACTCGGAAGGTGGGGCGAGGGAGGAAAAGGGAAGGGGGGGGGGACGGGCAAGGGGAAAGGGGAAAGGAGGGGAGACAGAAGGAGCGGGGGCAATGGGAGGGGGTTCATTGTTTAAGGGTGGGGGCCTCTTGGCTCGAAAAGGAGGAAACGATGAGCATGAAAGGAGGGGAGGGTTAACGAGGAGGAGAATACGTTGTGAAAGAAGAGGGTATGAAGGGGGAAGGAGAATGTGGGGCATGGGATATGGACTATGGGGCATGGGCATGTGACATTTGCACCTAATATGCGATCACAATGCGAGTTGCAGAGGAATGGGGGGGAATTTTATAACTCGTTGCAGCAAATCGAATGGGGGGTAGCTCTAGCCTTCTAGGCGAGCAGAAACGGGAAGGGGGGGTGAAAGGCAAGCTCGAGTGTGTGGACGGGTGCTGGTGTTGGGGAGGTGAGAAAGGTGTCGTTGAACATTGCCCAGTTTCCCTCCATCCACAGTGGAGGACGATGGGCATGGAGATTTTTGCTGAGATGACCCAAGCCTTGCGTTTGCAAGATATGGAGGGACGGTTGAGAAGGAAGGAGGCGAAAGGGCTGGTGCTGAACGAATGGGACTTGGAATTGTGGTGGATTGGTTGGATTGGTGAGACTGACAGTGATGAGTAGAGCCATGTCACACATACGCACAAACCACCTCTGCATTTCCCACTCTTTCCTCACTTCTCCCCCTCCCTCTCCTCTTTTCCACCCTTGTTCAATGTCCCGTCTTCACCACACCTCCACCTCCTTCCCCATGTTTCTCACCCTCAGAGCTGCTGCGCATCCTGCTGGGTTCCGCGCACGACATGAACGCAGAGATGCGGGGCATCTACACGCACCTTATCGGCATCAAGCGCAAGCTCATTGAGCTCAAGAGCAAGCACATCAAGCACAGCACGGAGGACCTGCACATCTACCAGCTGCAGCTGGACGCCATTGATAGGGACCGCGTGGAGGGGATTTTCGGTGGCTCGCCCAAGACGGGCATTCCGGCCGGGCAGGCGGTTTGCTCCACACTGCTCGCGCAGTGCTTCAAGCTCGTGCAGGACTTGCAGGAAACGGCGACGGATGTGTAGGTTAGGAGCAGTATGAGAGGTATGGGAAGTGTGGGGAAATGAAGGGGTAATGAGATGGCGGTTTCGAGGGAAGTGATGTGGAGTGCTAGTGGTGCACACGTATGGTATCATACCTGGATTGGTTGTCTTGGCGGTTTTGACATTACCTCTGATTTCAGAGGCTTGAGTGGTTACTTGTTTAGCTGACTTGCAATGAATTAGTACGGTAGTAGTAATGGATTTACTGTGCTTTGCCAAGTTTCCATATTGATTTGGCTCTTGGTTTTTATATCAAATTCCCAATGGTTCTACACTGTCAGGTTGATCGTTATCGGAGTTTCTGCCCTCTGCCACCAGGCTGGTTCCATACGAAACTAGCTGTCACAACACGTGAATGAACACATGTCGAGCACTGATATGTCGAAAACGTTTTTGGTGAACTTGTTTTGGATCACAAAACCTGAATGAGGACGCTGCGCGTTTGGAAAACCTCGTTGGCTAAAACCGCTTTCACCACTAGATCAGGTCCCGTGACTCAATAATTGCCACATAAGTTCGTCCATCTTTGCACGGATATTTTTTTGTATTGCGTGTCATTTTGGGTTCAACCAGACCACACACCTCAATGACTTTCCGCCTTGCCTTCCGCGTTTCAGGCTCGAGCTGTATGGCAGTATGGAAATTTGAACCCAGACCACTTGGCGGTACTTTCGAGGGAAGACGATATGACGAGCTGGCGTGAATCGAGCCACTCCACGTCGGCACGCTCGAGGGAGCTTTTTCTGGCTTGGCGTTGATGTCCCGCTTGCTACAGGTCCATGTCTGTTCCACAGCCGACGTGGCACACGAGACCAAAGCTTGCCGGAGCACCGAAATCGAAACGCGGCAATGTCTATGCTAGTCTGGCTCTGACACCGCCAAAATCCACCAGGGAAATTTGTGCATCTGTATCTTCACTTGCTTTCACCACCGCCGCGCTGGCAATTCAGAACTTGAATAACACGCAGAGTCTTGTTCACACACCTCCACCACCCTTCTTTTACCATAAACCATATCCAAACCCATCCGAAACCGACTATAACCCCATTACATCCTTGAATTGGCCAGCGAGACCAGACCTAGCCAGAGGTATTTCAGACAGAATGGCCTATTTGTGAAAATTCCTGCACGTCATAAATCACACCCCTCGGTCTACGTCACTTGCTTACCACGCTTCACGCCAACTCTGCTTACCACGCTTTACATCACCGCTAAGTAACAGACGCCACCTCTGCTTACGCGTTCACGCAATTCCTCAGTTTATTGCACGCGGTCATCGAGGAGGACGTTAGTTGTAAGCTTAGGCCGCGAGGCGTACTAATTGTGCGCTACTGTTTTTTACTGCCTTGCAAGGAAGCAGAGAAAGCTCGTCGGAGCGAGCAAGCACCGGAGAGCTTTTCCCGCTGCGTGAATATAGCCAGTAAGTACAGCCACCGCTCAACAATCTCGTATTCCGGGCACACCGCTCGAAGTACTCCCCGAGCACGTCGATACTGTTTTGGCTCCGCTGAGTGTTATTTTTTTCTGATGCCGGCTGTATGACCGATTTTCTTAACCCATGAACTGGGCTACTAGATTCGCCATCCGCTTCTTCACTAAGCCGGCAGGTACATGAGTTTTCACGTGAAAGCTTTCCTCCACGAGCAGGATCCGGTTGGAGTGAAAGGCTCGGTTCACTTAAAAGACTCGGTCTGCGTGAAAGTCTTCTTTCTGGCATTATCATCATCTTCTTCTTCGTGTTTCCCACCTTTGTCGCGTGGTCCCATCCCGTTCCCACGCAGACATGAAGTGGGAATCTAGCCGTTCGTTGAGCATCCCGTCTTCGCCGTCCCACCCCCTGAAAGCCGACTCCGTTCTTGCACTTCCCCTCTCCTCGCCGCTTCTGCACCACCCTCCGCTCCCTCAACCTCCTCCTCCTACTACCAGTTCTCTTCCTGCTCCTCCCCCTCCGCATGTTTCCGTCGGCTGTCGAGCAGCCCACCTCGCCGAAGTCTTCGCTCCGGGTCAGCGCTTCGCGTCGGTTCCGTCAATCCCTCAGTCAGTCCCTGCGACGAGACCAGCGGCTCCGAAGCGCGGGTCGTCTGGGAGTTTCAAGGAGAGGCTACAACTGGGAGACAGCCGTGCGGCGTCAGCGGCGTTAGCAGTACCAGCGGTACCAGCGGCATCTGCGGCGTCAGGTTCGGAAGCAGCTACAAGGCTAAGTGCCAATAGCCCAAGTTTCGGCGGAGGAAGCGGTCTCGGCGACAGATTCGGCACCAGAAACGAGGAAGACGGAAGTGAAACTTTCTTCTGGCGGGTCGATGCGCGGGCTCAAGAGCTGGTCGCGCAGTGGCGAGATGTAACGGATTTGGCTTCCCCGCCTCCTCCTCCGCCTCCTCCGCTAGTCGCGCTCGAGCGGCGGCTGGACGAGGCGGAGGAGTGGCTAGGAGCAGCTGTGGCTGCGCTCGGCGCGCAGAGCCGCTCCTTCGTGCGAGCCGCCGCCGCGGGTTTCCCGCGCGGCCAGCGGTGGGAGAATGCAGCGGCGCGGAGCCGCGGGCAAGCGAGATTGAGTTTGGAAGGCGGAAGGAGTCCGGTTGGGTTAAGAGGGATAAAGGTTCGGCTGGCGGTGAGCGGAAGGCAGGCGGAAGGGAAGGACGCGGACGAGCGGATGCTGCAGGGTGAGGGGGCCGAGGGCGAACGGCAGGAGCGGAAGGGGGGACGGGAGGGGGAAGGGAAGGCGGTGCGGGTGAGGGGGGGCGTTCCGGAGCAGCTGCTGTGTGGTGGGTTTGCGGGAATCGTGTCGCGGACCGCCGTCGCGCCTTTAGACCTCATCCGGGTAAGGCAGCATGCTGTTTCTTCGTGGTTTGGTCTGTTTGTTCGTTTTTCTCTTGCAGATTGTTCCGGTTTCGCCGGTGTAAAAAGCGCGTTGCCGTACTGTCTTTCTCTGCTGCCTCGCTGACTTCTCTCTCGATCACCCTGAACCGCATTGCACCGCAACTTCCCGTTCCCAGAATGCTGCATGCAACAAGCGGTCACCGCGCTGTCGTCGTTGTCGTCCGCTCACTCGCTTTCTTCTCGCGCCCGCACCGCCATGTGCTCCGCACTCCCGCCTGCCCTCCCTCCAACCCCCCAGACGCATCTCATCAGCAGCAACGGCTTGCCTGGCGCGCACAAGACCGCGGCGAGCGTGCTCTCGGCGATCATGGCGAAAGACGGCTGGAAAGGCTTCTTCCGAGGTGCGCCCTCACCGCGTCATCCTTCGCTCCTACCTCTCTCGTCCCGCAGTCAAAAGGTCCCTCTGTCCCCCAGTCCCCTTGGCGCCCTTGCCTCCTCCTTCATCCCTGCGTTTCTCCACTTGTTCCGTTTCCCAAACCCATCCCCCCTCCCCCCTCTTTTTCTTTCCCCTCACTTCCCCGTCCCGTCCCTCTCTCCCCCCCCCTCTCTCCCCCCCCCTCTTCCCCCCTCGTTCGTCAGGCAACGGAGTGAACTGCCTCCGCGTGGGGCCGCACAAGGCAGTCGAGCTCTGCACGTTCGAGATGCTCAGGCGCCTGCTGAACCGCCCGGGCCACCCCTTGCAGCACGTGGCGGCGCCCGTGTCGGGCGCAGCAGCGGGGCTGGCGGGCACGCTGCTGACGTACCCTCTGGAGCTCATCCGCACGCGCATCAGCGTTCAGCCCGAGCTGTACCGCGACTTGGGCTCGACAGTTAGGAAGATCGTGCAGGAAGAGGTGCGTGACGGCTGGAGGGAGGATGCATTGGTGAGGCAGGGTGGATTGGGGAGTGGGATGGGTAGCTGGTTCGCCGGGGTTGCTTGGGAGGTGCATGGGCGCATCTCCCACCCCTTGCAGCACGTGGCGGCGCCGGTGTCGGGAGCAGCAGCAGGGCTGGCGGGCACGCTGCTGACGTACCCTCTGGAGCTCATCCGCACGCGCATCAGCGTTCAGCCCGAGCTGTACCGCGACCTGGGGTCTACCGTTCGAAAGATCGTGCAGGAAGAGGTAGGTGAAATCGGGTCAAGGGTGGTTTGGAATTGGGGGTGGGTAGGTGCATGGGCGCATCAGCGTTCAGCCAGAGCTGTTCCACTGTTTGGAAGATGGTGCAGGAAGAGGTGGGTGAAGAGGGGAGAAAGGGTTTGCGGGGGAGGAAGGAGGGTGGGTTGGGGCGTGGGAGTGGGTAGTTGTTCAGCTGGGCTTGCTTGGGAGGTGCATGGGCGCATCAGCGTGCAGCCAAATTCCAGGTTGTGCCCACCATGTGCTGTACTGTGACCTGTGATCCACTGTTGGAAGGATCGTGCAGGAAGAGGTCCGTGAAGGGTGGGAGAATTGTAATGCGGAGAGGAGTCGGGGAGGAAAGGGGGGAGGTTTTGTGTGCAAGACGCGCGTTGGAGGTGCATCAGCGCAACAGTGTGTGTGTGTGTGTGTGTGCTTGGGTTCGTCGTTTGACTCGAGCATCTCCTGGACTAAACAGTGTGTGCATGGGTACAGCAAGTTCAATCTCCTTGTTCTCATCTCTGCTCCGTGCCTCTCCTCTCCTCTCCATCCCCTCCCCCCCCCTCCCCTTCCCCCTGCCTTACCTCCCTCCAAGGCGCCCTCTCTCTGTACCGCGGCATAGTGACGTAACTGCTGGGCGTGGTGCTGTACACGGCCACCAACTACTTTACAGGCACCTAATCATACTCTCTCCTCCTCTTCCCCCGTCCCACCCCATCATCCAGGGCGCCCTGTCTCTGTACCGCGGCATAGTGCCATCGTTGCTAGGCGTGGTGCCGTACGCAGCCACCAACTACTTTGTGTACGATGCGCTGCGCACCGCGTACAGGAAGGCCACCGGCAGGGAGCAGGTGCCCAACGAGGCCACGCTGCTGTTCGGCGCTGCTGCCGCTTCTGCATCCAGTGCAGTTACATTTCCCCTCGAGGTCAGTTGGATCATCTGCTGCTTGCTGCATGGTTGTTGTGGGCTGCACTGTTGGTGCTTCCTGCTGGCTTCAAAATCCTGTAACAATGCATCCCAACAACCCCAACCATCCTAACAAGCACTCTCCCTCTCCCTCACCCCCTACTCTCATTCCACCCACCAGGTGGTCCGCAGGAGGCTACAGCTAGGTGTGACAGCCACAGGCGCTGGTGCTGCAGGGAGACAGACAGCCGCAACCATTCTCAAGGGTATCATAGAGACAGAGGGCGTACTGGCTGTGTACAGAGGGCTGGGAACCACGTGGCTGAAGCTGCTCCCTGCTGCTGGCATCTCGTTTGTGTGCTATGAGGCGGCACGCGTGGCGCTGAGGGTGGATGATGCGAGCATGGCTAGAGGGCAGGAGAGGAAGGGTGGCAGCAGTGGTAGTGGCAGCAGCAGCAGTGGCAGCAGCAGCAGTGGCAGCGGCAGTAGCAGCAGGGAGGTTGGTGAGCAGGAGAAGGACGAGGAGTAGGGTTGTAAGGTTCACAGAGGAGTTCAGGGCGGTGGCACGGGAATAAAGTGGGTCGCATTGTCCCCGCATGCTGCATGCTGGTTGAACATTTATTGATGCACATTTCTTCTGTGCTATTTGTTTATAGTTGCAATGCAATTGAGGTAGTCATTCCATTTCCAATATGACCTGTCACTTCATAAATTCTAGTATGGTAGCTATTACTAGTCTGAAGAGAAGATCGAAGGGCAAGTCTCATATGGTAACTGAATGGGCACCATAAATTGATACCGTAATACCCCGGATATAAGCGCACCTGCGCTTATAATAAAACGTGTTGTTTTAGGGGGGTGCGCTTATAATTGAGTAAAATCTATAAGCGCATGCGCTTATAAGATGACAAATAGACATATATATTTTAAAAGCACTAAACTGTACATCTCCTCCTTGCAACTTCAACCGAATCGAAATTTTGAGCGTCCAAAATCAGAATCGTGCGGGGTCGATACTCTGCCGGTGCACAGGGGCAAAAGTTACACGTCAGACTGCTGGAATGCCAGCTCATACTGGACGCGCAGGATGTGAGGTCCTCAAAGTCAATCGAAGCGAAAATGGTTGTGTCCTCGCTGCAAAATTAGATTTCGTTACCGTTTTAATCAAAATTTAAAATTGAAATTAGACATGCGCTTATAATAAGTAAGGTTTTTACAGGGGGTGCGCTTATAATTGAGGAACGGGCATAAGCGCAGTGCTCCAGATATAAGCGCATGCGCTTATCATAGGCCTGCGCTTATATCCGGGGTGATACGGTATGATAAAATCCTTCCTAACAACAAAATCACTTGACTTGCTAGACAACTCAAAACAAACTGGTAAACAACACCAAACCAAGCATTCCTTTCCTCATCCCTTACCAGCACCCTTACCTGCCCTCATCTTCCCCTTCCCTCTCCCCCTTCCCTTGCCCCTGCCTCATCCTCGCCCTTTCCCACCCCCATCAATTCTCTGAGAAGGCCTGGAACGGGAAGCAGCAAATCTGTGTCATGCATCCCTGCCACCACGAGAAGCAGACACACGCACACCGGCTGTGGCTGCATCTGCACCTTCCCGCTGGTCCAGGCGAGTCAAGGCTAGCGCCAGGTGGAAATCAGCATGCTCTTGCAGTCCCCATGGCTGCTCATGAACCTCCACCACATGCCCGCACATGCCACACCTCATTGTACCCGATTCTCTCGCTGCCACCCATGTCACCTCATGCTGATCATCAGCCTGTGTGCCCTCTCCTCCACAGGCCCTCTGCTCATCTCTGCGTAGCTTCTCATCATTTTCTTCACATACAGTCTTCTTTTCTTCACAAGACGTCTCCTTTTCTTCACACACCATATCCTCTTCCTGCTCTGAGATGTCACCCGCGCCAGGCATGTACTGTTGCGGTTGCTCTTGCTGTTGCTGTAGCTGTTGCCCTCTCGCGGGAATGCTGCAAACACTTATACCTGCCTGGTTACAATGCCCAACTGATACTCTTCCTGTTTCGCTTGCTGCTGCTGCTGCTGCACCAGCTGCACTGGTTGCTGTTTCCACACTACTGAAACGCATCCCACCACTCGCTTTCGTATCTCTTACTAATCGCTCATCACCAGATGCTCCTGCTCCTCTCGTGCCTCCTGCTGCTACGTGCTGCAATAACGAATCTATGCACAGCTGCTGCTGTTGCTGCTTCTCGAGTTGCCTTTTCTTTCTTGCCCTTCCCGCCTTTCCCCCTTTTTCCACTCGGGACCCCTGCACCCGCTTCCCCAGCAAACGTTTCGTCCTGTGACTCGTTTCAAAGGCCTGGCTCATCGCACCAGTAGCCAGTGCTCCTGCTGGTTCTGCTTTTGCCTCATCTTCTTCTTCTGCTGCTGCTGCCTCATTTCCGAAACATACCATCTCTTGCTTCTCCATGCCCTCCTGATAATGAGTCGCATCTTCAAACGACATAGGAGGCATTTGAAACGCCTTCTGAGTCAGAGCCAACGTCACCTCTTTTTCCTTCGCCTCCTCCTCCTCCTCGTCCCCTCTCTCCTCCATCCTTCTCCTACCCACCTGTGCACATGCTTTCTCAACATCAGTGTTCTTCATCCTCTCTTCTCTCTCCTCCCTCTCTTCCCTCCCTTCCCTGTTCTCACTTTCTCTTCTCTCCTTCTCTTCCTCCTCCTCCCTCTCTTCTATCTCCTCCTCTTTCCTCTCCTCCCGCTCCTCCCTCTCCTCCTCCTCCCTCCCCTCCCTCTCTTCCCTCTCCTCCTTCTCGTCCCTCTCCTCCCTCTCCTCCCTCTCCTCCCTCACCTCTCTCTCTCCCCCACCGCTCCTCCCACCATCCATCCCTTCAGCCATCCCCTCACCACACTCCTCCCACTCACTCTCACTATCCCACCCACCCTCCCACTCACAGCCACTCAACTCCGCACCACCATCGCCACAGCCCCTCAACTCCTCTTCCCCCCCCACCTCTTCCCCTGTCTCATTTTGCACACGTACATCGGGTAATCTTGCATGCTCCCTCCACTCTCCCCCAAGCCGCCTCTCCTCTACCCTCTCGGCGCCTCCATGCGCCCATCCCTCTCCCTCCACCGAATTCTCCTCCAGCAATCGCTCCCTCCCCTCTCCTCCCCTGCTCTTTCTCGGTTCTACTCTCTTAACACCCATATATGCAGAATGCTTCCCCTCAGTTGGACCTGTAGGGAACTTCCCCTCAGGGGAACCGGTAGAATACTTCCCCTCAGCAGCCCCCTTGGCAGAACTACCACCAACTGCTCTCCTTCCTCCAAGCACCTCACTGATTGTTGCCTGCCTGCTGCTGCCACTGCTGGCGCGCGGCACAAGGGCGCTCATGCGCAGACCTGAGGTAGGAATGGGCAGGAGAACAGACGTTACTGTTACATTCGTCTATTCTCTGTGTTGTTCTTAGGCATCTCTTAAACTGCCTGCTGCTGCCGCTGCTGGCGCGCGCGCGGCATAAGGGCGCTCATGCGCAGAGCAGACGTGAGATAGAGAAGGGCGTCACATCACAGCACTTTTGAGACGTCTCAAAAGAGCAGACGTGAGATAGAGAAGGGCGTCACATGTTTTTTGAGAATTCTCAAAAAACATCACAGCACAGCTTTCTGTCAACAACAGTGGCACACATGCCGACAAAATTTAGTTTTGAGTGGAGCTTTTGAGAATTCTCAAAAAACTCACTCAAAACTAGTGTCAACAACAGTGGCACACACACACACATGCCGAAGGAACGGCCAACTCTGTGATTTTGAGGCGCCTCAAAAGCCGACAACAGTGGCAGCACACACACATGCCAACAGAACGGCCAACTCTGTATGGCTCACGTAGCAATACTCTGCACTTAGCAGCATCACTCACTCACCCAGCAGCACCACTCTGCACTCAGCAGCAGCGCCACTGGCCCAAAAAAACACCAAGGGACCACCTCAGTCAGTGTACCATAGCCACAGCAGCACCATTCCGCACGATCACACACCCAGCAGCACCGCTCATCACCCAGCGGCACCACTCACCTAGCAGTCGCACCGAGACTGGCAGCTCTGCTCGTATGAGCCTCACAACTAGCGGCCACATCTCCTGCTGTGACCCTATGGGCTCTGGTACAGACACCGCCCGCGTGCGCACCTGAGGGCGATGAGGTGGAGAGAGGAATGGGGGGAGGGGAGAAGAAAAAAGGAGAGCTTTGAGAGGCCTAAAAGAGAGACCTCCTGCTGTGACCCTATGGGCTCTGGTACAGACACTGCCCGTGTGCGCACCTGAGGGCGATGAGGTGGGGGAGAGGGACAAGGGGCAAAGGGACGAGGCTTTTACTTCCTGCTGCTGTTACTGAGTTCTAAAGCTTTGAGAGGTTGCAGAGATCTCCTGCTGTGACCCTATGGGCTCTGGAACAGACACTGCCCGTGTGCGCACCTGATTGCCACAGGGGAGTGGGGAGGGAAAAGGGGAGACGGGAGAGGGGGGATTGAAAATAAGTGTGAATTTGGAGGCACGTCTTCTCAAAACCAGGTTGAAACAAACAAACCCAGGTGACTCGAAAAAACGGACCTCGAAAGCGGTTGTTTTGAGCTTGAGAGTGAGTGTTCGGCCCTTCATGCCATGTTCCTCCAGATCCTTTGCCAGAGCGAAGCTCAGTTCCTCTGCACAATTGTATCAAACGGGGAGGGACGAGACGGACCACTTCTGAGTCAACTCAAAGGTCTCCTCGTTCAGTCGACTCAGAAATCCCTTCATGCCATGCCATGTTCCTTCCTCCAGGTCCTTTGCCAGAGCGAAGCTCAGTTGCTCTGCACGGTTAAATTCGAAGGGGAAGAGAGACACAGGAAAAGGTAGACAAGAAAAAGGAGGAATGGGAAAAAAGGAAGTTGGGGATTCTGGGCGAAGGGTGAGGATGGGGAGGAGGAGAAGCAGGCGGAAAAGGCGGAGAATGAATGCGAGCAAGAATGATGAGGAGAGAGAGAGATGCAGGGAGGAAACTTGCATTTTGAGGCGCCTCAAAATACACCTCACTGCATGAGGAGAGAGAGAGATGCAGGGAGGAAACTTGCAATTTGAGGCGCCTCAAAATACACCTCACTGCATGAGGAGAGAGAGAGATGCAGGGAGGAAACTTGCAATTTGAGGCGCCTCAAAATACACCTCACTGCATGAGGAGAGAGAGAGATGCAGGGAGGAAACTTGCATTTTGAGGCGCCTCAAAATACACCTCACTGCATGAGGAGAGAGAGAGATGCAGGGAGGAAACTTGCATTTTGAGGCGCCTCAAAATACACCTCACTGCATGAGGAGAGAGAGAGATGCAGGGAGGAAACTTGCCAGCCCTGAATGCCAAAGCGAGAGAGGGAGAACAACGTCACTAGAAACAAATGCTAGTAACAACCAATAGTAATAAGTAGACAACAACAACAGCTAAAGGTAGCATGGAAAACGTACCGAGTTTATTGATTTCATACCAGAAGGGTGGGCAGAGAGAAGGAAGCAATAGAAGCGTACCGGGTTTATTGAGAATGGCCGGCTCAGCAGAGAGAGGCGAGAAGATAAGGTGTGAGAAACTCCGCAGAGAGAGAGGGGAGCAATGAAAGCGTACCAAGTTTATTGAGAATAGTTGGCTCGGCAGAGAGGGGCGAGAAGGCGCAAGGCTTAAGGCGCCTGAAAGAATCGTCTCAATGCTCCGCAGAGAGAGAGGGGAGCAATGAAAGCATACCGAGTTTATTGAGAATGGCAGGCTCTGCAGAGAGGGGCGAGAAGGTGCGCTCGCAGCTAATACTCTTCCTGGGTCCCTCCTCCACGTCCCCACTGCCGCCTATGCCCAGCGCAGCTTGCAGGAAGAACTCTGTTGTGGGAGTAGGGTGGGTTGCAATGTGTGAGGGTGGAGCAGGGGAATTGAGACATTTCCTCGCTCGCCTATGCTCGCAGCTGATGCTCTTCCTGGGTCCCTCCTCCACGTCCCCGCTGCCGCCTATGCCCAACGCCGCTTGCAGGAAGGAACTCTGGCACGGGGGCACGTAACAATTTGTGAGGGTGGTGCGTGAGGGCCGCCAATGGCAACACCACATGCATGTAAGAATTATGCAGGGCCTGTCCCGTGCGTTTGTGCATGCATGTGCGTGCAGTAGTGCATTTCTCTGTGTGTGCCCATGTGCGCATTTGTGCGTCCCTGTGGGGATGCGCGTGCACGCGATGCAAGTGCGTGCGTGTGCACGTGCGAGGTGATGAGCGTACCAGCGGAAATGGGGGTGAAGAGGGCGAGCAGAGCGCCTCTGATTTCTGAGGCACCGCCCGTGTGCATGCGTGTGTGCATGCGTGTGTGCGTGCCAGAGTGCACGTGTGAGGTGAGGAGCGTACCAGCGGATATGGGTGAGAAGAGGGCGAGCAGGGCGCCTCTGTGAGTGATGATGTCAGCACACACCTTCACCCCCAGCACGCCCCGTAGCAACCGCTCTGTCACCTTCCCCACTCCTCCTATCTGCATCACATGCCATGCCATGCCATGCCATGCCATGAGATGCCATGCCCCATGCCATATGGCATGCCACAACACATGGCATGCCACAACATGCATACAGCACATCACACGCACGCCGTATCACATGCTACATCAAAGCAACATTCTCAAATTGCACACTACTACAGACCATGCCACTACTACAGCAACATTCTCAAGCCTACAAACTGCACACTACATGGAAAAGAGCTGCACGACCACAGACTACACTTACCTACAGACCATAGAATACTGTGGCGGCCTAGAAACGAACACACAAACTGAGCGACCATATGACTGAGTAAGCGACCGAGCATGCAAGAGAGTGCGACCGAGCATATATACCCCTGGGCATGGCATGGCATGGCATGGCATGGCATGGCATGCGAGCAGCACCTTGCGGATGGGCAGCGAGGAGATGAAGCTCAGAATGGCTTCACGGTCGAATGGCAGCACGTACTGCCCGTTGGGCTTGTTGATGTCCGAGCACACCTGTGCAGGTCAGTCGGAGGATAGGAAAAATGAGAATCATGAAACATTAACAAGCGGCAACGTGGAGGGCAGGTGGCAGCAGGCACTGCCCGTTGGGCTTGTTGATATCCGAGCACACCTGTGCGGGTGAGAGGAGGGAAGGGTCGGGTCGCGGACCAAATGGAAAGGCGGATTCCGGTGAGTGTGCAACTTGGTCATGCGAAAACACGTGGATCCGTTGGGCTTGTTGATATCCGAGCACACCTGTGCGGGTGGGAGGAGAGGAGGGAGGGGTGAGGAAGGGGCGCGGAGAAAAGGAACAAGCTGTTTCAGGTGAAGTGAGTGAGCAACTTCGCAGTCGAATGACGGCACGTACTGCCCGTTGGGCTTGTTGATTGATGTCGGAGCACACACCTGCACGGTTGGACAGAAGGGGGCGTGATGAGTTGAGACGTCTCAGAAGTGAACTGAACCGAGCCTGAGCAGTTGCGCAAACCGGTGCGGGTGGCGAGCATGATGCACCTGAGGGGGAACACATGTACTTACACGCACACGACCACCAGTTGACCCCTCCCCCTCTGTTCTCGTGCACGCTCTTGCACCCCGTTCACTCACCTTAGCAAGCATTCTGTCAGCTGCCACTGCTGCACTGCAGGAGAGGCCCCCATGCGTGCATGCATGCACCTCTGTTGTTTAGTGAACTCAAAACCCCACCACAACCCCTTCACTCCTCCTCCTCACCCAGTCACACACCGTTCGCTCACCTTGGCAAGTTTTGGGACAATATTTGACGTCTCAAAACAAAAACAACTTTTGAGACGTTTTGAGACGTCTCAAAACTCCTCCCCCAGTCACTCACCTTGGCGAGCATTCTGTTGGCGGCCACTCCTGCACTGCACGTGAGGCCGGTGTGGGCATGCACCTTGTGCCGTAGCTCCTCTGCTACCTGCCGTACATAAGGGGACGCGGGGGCAGGCGATGAGGTGAGGAGGAGACAAGGAGAACAGTCAGTGGGGAGGTGCCTTGAACACACGTCAGTCAGTGTGTGCAGAGCATACACCTTGTGCCGTAGCTCCTCTGCTACCTGCCATACTTAAGGGGACGCGGGGGCAGGCGATGAGGTGAGGAGGAGGCAAGGGGAGCAGTCAGTGGGGAAGCTGTTTTCGAGGTGTCTAGAGCGCACTTTGTGCCGTAGCTCCTCTGCTACCTGGCATGGTTAAGTAGGGGGACGTAGGGGTAGGGAGTGAGACAATGAGAACGACCACTAAAGAGCATGTTTTTGAGGTTGAGGTGCTTCTCCGGTGTCATAACCAAGTAAATTGCTGCCACGTATTGAACCATGGCCTCCAAATGGCGCTCGACGAGACAACGAGAACGACCAGTAAAGAGCATGTTGTTGAGGTAGAGGTGCTTCGAAAGCAGGCCCCCGTATGTGCATGCCACCTTGTACATGTTTTGGAGCAGCACCAGTAAGCCAGAACACAGGACTTTATGAGATGCTTCAGATATAAATTGGGGCAGCACCAACGAGCGAGCACATACAGATAATATATATACATATGCAAAATATATATATATATACATATATATATTGAATCAAACGGCAAACACTTGCACAGAGTGTCTTCATAAACTGCGTGCCCAGGTCTGCCCAAGAGTGCCAAGGAGTGCCAAGCAGTACCTAGGTGGAACCAGGTGTGACCAGGCGCGACCAGGCGTGACCAGGCGTGACCAGGCGTGACCAAGCGTGACCAGGTGTGACCAGGCCAGGCATGACCAGGTGGGACCAGGCGTGACCAGGCGTGACCAGGCGTGACCAGGCGTGACCAGGTGTGACCAGGCGTGACCAGGCGTGACCAGGCGTGACCAGGCGTGACCAGGCGTGACCAAGCGTGACCAGGTGTGACCAGGCCAGGCATGACCAGGTGGGACCAGGCGTGACCAGGCGTGACCAGGCGTGACCAGGCGTGACCAGGCGTGACCAGGCGTGACCAAGCGTGACCAGGTGTGACCAGGCCAGGCATGACCAGGTGGGACCAGGCGTGACCAGGCGTGACCAGGCGTGACCAGGCGTGACCAGGCGTGACTAGGTGTGACCAGGCCAGGCGTGACCAGGTGTGACCGGGTGTGACCAGGTGGGACCAGGCGTGACCAGGCGTGACCAGGCGTGACCAGGCGTGACCAAGCGTGACCAGGTGTGACCAGGCCAGGCATGACCAGGCGTGACCAGGCGTGACCAGGCGTGACCAGGCGTGACCAAGCGTGACTAGGTGTGACCAGGCGTGACCAAGCGTGACCAGGCGTGACCAGGTGTGACCAGGCCAGGCATGACCAGGTGGGACCAGGCATGACCAGGTGGGACCAGGCGTGACCAGGCGTGACCAGGCGTGACCAGGTGTGACCAGGCGTGACCAGGCGTGACCAGGCGTGACCAGGTGTGACCAGGCGTGACCAGGCGTGACCAGGCGTGACCAGGTGTGACCAGGCGTGACCAGGCGTGACCAGGTGTGACCAGGCGTGACCAGGTGGGACCAGGCGTGACCAGGTGGGACCAGGCATGACCAGGCGTGACCAGGCGTGACCAGGTGTGACCAGGCGTGACCAGGCGTGACCAGGCGTGACCAGGCCAGGCATGACCAGGTGGGACCAGGCGTGACCAGGTGGGACCAGGCGTGACCAGGCGTGACCAGGTGTGACCAGGCGTGACCAGGCGTGACCAGGCGTGACCAGGTGTGACCAGGCGTGACCAGGCGTGACCAGGTGGGACCAGGCGTGACCAGGCGTGACCAGGCGTGACCAGGCGTGACCAGGTGTGACCAGGCCAGGTGTGACCGGGTGTGACCAGGCGTGACCAGGTGTGACCAGGCGTGACCAGGCGTGACCAGGTGGGACCAGGCGTGACCAGGCGTGACCAGGCGTGACCAGGTGTGACCAGGCGTGACCAGGCGTGACCAGGCGTGACCAGGCGTGACCAGGTGTGACCAGGCCAGGCATGACCAGGTGGGACCAGGCGTGACCAGGTGGGACCAGGCGTGACCAGGCGTGACCAGGCGTGACCAGGTGTGACCAGGCGTGTCCAGGCGTGACCAGGCGTGACCAGGTGTGACCAGGCGTGACCAGGCGTGACCAGGTGTGACCAGGCCAGGCATGACCAGGTGGGACCAGGCGTGACCAGGCGTGACCAGGCGTGACCAGGTGTGACCAGGCCAGGCGTGACCAGGTGTGACCGGGTGTGACCAGGTGGGACCAGGCGTGACCAGGCGTGACCAGGCGTGACCAGGCGTGACCAGGCGTGACCAAGCGTGACCAGGTGTGACCAGGCCAGGCATGACCAGGCGTGACCAGGCGTGACCAGGCGTGACCAGGCGTGACCAGGCGTGACCAAGCGTGACCAGGTGTGACCAGGCGTGACCAAGCGTGACCAGGCGTGACCAGGTGTGACCAGGCCAGGCATGACCAGGTGGGACCAGGCGTGACCAGGTGGGACCAGGCGTGACCAGGCGTGACCAGGCGTGACCAGGTGTGACCAGGCGTGACCAGGCGTGACCAGGCGTGACCAGGTGTGACCAGGCGTGACCAGGCGTGACCAGGCGTGACCAGGTGTGACCAGGCCAGGCATGACCAGGTGGGACCAGGCGTGACCAGGCGTGACCAGGCGTGACCAGGTGTGACCAGGCCAGGCGTGACCAGGTGTGACCGGGTGTGACCAGGTGGGACCAGGGGTGACCAGGCGTGACCAGGCGTGACCAGGCGTGACCAGGCGTGACCAAGCGTGACCAGGTGTGACCAGGCCAGGCATGACCAGGTGGGACCAGGCGTGACCAGGCGTGACCAGGCGTGACCAGGCGTGACCAGGTGTGACCAAGCGTGACCAGGTGTGACCAGGCGTGACCAGGCGTGACCAGGCGTGACCAGGTGTGACCAGGCGTGACCAGGCGTGACCAAGCGTGACCAGGTGTGACCAGGCCAGGCATGACCAGGTGGGACCAGGCGTGACCAGGTGGGACCAGGCGTGACCAGGCGTGACCAGGCGTGACCAGGTGTGACCAGGCGTGACCAGGCGTGACCAGGCGTGACCAGGCGTGACCAAGCGTGACCAGGTGTGACCAGGCCAGGCATGACCAGGTGGGACCAGGCGTGACCAGGCGTGACCAGGCGTGACCAGGTGTGACCAGGCCAGGCGTGACCAGGTGTGACCGGGTGTGACCAGGGGTGACCAGGTGTGACCAGGCGTGACCAGGCGTGACCAAGCGTGACCAGGTGTGACCAGGCCAGGCATGACCAGGTGGGACCAGGCGTGACCAGGCGTGACCAGGCGTGACCAGGTGTGACCAGGTGTGACCAGGCCAGGCGTGACCGGGTGTGACCAGGTGTGACCAGGTGGGTGGGACCACGATTGTCTGAGAATGTCCAGTCAGGCACACGCACAAAGAAAAATACCTGCGCTGGAGTCATGCTCCTGTCCTCGCACACGGCAGTAATGTCCAGATACGCCTCATCTAGACTGCGCGCCACAAAGTGCGGGTCGTACTGGCGGAATACTGGGTGGAGTGTGATGCACGGAGTGTGGGGCGGGGTGGGGTGGGGTGCGGTGGGATGTTGTGAGCCAGGCTAAGATTCTGGAGAAATGGAAAATGTTAAGCAGAAGAGTGAGATTCGTCCAGATACGATTTATCTAGACTGTGATTGAGTGGGTAAGGAATCAAGTGGTTAAGTGGGTGGATGTCTGCCAGGGACTGAAAGGGGCGCCACCATTGCCAGCAGCGCATGCATGAGGTTTGAGTAGTGCTGGTACTTGGTGAGATAAATGATCAGGCGGGTCAGCAAGCAAGTGGGTGGATGCCTGGCAGGGACTGAAAGGGCCGCCATTATTGCCAGCAGCAGTGCACCTTCATGCGTGAGGTTTGAGTAATGCTGGTACTTGGTGAAATCAGGTGGCACAAACACGAGAAGGAGAATCAGTGGACAAGGGGGTTGATACAGCTGACAGTCAGCAGACAGGCAGGGGGACCAACCAAACCAGCAGCGCCAGCAGCAGCGCACCTTCATGTGTGAGGTTGGAGTAGTGCTGGTACTTGGTGAAATCAGGTGGCACAAACACGAGTTCAGGGCACAGCTTGCGTGCTATGAACCCTGGCATGGCTGCCCGCACCCCGTACTTGCGTGCCTGCACAGATGTGGTGTGCGGAGAGGGGGGAAGGGAGTGAGGAGGGGTTAGGGGGGAGAGGTCGGGGGTGAAGGGCGTGGTGGGGAAGGGAGTGGGGGGGAAGGGAGTGGGGGGGAAGGGAGTGGGTGGGAAGGGAGTGGGGGGGAAAGGTGTAAGGAGGAAGGGAAGGGCGGATATGAGGGACGAAAAGGGACACGTGTTCAGGGCACAGCTTTTGCACTATGAACCCCGGATGGCTGCCCGCACCCCGTACTTGCGCGCCTGCACAGATGTGGTGTGTGGAGAGGGGGGAAGGGAGTGAGGAGGGGTTAGGGGGGAGAGGTCGGGGGTGAAGGGAGTGGTGGGGAAGGTAGTCGGGGGGAAGGGAGTGGGGGGGAAGGGACTAAGGAGGAAGGGAAGGGCGGATATGAGGGACGAGTAGGGACACGTGTTCAGGGCACAGCTTTTGTGCTATGAACCCCGGCATGGCTGCCCGCACCCCGTACTTGCGCGCCTGCACAGATGTGGTGTGTGGGGGAAAGGGAGGGCAGAGGGGAAGTCGGGAAGAAGGGGGCACGGGGACGGGGAAGGGAAGGGGGACAGGGAACGGGGGAGGGAGGGCAGATGGGGAGAGGGGGAGACGGGGAGAGGCGAGAGGGGTCTCGTGGGGGAAAGGGGTGGGGTGGGACAAGAGGACGAGAGGGAGGGGCGGATATGGGAGGCGAAAAGGGGTGACGAGATGGAAACAAGGAGTTCAGTCAAAGCCTCAAGGCTTGGCCATTCATTCAACTTGCACGTCTGCATATCATCTCCCCTCCGCCCCTACCCTCCCACAACAACAAGCCCTTGCTTCCCAACCTCACCTCATAGTTGGCAGTACACAGCATGCCCATGCCGCCAACAGCCATGGGCACGTCTCTCAGCCGCGCATCCCCCAGCACCTCCACCGCCGCATAGAACGCATCCATGTCCACATGCACCCACACGCGCCGCCCCTCCCTGCTCGCCTCCTCCTCCCCTTCACCAGCCCACGTCTACCCCAACTGTTGACACCTACCCTCACTCACCCTATCCCCTTTTCCCCCCATCCCCACCTCTCCCCTCCTCTTTCCATCCCCCTGTTTCCCGTCCTCCCTTGCCCCAACCCCCCACAGACTCACCTCATAGTTGGCAGTACACAGCATGCCCATGCCGCCAACAGCCATGGGCACGTCTCTCAACCTTGCATCCCCCAGCGCCTCCACCGCCGCATAGAACGCGTCCATGTCCACATGCACCCACACGCGCCGCCGCTCCTCCCTGCTCGCCTCCGCCACCATCCGCGCCAGCATCCCATCCGCCTGTCTCTCCAGTAGGGCGAGTTTCTCCGGGGGAATGGCCTGCTTGGCGCGCTGCATGTGGGCGATCTTGGAGAGGAGCGCTGCCTCCTTGCGCTGCTCGTGCTGGAAGAAGCGGGAGCCCTGGCTCATGGCATAGACAATCCGTTTCACCCGCTCCTTGTCCACCCCCTCCATGCCTGGAAACAGAGTGGAGGGCGGGGGGTTGGGGAGGAGAGAAGAGAATCGGTTGATCGATTGACGCCCCGGCTGCCTTGGCTTGTGCCGTCCTCCCTGCTCGCCTCTGCCACCATCCGCGCCAGCATCCTATCCGCCTGTCTCTCTAGTAGGGCGAGTTTCTCCGGGGGAATGGCCTGCTTGCGATTTTGGAGAGGAGGGCTGCCTCCTTGCGCTGCCTCCTTGCGCTGCTCGTGCTGGAAGAAGCGCGACCCCTGGCTCATGGCGTATCCTATGCGCTTCACTCGCTCCTTGTCCACACCCTCCATGCCTGGAAAGTGGGGCCGGGTGGGGAGGAGAAGAGAGCTGGAATAACCGGGATCCCTGCCTCATGCTGTACACGATGTGCTTCACTCGTTCCTTGTCCACCCCTCCATGCCTGGAGAACGACTGGACAGCGGGGGGTTGGGGAGGAGAAGAGAGAATCGGTTGATAGACTGAGGCCCCGGCTGCCGTGGCTCACGGCGTATACTATGCGCTTCACTCACTCGCGATTCACACCCTCCATGCCTGGGGCTCGAGAGAGAAACACGGACGGACACAGCTATCGCAAAAGAGACAGATGCGTTAGCTGTGCCAACAGTCAGCGACGTTTGCCAACAGCACCGTCGGGGTGGGGGGAAAGGGGGGGGGGAGGGGGGGAGGGAGGACGGGAAGCCAGCTGGTGGTGGATCCATGCATGCATGCATCCATGGATCAATGGATCAACGGACGGACCACCACACCAGACGGATTGCCAGCTGGGATGTAGTCATCGTCCTCCTCCACACCACACGTGGAAGGAGGTGGGCTACGCTCTCTTTTCCGTGTGCTCCGTTTTTTAGTGCTCCGTCCCGTTCCTGCTGCTACCACAAGCTCCGTACCTGCTTTCGCATTCGTGAAAACCGTCTCATACGAAGACCACGCCTCCTGCTTCTTCTCCTTCTCCTTCTCCTTCTCCTTCTCCTTCTCCTTCTCCTTCTCCTCGTTCTCCTCCTTTGTTCTGCTCTCCACCTTCTCGCCCACCTCCCTCCCCCGTTCACCACCCCTACGCCCCTCTTCCTCAGACCCCCCAACACCACACCCCCCACCTCTGCTGCTCATTCTGCTGTCCTTCCATCCATCCCCACCACCAACTCCCTGCAGCATTGGAGCCTCCAAAAGTCCAAGCATTGGAGCTGCAGTTTCTTGACGCGTCTCAAGGCTCACTTTGTTGTCCTTCCCTCCATAGCTTAAGCCACCTGGCTGCAGCACTGAGGTTTCTAACAGACCTGTGACCCTTTCCGTTTCCTCGCTTTCGAAGCCGCGCCATTCCTCCGTAACCTCTAATCGGTCGGTTTCGCATTGTCGCCCTGGTATCGAAGCGACGCCGTCGCTACTGTGGCCGTCCGCCCAGTGACGAAACGAGAACTCGCTCGGGTAACCAGCGGCACGGAAATCGTCACCATCGGGAGAAGTAGTGCTTCGAAGCTGTGCGCTCGTCTGATGTTCGCCCGTACAAGGAGCAGCGTCGTCGATTCGATTGATAGGGCTCGTCATCGATTCCGAAAGTTTTATGCAATCAACACCAGGTTCACTACGACAACTCGTTATCTACCGTGACAAGTATAGAGAACTGTACCTTGGCAATAACAGCATACTCATCTTTTGCCATTAGACGGCTCGGCCACAGCAGCAACAGAAGCGAAGTTGTCGAGCACAGAGCTAGAGAAATTGTGATGTTAGGATCAGCTGTCCAGGTGAAGAAAGCTAGGCAAGGCGCGCTGGCCACAGCCACCAACTATTTTGAAGCTTGAGATGGTTGAACAATTTGTTGGTTTGAAGAGCTCAATTTTGTGCGGTTACATACTTTTTGTTCGCGTTCCTGCACGGTTTGTTTGGAAACTGAAACAAATTGGGGTTGAAAGAACCTCTTGTGGGGTGTTCTCGAGGTGCATGCGACCCTTCAAACTTAGGGGAAAGGATGATGGAATCGTGACGCTGACGCACTCCAATAAAACCAGACTCCGCAGATTGTATAGGTAAGCCCAATTTGGTTCCATTATATTCAACAATGCTCTTCCTGCTTTCCACTATATACACATTCCCACTTCACACATCATATTTACAATCCGAGTTGTTCCTCCCACTTCAAAAATCTCTTCCAGCTGAACTGTAATCTTGAAAGCATCTTGAGTCTACTTCTCTCCCCCTCGTGGTGCCTCATGGTGTGCCAGCCGTCCCGCTCTTTGATGCAGGCCCTGCACAAGATGGTGAAAGCAGCAACATCATACAATCATAATGCTAACCTCATCGCCAGGCCGTGCACAAGATGGCAAGGAAGCAACAACATTATACACTCATACTGCTAACCTCATCGCCAACTAATCACTTTAGTGAAGTGAATATACCTGAACAGCACGGATTGAGTCCATCTGCACTGCGTTCCTCGCCTGCTGCAGAGCTGCCAGATCTTCTGGCATCCCTTGCTCGCCTCCCTGTTGCTGGCCGCCCTGTTGCTGGCCGCCCTGTTGCTGGCCTCCCTGTTGCTGGCCCTAATCCCCACAAAGAAAAGGGAAGGGAGATAACACAGTACCCATCACGAATTTATTATAAACAGACACCACGGTGGTACCAGAAAGATAATCGTGTCAAATTGTTGATATTGGAAAATTGCGTTTCCGGACTGCCTCAACAGAAGCACACACAGACGCGCGTACCTGAGTAGAGAAGTGATGGTGCTGCGGCTCCTGTCCAGGACCCCACGAAACGTGATGATGCTCCACGCCACCACTCCCCTTGTCCTGTGAAAAGTCCGCCTGCCCGTATTCACCCCCAGGTCCGCTGGAGTAGGCGGAGGAGTAGGAATAAGAACAACCCTGCCCCCCCTGTTGTCTTTGCTGTTGGCCTTGCTGCTGAACGCCCTGACCTGACTGTTGCTGGAAGCTTCCAAACGTTCCGCCTCCTCCCTGCTGCTGCTGCCACTGGGCCTGTCCCTTCCTTGGATCCATGGGAAGCCTTGAAACAATGGAGGAGGGTAACGCTACGATGGCAGTCGATGTGCTGAATGCAGCAGCCAGTTCGCCGAGTCGAGGGAGGATTTGTAGAGTGAAACGCGAGAATTACAAGCTCTCGCCGGTCGTCGGTGCACAGCAACTAGTTGCTGGTTGACTGTATCAAGAAAGGCACCCCTTCCCAACCAACTCCAGAAACACATCCATCAGCCACGAGACCCTCTTCTTGGCGATGCACGGTTCCAGCTGAGCAAAGCCCTCGCAGATCGGCATTAGGTCTTGCTTTCACATGAACTAGAGAATGCGAAGTTGACGCGTGTGTGTCTGCATGCGGTGCTGCATGTGCGGGAATCAAGTCGGATGGGGACAGTAGGAAAGCATTGATTCAAAGAATACTTTTTAGTCCTCTTTTTGGTATGATCATGAGGTGATTTTTTTGTGATGCTTTATTCTGTTGTATTCATACATGCCTACTTCCATTTCAGAACTATTTTTTTTTCTAGTGTGAAAATTCACATGTATTGCAAACAAGCAGTGTTATGCCTTTTTTTTGTCAATCTGGTAGTTGGCTTCACCACACTTTGTGTCTGCAGTAACTGCGATGGATACCGAGTGACCTTCTAAGCCACATGAAACATACGTTTGCCACATCCGCCCAGCGTGGAACCCAATCAACGACCAGCAACATGGATTCCTTGGCATTGCAGTACAGGTATCCTCCCTGATCACCCGCAAAACATGTCACCTGCCCCATATCGCTGACGTGGTTCTGGTCAAGGCCCACTCATTCTTAGATATTTTTGTGATATTCTGCCTCTCTCCCGCCACCCCCAACCCAACCCAATCTCTAAACCCTGGCTGTTTCTAGAACCTCCTAGAGAATCTCTTGCTCCACTTCGATGTTCCTCTAATCTCAGCCGTTACGATATTTCTCGATATTATATTACGACCTCCTCCTTACACGATCTCTCGCAGAGCCATTGCTATCCCTTCGTCGTTGTTGCATCCTTGCAACCGAAGTCGCACGACCCTTCCTCAAAGTTCGAGTCGGTCTGGTTGCGTGACGACCGCGTCTAGTCTCCCACCCACCACATTGTGGCCGAATCGATCTCTGAAGTCGGCACACCAGTCTCTGTCCATACCGAACCGCTGCTTATTAAGCCATCGCTCGGCTATAAAGGCAACACATTCCCAACGATAGACGTACATTCTCCTCTGGGCATATTCCTGATTCCTGGTCCATTTCCTCCACTTATTTCGCTGCCGTTTCTCCGTTGCCGGCAATGGCTTCCCTCGTCACCGTCACTGCTGTCTCCTCCGTCAAACTCTCATCATCCCAGTTTCTGGCGTCGCATAAGCCCTCAGGAGAAGCTGGTCGGAGCAAGGGCAGAGTTTTCCAGGCAAGCCAACTCAACCTTGCACACCGCTTCTGTCTCTTCTTCAATGTTATTCTCTCGTGTTAGGTTCCGTGCAGCAACATTAAGTCCCGTGTTCATCTTCGTGCAAAGGAAGGGGGAACAAATTAAGATTTGCATTTTGCGATCTTTCCTCCCTGCCTCAGCTTCACTCGTCCAATGAGTTCTCACCGCGTCTCACCCTGCCTGCCATTCTGCGCACGTGTCAACAGGTTCGCGTTCGCGCGTCTGACGACGAAAACAAGCCAGTTGTCGGCCCGGATGTTGCCGCTGTCGCCGCAAAGACCGGCTCGATCCTCTGCACGGACTGCGAAGGAAACGGTGAGTGATCGATTTTTAAGATAACAATAAAAAATATCCCCGAAAATAATATGGGCTGGCAACCGAGTAAGCCAGTAATCTCTTTCTGACGGTTTGTGAGTAATTTGCAGCCATTACGGACTTTGGAATGGGAAGGTACGGTCTTGGGAAGGGAATGGGAATGTGCAATGGTAGGGCAAGTGCATGATGTTTCTAGCCCAGTTTCTTCTATCCGCAATTATTGCACGCACATCGTTTGGTTGTCCTGGAAGGAATCAGCGAGTGAAACTTGAGCATATTGTTATACTCTCGAATAATTGTCCGCAGACTGGCCTGTCAATTTACTGTACAACGAATGCGTAAGATCTGAAGAAGATGCTCTTGCAGATTTTATGAACTGAGGCTAACTGTTTGCCGCAACGAGCGATTTAATGTTCCTGATCCTTGTTCTCCTGTTCATCCTCTCCGCACCACCGCCTCCCTCTCCCACTCCCCGCACCCTCACCCCGTTCTCATAACCTTCTGGAGCAATGCACTCCGGCATCTTTCCCTCATCCCCTACTTCCGTCCCCCGCTCAATCCGCTCATCTCGTCGTCTCCTTCGCTGCGTGCGCACAGGCGCGGTGCAGTGCAAGCAGTGCCAGGGCGGAGGAGTGAACCTGGAGAACAACTTTAGGGCCGCTTCAATGCTTCGTATCTCCACTCACCCCCTCCTCCCTTCTCCCCTTCCTCCCCATTCCCCCGCTCACCGTGACAGGCGCGGTGCAGTGCAAGCAGTGCCAGGGCGGAGGAGTGAACCTGGAGGATCACTTCCAGGGCCGCTTCAAGAAGGGCACCAGCTGCTGGCTCTGCAGGTACGTCCGCGTCCGGTGCTGCTGCTGCTGCTGCTTCTGCTGACTTGTTGTAGCTGACAAGTTGCCTACTGGCTACATTTGAAGTTGCCAGTCATACTTGGGAAGGCACGATGACTACATGCTGCTCTTTTTGGCTTGTTGCTTTTTCTGGTCGTGAAAACAGGAGCATAGGGTGGCTGACTGCCTGTTCTACCCCTATGGTCTTGCCCTTACACTCAACGCTCCCTATTTGTTCAACATTCACTCATCTGCTCCCCTACCCAAACAGAGGCAAGCGTACGATCCTTTGTGGAAACTGCAATGGAGCAGGATTTGTGGGTGGTTTCCTCAGCAACCAAGGAGAATGAGAGGAATCGATACCAAGCAACTTTTTCATTGCTTCAGGGCTAGAGAGTTAGGCATTGGGTTCTTAGTTCTTACAGCTATCCGTGTGTTGGCTATCCATGCCGAATGCAACTCCACCTGTTGATGTGCAATGAAACACTCTTGGTGATGGATATGTACACATTGCTCTTATGAAGTCGATATACCATAATCTTCCCATGACTGGGAAGGATCCTCTACCTCCTACCCTGGCTCGCTAGTACCTGCTTAATATAGGGTACAATATACCGCTGACCACCCTGCCTCACTTCCTCCCTGCTTTCGCCAGAGACGTGAGCCCTTTCTTGCTGCGACTCATGGCGCCCTTCACTAGATTCATCCCGGTTTTCTTCCCCAGATTAGCCGCGAACCCACCAGAGCCTATAACTTTAGACCCCGGCGTTAGTCCCGAGGCCCGCAACGTCTCCTTGTGAAGAAACGACGCGGTGCGCTTCTCAGCTCGTTCCCGCGCTACCTGTGCCCCTTTACCTCCCTCCTCTGTCTCTCCGAGCCGCTCCTCGCTGCGGCTGGAGCGGATTCGCGCCGCCTCGGTTTGGAAATCCCGGAGCATGTCGCGCGTTGAGGTTTGCAGGATTCCCTTGAGGCACTTGCGGAACACTGGAGGAGGCGCCACGGAGGGCTGTGCAATCTGATGCAACACGATGCGAGACGCGACGCGCCTCGCTGCTGGCGACAGCGCTGGCGGCACTGTTCCTCCTCCTCCTCCTCCTCGTCCTCCTGCTGCAGCTGCTGCTGTTACCACACCTGACACGACGATATTAGCGTCGTCCGAATCCAGTGCGGATCCAAGGCATGCGACAGCCTGCGAGGCGCGTCCTGGCGCTGTTCCCGCAGTTTCTGCGGACTCCGCGAAAGCAAGAAGATCCGGGCAGCTCTCATAGCTAAGAATGCTGATCGGGCTCTGAGACGGATCATTGCTGCCATCGCCAGGCTTGTTGCTGCTGCTACTATTGCTGTCGCTGCTGTCATGGCTGTTGCTTTTACTGATATTGCTCGGATTGCTGGGACCGCCGGGTTGCGTCGGGGGGATGCTGCTCGAGCTAGAACCTTGGCTGCCGCGATCATCAGATTCATATGCGCCGCTGATTGCGGGAGACGATGGCACGACGAGCGGCTCGACCTTCCAGAAGCCCTGAAATTTCTTCATGAATCCTGGTCGCGTGAGCTCGTACGAGAGCTGGGATATACAGGAGGAATGTGAGACGGATGCGGAGGGACAAGTGGAAATGCAGGTGGGGAGATAGCCAGAGCGGCATACAGGAAGGCAAGGTGAGGTTTATGCGAGGAAGGGAGCCTGGAAAACAAACAATGCAACCAGGCACAAACAACTGACGGACGGGCGGACGAATCGGACTCATCCGCAGCGATAAACAAAACACACCATGCGGTTGGGTCGGTCTTGGATCATGAGAACATGCGCGGTGAAAGTGCCGGAGATGGCGGGCAGGCGCCAGAGGAACGTCATGTTCATCTCCACGTGCTGCACGGCGCCGTCGTCGCTCACCACTCGAACGTCGATCACGGACTGAGAGAGGTTACGGAACGAGGAATTTGCGTCGGGACGGGAGACGCTCAAGGAGGGGTGTGGCGAGGGAGAGAGGGGATGGGAGAGGGATCAGAAACAAGAAACCGGTTATACGGCGAGAGCATGGCGGGTGTTTTGAGGGGGAACTGCTAAGGTAAATTTGACGAAAACGATGATGCCTACTTACGCCGCGTTTAGTAAAACTTTATGTTGGCGGCCAGCATTGACATGGCGACTCAAGAACAAAAACATTGTTTCTGCTCACCTTTACGTTCTTGAAAACGCGCCGATTATGTGGGTCTCGGACAACGTTAAAGACTGCATCCGGCGGAAGAGCCACGGTGGCAGTGCAGTCCAGCTGGCAGACCGCGCCGGAGCCCATGGTGACCGTGATGGACGGCGGCTCGTCCACCCAATCGGAATCGCGGAACCACTCCTGCATCTGCGCCTGAAGGTCCTCCTCCCATGTTGGCGGCGCGGTGGCCGCGGCGATGGCGGCGGCGGCGGCAGTGCTCTCTGCGGCGGCGGCGGCCGTCGCTGCAGTTGTTGGGGAAACGGGGGTCGTCTTACTTGGGGCGGAGCCACCATTGCCTTGAGTGCCACTGTTGGTGGAGGGGGACGATTCAGAAGCTGCTGCTATTGCTGCCGCTGCTGCATCGACGTTAGCGTTACCGTCAGCGGCGAAGCTCGTTTTGATGGACCAACCCTCGCTGGAGAACTCCGTTCCTCCGCCGCTGTTGTTGCTGCTGCGGCTGCAGCAATTCGTGATGACGGACGTGCAATTTGAAGTGATTCGGCCTACTACTGGAATTTCCGGGCGTGTAGCCTCTGTGATCGCCATGCGGCCAATTTTCCGGCAATCAATGTTATGTGACCGGAGCCCCTTGCAAGGCTATTCCCAGGTGGATTTGAGATTAAAAGCGTTGAGAATATACATTCACGGTTCTGCTGCCCAGAACTGGTATTGCGGCGGCTTTTGAACAAGTTCAGGAGACTTGGTTTGGAGCCGAGACATGCGAAAAATTAAACACGCATAAAACTCAAACCAACCCTGTCTCACTGTTTGAAGAAATCGGGCGAGAAAAGCGAGGGATGGCGACTGCCTAGCTGACTGCTGACTAGCAGGACGACGTACGGTAGCAGGAGTGAAGCAAGGGCGGGTGGGCCAAAGATGGACAAGTGACGTGAGATGCGAGGGCTGTTGTCAATGTCAATGTGGCTGCTGGTCGCGGCGCGATGGGGAAAGTAAGGGCGACGGGGAAAGGGGAGATGGCGACACGTCATTACGAGAGGGAACGCGAGGCAATAATGAAACAAGCTACAGAACATGTAACGAGAAACGAATATATAAACGAATACGGTAGTAGTAGGAGCGAATTAGAAACGAACTGGATGGGACAAATACCAATAGGGAAGCCACATATTAAACAATTTCAGTCATATCTCAACAGCATGAGTATTTTCGGCACAGTATACCTTGACTTGATGTATGAGAAACTGTTTTATTTTCCCAGCTGGTTATGGCATCGAAAAGCTGACAATCTACAATCTGCAGGCAATAGCAAGAAGTAGCTGAACTCAATATTTGTCAAAGAATACACAATCATTTCAGCATTATTATTGAGACATCTCCAGGGCTGACTATTCAAAAAAATCCAGTCTGATGTTCTGGGGGCTCTGAAATTTTTTAGTCTGAGGCATATTTCCCAGAGAATGGCTACTCTGATTTTTCAGGTTCCGCAAAAACACAAGTCTGAAGTACTCAGAACACACTACAACCACTGCAGTACAGTACTGCCACGAATGTAGCACGTGGGGCGCAGCGCTAACCGACTTTGCTGCGCCAGCACAGAGTTTCCCTCGCTGACACCGGGTAGCTGCAGTGATGGTCCCTCGTGAGTGAAAGAGCGAGCCAAGTTGGCAGATTTCTAAAGGAAAATGGTGGCAAAAGTAGCCAAGGACAGATTCTGCGCGTGACAGCGCCATGAAGTGTGTTCGTACACTGGCAACATATGACGTACGGTAGCGGAATGTACGTAGAAATTACAGATCCACATTTCAGGATCCGTACTCCCTGTAGTATGAAGACCCATTATCGGTTAAGTCAGTAGTCTGAAAATCTCAGGATCCAAAACCAGGTAAGTCTGAGGTACTCATGTTTGAAAATCTTACAAGTCTGAAAAATCAGGATCCGTAGGAAAATACCCTGAGATTTCAGACAATCAGACTATTTTAGTCTGATAAAGTCAGCCCTGGACATCTCTAACACTTCGGGCCAACATCATAGGCATGCAATATAGTATGGTAGCCCTATGCAATTGTATGCAAAACCGTCGATACCTTAGTTTTGGAGTTATTGACAATTTGCCCTAGTAACGCGTTCTTGTTTAATAAAATATATGATTTGTACCACGCTTGGCTATGATGTTGGCCCCTACACTTCACCTGCCCTTCAATTCCACCTCATCCTGAAGCACGCCACCTCAGGTCGTGCACATTCCCGCCAGCTTCGAAGCTTGCGTGCAAGCAAGTGCATAGCCAACGTGGCTCGTACACGCTCTGCTATTCGTTGCATGACATATTGCGAATTCATTTTCGTCGCTTGAACTTCGCTGAACGCGAATAGGACCAGGACGTAGCAACTTGCGCCTGTGGACTCTCCAACCTTCCACTGTCACGAGCGCATAAAACGGTTTCGCAAAAGAGTTACCACACAGTGACCCCACCTCTTCCCGATTCAGCTTCTCCTGCCGCTCTACAAATTAGCCCCTATCTCCACTTTCGCAATGCGCGTTAAATTCCTAGCTTTCCTCGCTTCTCAACTCACGTTACATCGTACAAGAGGTCGTCACGTCATTACATTCCACGTCATTGGCTTGCACGTGGATTTCACGTTTACGTTCAGGATCCAGTCCTCGTCGATCGTAGATTCCGATTTTTTCTATGGCCAACGGACTGCTGGATTCTAACTCCGTAGATGCGGAGCCATGGGCAAACGATCCCTCCGCAACCAACGGCGACGCTGCGATCCAGGCAGCACCGGATACCTACAGTAATGGCGAGCCGCCTGCGGTGCTAATTAGCGGAAAGGACGCGGGATTGAACCTGCCGCCGGAGACGGCGGAGAATCTGGTGATTCTGGAGGATCCTGGCACGGGCCACCGAGCCTACATCGTAGGATCGGCGCACGTGTCGAAGCAGGCAGGTTTGGACGTGGAGCGCGTGGTGTCGGCGGTTCAACCGGAGATTCTTGCTGTGGAGGTACGTCTTAGGAACGTCCGGGGATGAAGAAGAATGTACGTTGTGGGAACACGTAAATGTGCGCTATCATGTGAAATGTTTAACAAGAGAAGACGTGGATTCACATTGATGTGAGGCGGGGATGCTAACGATGCGCATTCCTCATCCTCCTTGCGTTCATTGCATCATGCACCCTCCCCCGCTTCCTCCCCCCCCAACCAGCTCGACCGCGAGCGGCTCAAGAACATCATGGCGATCCTCGCGGGCGATGGGCCCAGCGACCCGCCCAAGACGGTCTTTAAGGTGAGCCTTGTAAGGTGGGCGGGCCGTGGATTCTAGTCCGAGTTCAATCTACAGTAGGAGTGACTCTGGGACGGGTGGCGACTGCAGGGGTGGCGACTGCAGGACTACAGCAGGGGTTGCTCCTGCGGGCGGAAACCGATTGGATCCGTTTGCTAGAGTCATACTCTAGAAATAAACAGTTACGGTGTCATGAGTTCTAGACTTTGCAGCCAAGCTCCCCACCAATGCCGTTTCCCCTTTCTTCCCTCACCCCTCCTCTCCCAGTTTCCCCCATCCACTTTCCTAACCCCTTCCGCTGCTCTTTCCCCGCCCTTTCCCCCGCTCCCCACGCCAAATTGAGCCGTTGCCCCTCCTCCCCACCCTCCCCACCAGGCGCTGAGGGCCATGTACTCGGCCAAGATGGGGTCGCTCTCGCTCTTCTTCGTTCACTCTTCGTTCACAGCACAATTTTTCGCACTGTGTGTGCCTGTGTGCGTGGTGCGTGCGTGCGTGCGTGCGTGCATGTGTGTGTATCCCTTCGCCCCCCTCCCCCCAGGCGTTGAGGGCCATGTACTCGGCCAAGATGGGGTCGCTCTCACTCTTCTTCAACCTGCAGGGCAGCTTCGTCTCCGCTGTGCGTAATACTCTAGGGATGACCTCTGTGCGAGTGGTGTGGTGGGCCGAGGGTGCTGTGCAGCTGCTGTGAATGCGGTGTGTGTGTGGGTCTCTGCTGCTGCCGGGCTGTAGGTCGGGTGCGGCTGTGGCGTGAGTGGGCCGTGCGGGGAGCATGGGTGGGTGTGGGTGTGGGTGGGTTGTACGTGGTGCTGTGAGTATGCTGGTGGATGTCTATGGTGGGAATAATACACGATGCGGTCAGGGTATTTCTGGTAAACGATTTAGGCGAGGAAAGATTGCGTTGCCTGAGGAAACATCACTCTGTTCTCATCTCATTTATGTCAAAGATAGTGGGGGTCCACATGCCAATATCCTCCCTCCCTCCCTCCCTCCCTCCCTCCCTCCCTCCCTCCCTCCCTCTCTCCCTTCCTCCTCATTTTCTCCCTTCCTCAACCCCCCCCATTATGACCACACCTGCTGGCAGCTTTTGGGAGTGCCATACGGCTATGACATGATGACTGCAGTCAAGGTGGCTGAGGACTCTGGCGTGCATCTGTCTGTCACCAAGACTCTGATGTGTGCTCGGGAGTCACAGTGGTCCCCACCCGTCCCCCCCCCCCCAACCCCCTCCCCCCCACACAGCTCCTGGGAGTGCCATACGGCTATGACATGATGACAGCAGTCAAGGTGGCCGAGGACTCTGGCGTGCGCGTGGCGCTCGTGGATAGGTGCATGCTTTCTCTTCGCCCTCCCCTCCTCTGCCCGCCTTTCTTCTCACCCCCCCTTTCCCTCCTCTCCTCTCCTCTTCTCCTCGCATCTCGTCTCTTCTCTCGTCCCCTCTCTCGTCCACGTTTTTGCAGGTCGTTTCTGGAGATTCTCGAATTCGACCTCCCTCTTCCATTTCCGCCCTGTTTTTCCTCCGTGCTTTCCATGCTTGTTCTCTTCTTCGTCTTCTTCTTCCTTCCTTTCTTTCCTTCTTCTCTTCCGTTTGAGTCCCTTCCCGCCCCATCCCTTCCGCTCCTTTCTCGTCTTTCCACTCCTCCCTTTCACTTCTGATCACGCGTCCCATGAACTTCCATCCTGGCGGGTGTTTTTGAGAATTCTCAAAAACATCCTGGCGTATTCACATTATCACATTACAAGCATCTGCTGCCCCCAAGATGCTTGACGGACTGAAGCTTAAGTCCTACCTCACCTCTCTTGTCACCTCTCTTGTCACCTCTCTTGCCAACTTCCCTCTAAACCGTCGTAACAGTTCGTATCCTTTTGTAACTTATCGTCACGAACCCTTGGGTGTCTCCTCACAGATCCTCCTTCGCCACGCTCATTCAACTCATCGACCAGACCAGACTCGCCTTTTGAGACGACTCAGAGAATGTTAACAGTGCTTATCGTCTTGTTAACTGTCACCATGAACCCTTGGGTGTCTCCTCACAGGTCTTCTTTCCTCACGCTCATTCGACTCATCGACCAGACTCGCCGAATCCCCTCATCTCCTCCTCCCATTGGTGAGTGGGCCTTATCCCTTCGTCGCATATAGCCCTGCACTCTTCCTTCCACTGTTGGACCACGTTTTTGCGAATTCTCACATTTCTCACGATTTTCCAAGCATTTGAAGTGGCATGTGGTGGAAACAGCAACACCCTGCATTCCTGCCTTCTCTTTCCACCACACGCAGAGGAGCGTGGCAGCAGGGAGGGGCGCAAGGCGCGCTTCGAGCGGGTGAAGCGGCAGATGGTGCAGCGGGCGAGGGACGCCGGGTGCGACGAGCCAGCAGCCACTTTCGACTCATTCGTCACCGTCCTCGCCACCGCCTTCAAAGGTGCTCTCCTTGCTACCGCATCCAAAGGTGCGGGATCTTTAGTGGTTCTGTAGTCACAGATCCTTTGTGGCGAAGGACTTGAAAGTCAGCTCGCCGGGTGTGACGAGCCAGCAGCCACCTTCGACTCATTCGTCACTGTCCTCGCCACCGCCTTCAAAGGTGCACAATGAGGCCTTAGGGGTGATTGTTGGGTGGACTCAAAGACACGAGTATTGAAGCACCTAAGGGAGTATTGGATTCAAAGGCCTTTGATGAGTCGATTTTTGAGTCGACTCAGCTCGCTGAGAATTATGTCACAAGACTAGTCGACTCGAAAATCGACGTCTGGTTTGTGTTAAAGCTGGTCTAGGGATAGTGGTACAGTAACCATCAACCTGGAACATCAGTAACACGTCTCCCAGTGATAGTAGTAACACGCCTCTCTCCGCCGCTTCCCCTTTCCCCGCACCTCTCCTCCCTGCCCTCCCACGCGCCCCCCTCTCTCTGTCCCGCCCTCTCCTCTCTCTCTCTCTCTCTCTCTCTCTCTCCCCTCTCCAGGCAAGGAGATCCCTCTCGACGACTTTCGTCGTGTGCGTTCCTGCGGCCGCCGCGTGGTCGAAACCTTCCGCCACTCCGCCATCCACCACTCGCTCCTGCCCCCCGCCGCCGCCGCCGCCTTCACCCCTCCCTCTCCTCTCTCTGCTCCTGCTGATACTCCTGCTGGCGGGAGCATCGGAGAGGGTGGATCAGCAGGGCCGCAGGGAGAATCCCAGACAAGACAGAGCAGCAGGCAGGGCGGTGTGAGCCCGTGGTGTCCCAGGAGGCATGTGAGGGAGCGGGTACCCATGGAAGCGGTGGTTAAGACTGCCACAGACACGGACCTGCCTCCTGCCATCGTCGCCGAGAGGGACTTGATTCTCGCCCAGGTATGTCTTGAGTTGGCTCTTGAGTGGGCAGTGTGAGCCCGTGGTGTTCCAGTAATGCCTGTTGTTGTACTCTTGGCGCGCGCTAGACAAGCCAGAGCAATCAGAGCAGCAGGCAGGGCGGTGGCAGCCCGTGGTGTCCCAGGCGACATGTGAGGGAGCGGGTGCCCATGGAAGCGGTGGTGAGGAGTGCTATTGACACAGACCTGCCTCCTGCCATTGTCGCGGAGAGGGACCTGATTCTCGCCCAGGTACGCCCCTTGTTTCTTTCGTTCAGGGCGCCTCAAGGTGAGGTTGGTTTATGAGGGAGCGTTGGAGAGGTTGGGGCAGCAGGGTCCCAGTGAGGGTGTCGGAACGTTATGATAAGCCATAGTACTCAGAGCAGTCGGAACAGCCGGAGCAGGGAGGGCAGTGTGTTTCAGGTGGCATGAGAGGGAGAGGGTTTCGATGGAAAAGGTTGTGAGTGCCATTGATACAGAACTGCTTCCTGCCATCGTGGCTGAAAGGGACCTGATTCTCGCCCAGGTACCTGATACATCGATGCTTCCTGCCAGAACTGCTTCCCGCCATCTATGTTCTGCCGCACGCCTCTTGTTAGTTTTGTGATGAACTCGTTATACTCTTGATGATTGTTTGCGAGTGAGTCAACTCCAACATCTCACTTCTCCTTTCCTTCTCCCTCTTCCTGTCTCCCTCCTCTGCCCTCTTGTCAGAACATCCGCAAGTGCACGGCAATAGGTCCGACAGTAGCAGTGGTGGGAGCGGGCCATATCCCCGGCATCACGCACCGCTGGAACGACGCTCTCACACCCTCCTCTCTTCCTCACTTCCTTTCTTCCTCCACTCCCCTGCCTTCAGAACATCCGCAAGTGCACGGCGATCGGCCCGACAGTAGCAGTGGTGGGAGCGGGCCACATCCCCGGCATCACGCACCGCTGGAACGACGCTCTCACACCCTCCTCTCGCATGGAAGTCATCTCCTACCTCCTCCCCCCAAGCATCTCCCGACAAATCTCCCCCGATCTCCCCTCCTTCTCCTCCTCCTCCTCCTCCTCCTCCTCCTCCTCCTCCTCCTCCTCCTCCTCCTCCTCTTCTTCCTCCCCCGACAACGCAACCAGTCCCGACGAGCCCCGTTCCGCCTTCCCGATAACCGATTCCTTCCGAACCGCGGCCGAAGCAACCCCTCCCGTGAAACCCAACGGCCGTCCCGACTTCTCCGAGTTTCCCTCTCCTCCGAAGCTCGGGCCGCTGGTGATTGCAGCAGGCCTACTCGGTCTCTCCTTCTACCGCCCGCGTGCGGCGATGTTCATCGGTGTGGGGTTAGGATCTGGGATCGTGGCTTCTCAGCTGCTGGTTGCGAGTGCGCTGGCCAAGGCGGGGAGAGTGGTGGGGGCGTTGGAGGATGCTGGGAGGAGATTGGGGGAGGAGGATGGGGCTGAAGTGCTGTGGTGAGAGGGGGAGGGGGGAGAAAGTGGGGGGGAGGAAGAGGGGAGGGGGTGTTGTTGGGGGGTTGGGGAAGGGAAAGAGGAAAGGGAGTTGGGAGGAGAAGATGGAGGGTTACAGTACTACCTAGTACCTATGATGAGTGGGATGCGGGATGTTAGCGTTGAAACAAAGGGAACGGGAATGCGATTTGAGAAAACTCTGAAGTTGGTCAAGAGGCTAAAGAATTATGTTCTGCTTCATAGCTCATGAGCTATCATGTATGTTTTGAACTTACTTTTGTGTGTAATTGCTACAGGTAGGCTTGTTACTGTGCAGTGCGGTGCGCGTGTGTGGGACACTAAAAGCGTATGTGGATTTGTTCCTTGCTGTTATGTAGTACCATAGGTAATAGATGCTGTTAAGTAAAGTGCATCCCCTTGAACAATTCAGTTCAGACAAACAGCACGAGAATATAGCCAATAATAAACTTAACTTCACTTCCATCCTTAGGACATTCAGTACTTATAATTACAGCACAGAAAAGTACTCCACTTTCTCCTTCCATTCCAACCCAGCCACTTCACAATGGGACACCTCTGAACCACACCCCACGTACTCACAAGTACTCACACCCCTCACAACTGCACCAACCTCTTTCCTTCCACCAGCGCCACCACCACCTTCGGCACGGGGTGCTGCAGCGCATCAGCAGCGGTGTGCAGGTTCTCCAGGAACTCCTCTCCCCCCTCCTCTTCCCCCTCCCCTCCCCCCTCCTCTCCCCCCTCCTCTCCCCCCTCCTCACCCCCTTCCTCAACGCCCCTCCCTCACCAACTCCACCAACCTTTTCCCTTCCACGAGTGCCACCACCTTCGGCACGGCGTGCTGCAGAGCATGGGCAGCGGTGTGCAGGTTCTCGAGGAGCTCCTCTTCCCCTCCTACACCTCCTCCCTCCTCCATGCCCCTCCCTCCATGCCCCTCCCTCACAACTCCACCAGCCTTTTCCCTTCCACCAGCGCCACCAGCTTCGGCACGGCATGCTGCAGCGCATCAGCAGCGGTGTGCAGGTTCTCGAGGAACTCCTCGGTGGTGGGGCGGTCCCCATCCACTATGTCTGTCACCGCCTTCACTGAGAGCAGCGGCAGCGACAGCAGCGCCGCCACCCACGCCACCGCTGCTGCCTGCGAGTTGGGATAAGGAGGAGAAAGAAGGGTGATTGAACACTTTCGAGGGAGTCAGTAGCACACCTGTGCACTCATGTACGGTAAGCTAGTTCTTCAAGATTCTTCAGACTGACACCTACACACACGCACATGCAAATGCACCATTTGAGAGCAGCATCAAGTGCCCATGCCCCCTGTTCTTGCACGTCACACATCTCACATCCATGTCCTTGACGGTGACGTCGTTCTTAGCAATCAGCTTCTCATCCTCCGCACTCATGTCCAACACAGGTAACAGCATCCCTCCCCCCCCCCCTACTGTGTGACTCACCTCCATGTCCTTGACGGTGGCGTCGTTCTTAGCAATCAGCTTCTCGTCCTCCGCACTCATGTCAAGTCCAACACAGGCCCCTTTGGAGAACATGTAGCAGCATGTTCCCCCCGTACTGTGTGTGTTGCATCTCACATCCATGTCCTTGACGGTGGCGCCGTTCTTAGCAATGAGCTTTTGGTCCTCTGCACTCATGTCAAGTCCAACACAGGTAACAGCTTGCCCCCCCCCCCTCACCCTCCTCCCTCCCCCCCCTTTTACTGTGTGTTGCGTCTCACCTCCATGTCCTTGACGGTGGCGTCGTTCTTAGCAATCAGCTTCTCGTCCTCTGCACTCATATCCAACGAGTTCCCACTTGATACACGCCCCACCTGGGTTGTTATGGCAAGGAGGCCGCAAGGAGAAGGGTTGCAAAGATGGGACAATGGGAAAGGGAAAGGGGTGGACTTTTCATCCTCCTCACTCATATCCAAAGAGTTGCCACTTGATACCCGCCCCACCTGCATTGTTGTTCCAAGGTGGCGAGAAATCGCGAATAACGAGCAGCAGGGAGGGTGGGAGGGCAGAGGAAAGGTTGTAAGGGGGAAAAGGCGGGACAGTGGGGGGAAAGGTGGGATGGGGGAGGAAAGTGGAGCAGGGGAGAGGGGGAAATGAGGAGAAAGGGGAGCGAGGAAAAGGGAAGTGAAGGGGAGAGGGGGAGCTGGGGGAAACTGTACAAATGTTGCTGCAGGTAGCTCTGTGTCTCTTTAACTCAAGAAGCTATGCAAAGCAAAGTACAGCCAGGCAGATATGTGACATATGTCTACTGACCTTGAAGCCCAGGGCAGCGGCAACGCGAGAGGCATGCGGGGACTCGATAAGGCCAATGCCGTACTCGTCGAAGCCCTGAGGGGTGGTGAGAATAGGAGGGGAGGAGGGTGGGGGGGCGGACGGGAGCAGGGTGAGATATTTTCTGAGGTGCCTACAGCGCGAGAGAGGCATGTGAGGGCTATAGAGCCCAGTTCCGTACTAGTGAGTTGTGAGTCAACTCAAAAGTCACCTCGTAGCAGGGTGGAATGATTTCTGAGGTGCCTACAGCGCGAGAGAGGCATGCGGGGACTCGATAAGGCCAATGCCGAACTCGTCAAAGCCCTGAGGAGTGGTGCGCATGGGAAGGAGGGGGCAGGGGCAGCAGGGTGGGATGAATTCTGAATCGCCTCAACGACAAAGAGAGAGGCATGCGGGAACTCGGTAAGGCCGATGCTGTACTCTTCAAAGCCCTGACGGGTGGCGAGAATAGGAGTGGGGGCGGGGGGCAGTGAAACGGGGTGATTTTTTAGTTGCCTCAAAGATGGCACGAGAGAAGCATGCGGGGACTCTAGAGCTCAATTTCGTACGTGTCAAAGCCCTGATTGGTGGTGAGAGTGGGAGGGGGGGGGACGAGAGTGGGGGTTCGGAGCAGAAGGGAGAGGAGGACAGGGGGAGAGGGGGAAAGAAACGAGGGTGGCTGGTGAGAGGGAGAGGAGAGGAGGAGAGAAAAGGAGGTGGCTGGTGGCGGTGCAAAGAAAACAGAGAACGGAAAGACTGCAGTTTGTCAACTGACAACCCACCCAGTGATGCCACTTGTAACTGACTGCTGCAAAGAATAACATGCTTGCTATGAAGGAAGCACCGAAGCTTACACTAAGAAGAAGGGAAGCTTATTAGGAGGAGGAAAGTTCACTGGAAAGGGAAGCTCACTGGAAGGGGGATGCGACGATCATGGTTGGCAAAGTGCGACGCCAAGTACACATCGCCAATGGCTGCTCCCTTGGCCTGACTTGCAGAGAGCACAGAAGGAGGAATGCGGGTGAAGAGAGGAGAGTCAAGGCAAAGTAAGAGGTTGGGGTAATGGAAAAGACAACTCCCTCTTGACATCACAGTTAAGGCAAGACAAGTGCGCATCGTAACAGTAGACTCCGTTGGCCAGACATGTATGGTTTGAGGCGCCTCAAAACTAGACTTTTGAGGCGCCTCAAGACAAGTGCGCATCATAACAGTGGACTCCGTTGGCCAGACATGTATGGCAGACCGTGGAGTAACAGGAGGGGAGAGAAAAGGGGAAAGAGAGGAAAGAGGGGGAGGGAGAGAAGAGAGGGGAGAAGAGATGGGTCATGATAAACTCACTTCGCTGCACAGAAGAGGCTCACTTCGCTGCACAGAATCAGCTTGAACGTTTTTCCTTGGCACTTAACCTCGCTGCTCACATTGAATTGAACGCGCACCCACCTTGCGGTCGCCACGCCAGAAGTGCCAGCGTTGATAACGAGTTGCGGGTGCAGGGAGGCTGCTGCTTGCTACAAGGAAGACCGACACAGAAGGAAGAGCGTGACTGACCTTCACCCACCCACTCACCCTGACCGCATGCGTTGAACTCTCACGTTAAGACCCCACCCACCTTGAAGCCGCCAGCAGTGCCGGCATTAATAATGAGGTCTGGGTGCAGAGAGGCTGCTGCTGCGTACACGGCCACGGCTGCTGGCACCGTACCCACGTTATCCACCCCTGCACGCGAGAGTGAGAGGGGGATAGTGGGGCGAGAGAGCGAGTGTGGGGAGAGAAGGAAAGAATGGGGTGAGGTCCGGGTGCAGGGAGACTGCTGCGGCGTACACGGCCACGGCTGCTGGCACCGTACCCACGTTATCCACCCCTGCACGCGAGAGTGAGTGCGGCGAGGGACGGCGAGGGTGTGGGGTAAAAGAGAGGAAGAGTGGGGCAAGAGAGTGAGCGAGAGTAGGAAGGGTAAAAAGAGCTAATCGTCGCTTGCTTCTCCCCTGGACAGAAGGGGAAGGGTTGGGGTTTCCCCCCTTCAACCTGTCTGATCACGATGACTCCCGAGTTTCCCGAAACCCCCTCAAACCCTGTCCCTCCCCTCCTTCACCCCTTTTGGAATGATTGGAGTGCCATTCAAATCTACATAGCCTTAATATACGATTCGTTTTTTTGGGACACAGCACTTGAGCCTCATGTCCCATAGGGTCATCTTGCCGCCGCATATAAAGGGACTTAACCCAGACTCAACAACAGCACGGCACAACGCAACCAGAGCCCTGTTCATGCCAGGTGTAACGAGGTGAATGCTCCCTCCCCCATGCGGACCCGATTTTATATTCCAGTAGCTTAAGAAGAAAACCCAGGGTCGGCAGCAGCACAGCCCAACGCACCTAGAGTCCTGTCCTTGCCAGGTGTGACGAGGTGGATGCTCACTCCCGCATGCGACCCTGAGTGCAGCTGCCAGGGGGACCCTGCGGGGAAACTGACACGCGGAGAAGAGGCGGGGTAGAAGGGAGGGCGAGCGAGGAGAGGGAAGGGTGGGGTGGGAGGAAACGAGGGAAGGATCGTGGGTTGGGGGAAGGGTGGCGGGGGGTAGGGAAGGGGAGGGGGAGTGGCGGATGGGGAAGTGAGGAAGACGATTAGGGTGGCAATGCTCGGATGTGGAGGAAGGTTTGAGAGCGCTGGAGGGTATAGAGAGAGAAACAATGAAAACCGATGGTGGTGGAAAGGTAGGGCATGTGCATATGAAGAAAACCAAACGACGCTATCCAGATCGTAAAGCATATTTTTTTCCCAGAGCTTACATTGTTTCATCAAACCCAAAAAAGTTCTCACCACCGCTTCCACTTCCACCCAAACCATTCCCTTCTGACTTCGCCCCCCTTTCTCTCAGTTCTCCTCCCAGTATTCCCCAATCCTCTTCCGTTCTTCGTGAACCCATCCACGTCTCGCGTCCTCAATCGACTATATGTGAATCAGACGCGAGAGGTCGCACACTCACGAGTCGTGCTCCTTCAGCTGCAGATCGAGGCTGTTCACCAGCGGCGCCGCCTCAGCCGCCATTGCTGCTCGCACGCGCGGGAGATGGCACAGTCGTGCATGTGGGGTTGAACGAGCGGATGGGGAAAGAATCTCGTAAGCTTTAACAATGTCGATATGGGAGGAAAAAGCTCCTAATCAGAAAGGGAGCAGATCAACTAAACCTTGCGTGCATCACAATAAGAGCTGGAGTTATACAAAGAATCCGTTAGAAGCATTAGAGCGAGTAGCAGTACTGACTTCCCCTCGCTTCGTCGTGAAAAGAGCTAAAGACCTCCGGCAAGCAAACGACTCGGGGGTTAGAAGCGACTCGGAGCGATCGACAGATAAGCTCGTACATGATCTCGTGAAACAAAAACGAAGGAGTGAAGAGAAAGGGATTAAGTGCCCCTGCATACCCATGTAGATAAGGATGCTCTTGACGGCTTTATCACCCGCAGGAACCGCCGCTACGTCCGCTTCTTGCGGTGTGTTCGGAGACATTGCCGCGGTTGCAGCAAATCAGCGGCAACAGCGAATGCAGGGTGAAAAGCGAGGAGCTACGCTTACGGCACGGCAACAGCTCAAAGGGAAAGACCACGAGTCTGACGAGGTGTTCACAGAAATGGAGCTTGGGCAAGAGAGCGTCAAGTCCAAGGTTGGGCAAGTTCAAGGAGTCTCGAAGACACCAGCCAACGGGGATGGTGTGAAATGATGGTGCAAAGGAAGCATAAAATAAGAAAGACTGATGAAGCAATATACAGTGAACGAGAACAACCCTAACTGGTCAAATAACAACAATATGGCGGTTAGTGTCCTAGACTATTGGCATTCAGGCATATGAACTAGTAAAAATCATGATTTATACAAGAAAACTTAGATGTTTTTGACATTGGCAGTTCACGAAGTACTGGATTTAAATATCATAGATGCATTATAGAGCTCTTCATCTATGTATGAAAGTAACATTCTAAAGCCTTTGGACAGTGTATGTTATGGCTGCGAAGTTGGAGTGTGCACCCTTACATATCATCAACATTCTCATTTTTTAAAACATACCTATTGTGGCTCGGACCAGTAAACTGTTCTTGTTACATCTGCCAAACCTAGTAGGTTCGGCACCCAGCAGGATGCACTTGTTTGGGAAGCTTTGAGACGCTGTCCCTAATATGTGGGCAGCGGGTGGCTCTCTTGGCCCAATTCATTCCCTTCACAAGCCACCCAACCTGCTCCTCGTGGCAAGGCAAACAGCCACTGGCTCCCTTACTCTCGCAGGGTGTCATCCCCAGCCCAGGGTCGCTTCTGGTTCGGAGGATCTTTTACTCCACGTGGCGAAACCTACGAGACCCACTTTTCCGTCAGGTTCCCTCCCCCGAGAATTTCGCCAAAATGTACACACTAGGCCCCTGAGATCTGCGTTTCCACTTTTGTGGGAGGGGAGGCATCAAGCGGGCCGTCAGAGATGACTGTCAGCAAGGAAGCATTTTGCGAGACCCACAACCCACACCTTCCATGCCTCCAAAAAGTGTTCCGTATCTGCCCGGAGGCACGCGACGCGGTAACTAGAGGTGGGAGGGTGTCCGAACCTTCTGATGCACTGCATTTGAGTCTGACCGCGATCTCCGGGCTGGGATAGGGCAAACTTCTTTTCCCATCCTCCAATTTCTCTCACATCTGCAACCGTGAGTTGATGCGGAGCAGAGTCCCCCCTCCCCTCCTCGACTCCACCATCAGTCGACGGATACAAGCATCTACTAAAATCAGTATTTCATTTCAAACTCAAGAAAAAAGTCCCTGATTTCCTTGTGAATTCCTCTGTGAGTTCACTAGACCCGTTCCTCAGCAGTTTTTGAGACCCTTGAGCTCAGAGCTTGTCGACCGCATTTACAATGGCCTCTGCAGTCCTCTCTAGCTCAAGCCTCGCTGCTTTGGAGACCAAGTCGGCATTCACCGGCAAGGTCCCTGCTGCCTTCAAGGCAGCATCCCCTGCCAAGTATGTGAACGCCAGGCGCATTGCCGTACGTTCACAGCACGAGACCAACCGTGCTGCAGCCGCTGCTGCGGTTGCTGGTGCTTCCGTGTTCTCTGCTGGCGCAGCTCGTGCCGTGGAGGCTGAGCAGATCGTGAACGCGCTTGATCAGGTAAGCATATCGCCATCAATTTCGACACGTTAGCTTAGCGTCAGTCAATTCTTGGGCCGGCTTCTATCACTATTCACTATGGCTTAGTGATCCGGACCCATTTCTGGAGTATGGATAACCCGTTTTACCCAACGCAAGGTGCTGTTTTTCCGAATGTCAATGCGAATTCTACTGTGATAGTCGGTGATTCAATCTGTTTTCAATGTAATGTTCTTTCTCCGATGTCCTTATGTCCACCACTGCCAGGTGGAGAACTTCTCCCGACAAGCTGCTGACGCCGCCGTTCAGGCCTTCGATGTTGTCAAGAACGTGACTGGTCAAGTGGTTGATGCCGCTTCGCCTTTCGTGGAAAAGGCCACTCCCGTCGTCATTGACGTGACCAAGAAGGCCGTCGATGCTGCTTCACCTGTGGCGTCTGAGCTCTCTGACCAGGCATCCAAGGCTCTTTCCGACTCCGGTGTTGAGATCGACCCCATCATTTCAGCAGCCAGGGTAATGTTTTTAACACTTTGTTTTCCTTCTTACAGTTTGACAGCCTGAATCGTCCGACCCCATCAATGAAACCACTGGATTGTATTGCATTTGGAGATCAAACCGCCAGTTCTATGTCCAAGCATCAGTGCGTAGCCATGCCAAGTCCAAGGTTTGTCTCGCTAACACCAAGGCTACCCTCAATTGTTGCAGACTGCCGTCGGCGTGGCGGGTGACGTCACCGAGAAGACCATCGATCTCGCGTCCCCCTACGCTCAGGCCACCTTCGACACCGTGATCGCTCAAGACCCAGCTGTTCTCGCCGTCGCTGCCGGTGGCCTCGTGCTCCTCTACCTCCTGGCTCCCGCTCTCGGCGGGTCCATCGCCTATGCCGCTCGCGGTTATGCCGGCGAGTTCACCGCTGCTCAGGCACTTGATCTGTTGTCGAAGGAGGACTACACTCTGGTTGACATTCGGTCCGACGCTCAGAAGTCCCGCTCCGGAACCCCTTCCCTGCCCCGCAACGCCAAGTCCAAGCTTGTGACTGTCCCGTAAGTCTGGTTCTGAATCGTTGTCCCGACATTGTCGTCCCGTTTCATCGTCCCTGATCATCGTCCTCAAGATTTCAGTGAGTCCAGGTACCCTCAATGAGTTTCAGGCCTTCAGAATTTTTTATCATCTCTTCCTTATCTCTTCCCCTGCAGAGTTGAGGATGTCGATGGCAAGCTTCGCGGCCAGATCCGCAACTCGCGCAAGGTCGAGGCTGACATCACGGCGATCAAGATCGCTGCCCTGAAGCGCCTCAACAAGGGCTCCCGCGTCATCCTCATCGACTCGTAAGTCGAAACAAGCATCTTTCCACTGACTCTCGCACACCTGAAAAGAATAAAACAAGCACAACTCGAGAACTGTTAATGCTATCCCCGTACACCTTTGCACACCTTTACACCACTCGCCTTCCACCTTTCAATCCAGTGTAACTTTCGGATGTTCGTTTGTTTCTCCGCTAATGTATCTTCTTCTATGCCTTTCCTGCAGCAACGGCGACATCGCCAAGCTGGTCGCACAGTCGCTGGTGGCTCTCGGCTACAAGAGCACATGGATCGTGAAGGACGGTGTTGACGGAGGCAGGGGCTGGGTGCAGAGCAAGCTCGCCACCGAGACTTCCAGCCTTTCCTTCGCTGAGGTTCTCTCTCCCTCCCGCATCATCGGCGGCACCGGCACGCAGCGTGTGAAGCCCGGACAGCGCCTGATCGGCAGCGGCTCGTCGGAGTAAGCGGAAGCTGTGCCGAGGAGTCACTTAAGGGGTGTAGTTGTGCGTTAGGGTTGCTTTTTGAGTGTATAAGTGTGAGTAGCAGTATACAGAGAACGCACCTGGAATCCAGGGTTTCTTTTGTAAGCTCCGCTGCTGCTGCTAAATGCACAAGCGTTTGCCTGATCACTAGCACATGGGCGCTGCTTTGTAACTCACTGTCTAAGATAAACAACTACAGCACCATTTATCTCACTCTGAAACCCAAGCTGCCCAGCTGGCTGCTGGGGGCGGAAAGTCAGTTTCCCATGGTTCACTGGCCGATGTCATCTCCTTTCGTAACAGCAGCTCTCAGGCCTCGATTGTATTCATTACCCTACTTGACAGTCTCACAGCCTACAGTACTAGATGAGAGTTACAGGATGAATCTTTTACAACATCAGTGTTCCAAACTTGCATACCTGCACCAACCTAGCACACCTCTTGCCCTAGTATACAAGCCTCAACTGAAGCTGCTTCACACAAGCCGCCAGGAAGCCACAGCTGGCGAGCCAACCAAGCTGCGACAGCAGCATCAGTAGCACCAGCAGCAACAGGGCAACCACCCTCCCCAGAATTGGCAGGAGATACCGGTACAACAGGAGCAAGGGGACGTGGCACCATGGTATCCTTCCCAACAGGCCTTGAACCTTTACGTGGTAATCCTCACATGCACAAGAACTTGTCATTAATTAGGAAGCATCTTCTACAGCATCAATGCCTCATACGTGCACCAGCCTCGCACACCTCTAGCTCCAGAATTGTAGTCCCAACCAAGGCTGCTCTACACAAGTCTTCAGGCAGCCACAACTGGCGAGCTAACCGAGCTGCTACAGCAGCATCAGGGGCACCCAGAGCAGCAGAACCACCATCCTCCACAGCGGTGGCAGCAGTGGTGCAACACAGATGCAGGGGAATCACGTTCACGCTGAAAACTTGGGCAAATGCAGATGCGATATGCTCTGCTGCATGCTCCATCATCTTCCCCTCCCATTCCGACCCCAAGTCAGGTTCACTGCTCATCTCAACTGCTTGCCATGTAGCTGTACTAGCAACAGCAGCACCCTCTGCAGCAGCGTAGCTTGCAGCAGCGCCGTCAATACAATCAGTCGCAGAAGTATTCCCATCAATAGTATCATCAGCATCAGCATCGTCAGCAGCACCACCATCACCAGCGGCAGCAGCGGCGGGATGAGCAGCGTGTGAGTGGTGGAGGAGGTGAGAGGCAACGGAGCCCACAGGGAGAGTGAGGCCACATGGGACTATGTGGGAGAAAGCAGAGAGGTCTGTTGTTACATTCAGCGCTGCTCCATGGAAGGTGATCCAACGGGAAACCCTAACACCCATGGCTGCTAGCTTGGACCCGGCTGGGGAAGGAATGGGGGAAACAAAGAGTGGAGGGGGGAGGAAACGAGTGTAAGAAGAAGGGCAAAAGGTAAACAGGTTTGTGGTCACAATGAGCGCTGCTCCGTGGAAGGTGATCCAACGAGAGACTGTGGCTGTGACGAGAGACAGGTTTGTGATCACACCCATGGCTGCTAGCTTGAACCGGCTGTGCGGGGGAAAGGGAAGGGGGGGAGCGTGTGAGAAGAGTGGGCGAAGGCAGAGAGGTCCATTGTTACATTGAGCGCTGCTCCATGAAAGGTGATCCACCAGGAGACTCTCACACCCATACATATTTGCACATGCAACCAGCAACAACATATATGTACACATGCACACACGCATACACTTACACAAATACACACACATATACACATGCACACATGCATGGCTATACAGACATGCACACACGCATATGCACACACGCATATGCACACACGCATATGCAAACACGCATATGCACACACGCATATGCACACGCATATGCACACACGCATATGCACACACGCATATGCACACACGCATATGCACACACGCATATGCACACGCATATGCACACACGCATATGCACACACGCATATGCACACACGCATATTCACACACGCATATGCACACACGCATATGCACACACGCATATGCACACACGCATATGCACACACGCATATGCACACACGCATATGCACACACGCATATGCACACACGCATATTCACACACGCATATGCACACACGCATATGCACACACGCATATGCACACACGCATATGCACACACGCATATGCACACACGCATATGCACACACGCATATGCACACACGCATATGCACACACGCATATGCACACACGCATATGCACACACGCATATGCACACACGCATATGCACACACGCATATGCACACACGCATATGCACACACGCATATGCACACACGCATATGCACACACGCATATGCACACACGCATATGCACACACGCATATGCACACACGCATATGCACACACGCATATGCACACACGCATATGCACACACGCATATGCACACACGCATATGCACACACGCATATGCACACACGCATATGCACACACGCATATGCACACACGCATATGCACACACGCATATGCACACACGCATATGCACACACGCATATGCACACACGCATATGCACACACGCATATGCACACACGCATATGCACACACGCATATGCACACACGCATATGCACACACGCATATGCACACACGCATATGCACACACGCATATGCACACACGCATATGCACACACGCATATGCACACACGCATATGCACACACGCATATGCACACACGCATATGCACACACGCATATGCACACACGCATATGCACACACGCATATGCACACACGCATATGCACACACGCATATGCACACACGCATATGCACACACGCATATGCACACACGCATATGCACACACGCATATGCACACACGCATATGCACACACGCATATGCACACACGCATATGCACACACGCATATGCACACACGCATATGCACACACGCATATGCACACACGCATATGCACACACGCATATGCACACACGCATATGCACACACGCATATGCACACACGCATATGCACACACGCATATGCACACACGCATATGCACACACGCATATGCACACACGCATATGCACACACGCATATGCACACACGCATATGCACACACGCATATGCACACACGCATATGCACACACGCATATGCACACACGCATATGCACACACGCATATGCACACACGCATATGCACACACGCATATGCACACACGCATATGCACACACGCATATGCACACACGCATATGCACACACGCATATGCACACACGCATATGCACACACGCATATGCACACACGCATATGCACACACGCATATGCACACACGCATATGCACACACGCATATGCACACACGCATATGCACACACGCATATGCACACACGCATATGCACACACGCATATGCACACACGCATATGCACACACGCATATGCACACACGCATATGCACACACGCATATGCACACACGCATATGCACACACGCATATGCACACACGCATCTCATCCACACCCACCTGCCCACACGCCTGTCATGCCTGCTTCCCTCCCCGCACGAATGCCAAATCCCTCCTCCACCCCCCTTATAATCACTTCCTCCAGAGACCGCAGGTACCAGTGCAGGTCGCAGCGGTGCTGCCGCAGGTCCACTATGGGGTATATCACAAGCTGGTGTGGGGCATGGGGGAGAACAGAAGGGCAAAGATCAGCAACGGGGAGGGAGGGGGAAGAGTAGTGGGGCAGCGGTGCTGCCGCAGGTCCACTATGGAGTATATAACGAGCTGGTGTGGGGCATAGGGAAACAGCGGCAAAGAGGGCGGCAGGGGGAAGGGAAGCGGGATGAAGGAAGCAGCGGTGCTGCCGCAGGTCCACTATGGGGTATATCACGAGCTGGTGTGGGGCAGGCGGTGATGGGAGGGGGCACAGCGGAGAATCGACGAGTGGCAGCTTCACAATAGGGTAGATCACGATTCACGAGCTGCCACGGCCGCATGGGGGACCAGTGTGGGGTATATCGCAAGCTGTTGTGGGGCAGGTTACAGGTTTGTCCGCCCGGATGAGCTTGCAGGGCTTTTTTGAGAATTCTAATAAAACTCCACCCACATCAGCTTGCCTGTAACAGGGTGGGTCAGCCCTGCACCAGCTGGCTCACCTGACCAGGTCCATGGTATATGACCTTCCCGCCCCAGAAGGAGACGGGTGGATCACCATTTGCCATAGCGCATATGACACTTGAGGCGCCTGAGGAAACCACCCCTTCCCCCTCTCATCTCCACCCCTTCCCCCTCCCATCTCCACCCCTTCCCCCTCCCATCTCCACCCCTTCCCCCTCCCATCTCCACCCCTTCCCCCTCCCATCTCCACCCCTTCCCCCTCCCATCTCCACCCCATCTCCACCCCATCTCCACCCCATCTCCACCCCATCTCCACCCCATCTCCACCCCATCTCCACCCCATCTCCACCCCATCTCCACCCCATCTCCACCCCATCTCCACCCCTGCACCAGCGCTCACCTGACCCGGCCCATGGTACGTGACCTCCCCGCCCCTCTCCGTGACGAACAGATCCGCGCCACCTGGCAGCGCGTCAGCCGTTGGATCGAATCTGAGGTTCGCGCGATCGCTGCGGGTGCCAAGGGTGTAGACTGGGGGGTGCTGCACTAGAAGGAGGATGTCAGGGGGGAGGGAGGAGGAGGATGAGGACGAGGAGGGTGAGGAGGAGGAGGAGGAGGAGGAGGAGGAGGAGGAGGAGGAGGAGGAGGAGGAGGAGGAGGAGGAGGAGGAGGAGGAGGAGGATGAGGAGGGGGGGTGCTTCACTTGTTCCTCTCTCTGTTGTTGCTGCTGTCGTGTCTGCTGCCGTTGCTGCTCCAGTTGCTCTTCCTGTTGCGCCCTGTCAGTGAGAGCTCTATGCCGCAACGCTACCACCTGTCGCTGCCACTCCCATGCCGTGCGGTATGGCGTCAGGCGGTCCGAGAGGTCTATAAGCACACACGGCCGCTCTGTAGCGGGGTTAGATTGAACCGGGAGTTGGCAGGGAAGGGTAGGGAGGTTACGGAGGCGTGAAAGGGGGGAGGGGGGGGGAGAGAGAGGAGGATGGGGGGGGGAAGGGGTGGAGGGGGGAGTATGGACAGTATTTTGGGATGAGTTAAGGAGAACGAGTGAAGTGGAAGGAACGGAAGCAACGAGTAACCGGGCGAAATTGATCCGCGGCAATCGTTGCAAACAAGGCACGCTCGAGCCTGGCCACCTCCCCCGACGCACCTCCCCCGACGCACCTCCCCGGACGCAACTCTGGATATGATTTTTGGAACTCTCGGGAACGTCTCTCGCGACGTACCTCCTAGGTCAGACAATTCCGACGGCTGCTCGACGCTACCGCGATCGGCGCGCGCGGCACTGGCCAATCGTGACGACCGCGCAACGACTATCCGGTTGCCGTTCAGGGCCCGTGGTATCGGTCCGCCGCTGCTGCTGCTCCGTGTAACGCGCAAGGCGGGTCCGGTGCGCACTCGCGCTCTTATTGCCCATCCCGTGAACGTGCTCGGTCGCGAAATTGCGAAAGCTAAACGACCTGTACGCGCTATAGAAGCTGAACGCACTAAACGAGCAGCTGATATCGGAAGTGCCTTTTGAGCCGGCTCAAGAGAGACATGTCGAGGACAAGGCGACGGCGCCATAGCCATCGCCGTCAGAAGTTGACTATTGTGCTATTCGACCCAATTGGCCATGGATCATCCTCGGACTAGCGCGAGGAGGCAAGCCAGCCAGAAGAACTTCGAAGCAAGTGATCAGGATAAGGCATCATGCATACATATACACATTCTACAGTTCTAAATGGGTATTGCCACCTCGAAAGGAATCCTATGTGGATAAATAGGCTGTCTGAAACGGGAACAGAACGATTGTTCTGGAAACCCAACCACTGAATTTCGGAGCTCCTTCCACCGCATTCGACGTGATTGAGAAGATGCGTGCATGCATGCATCTGCAGCGTCATCCTATCCGCTGGCGTCACATCGGCCTCACACATTTGCAAGTTTCCCCTCCCCTTCCGCCCCCTTTGCCCCCAAAAGCCAGCCTTGGCGGAAGGCACTCTACCATAGAAGCTTTTTAACGTACTGTACCGTAGTGAAATGTTTTAAACCTGCCGAAGCTCCGCACCTCGCCCTAATCACTCCCCTGAACAGTTCGCGCGCGGTACGTTCAAGGGCCACGTATGCAATGAAATTCGGGGGATGCAGGGGCAGGAGGAATCAGGTCAGCAGGCGACCACGAGGAGACAACAGGGAGAGAACGAGCACGGTATAAATCATCAACTGCCATGTCATTCCCACTCAAATCAACAACGTTTTTTTCCTCTTCCTGAATTTCACTTCCACGCTTCTCCTTCCGCCTTACACGCCCTCTCCACGTACCATTTCTTCATCAGCCTCAGCCATGGCTGCCTTTGTCGCTGCTCCCCTGCTCGCCGCGCCCGCTGCTGCTGTTGGCTTCGGAGTGAAGACCAGCCGCCGTGTGTCCGTCCGTGCTGAGGTGGGTGATACGCGGATTTAATTAGGGCGTGCATGGTCACGATGAACTTGCATTTGTGTAAAAATTCCCAACCCAACACCCGCACGACGAACGACGACATTGATCTGTCGATAATATTACTCAGATGACAAGGAAGTACCTTTGAATGCTCCAGTTTTTGCAATGTGCCCTGTACGCACCGGACAGTTTCTCATTGTACGTAAAAATGTGTTCCGAGCACACTAGTCTACGCCATTATGTGAAAACAACAATCATCCTAACTTATCCCTCGTCGAATGCCGACCGAAAGGCTTCTCGTCGAATTTTATTCCCATCCTTCAAGGAAGTTCCATCAACCCTTCGCTCCCGTCCGTCTCACTCCGCCGTCCCTTCCCGCCGTCCTCTCTCCACTTCCTCCTTTTCGTCCGCTTCCTTGTCCCTAGGCCAACCAACCGTCGTCAGAATTTTCACTCTACTTGACACACCTTTCGCTCTCCCCACCAGGCGGCCAAGGGCGAGGTGGCAGTGGTGATCAACCCCGCCATTCAGAAGGACGTGGAGAAGGTTGCTGACGCCGTCGTCGTGGGGGAGCTCCAGAAGCCTGTCACCGCTTACTGCAGGCACGTGTCATGTTGACCCTGAACTTGCTGATTTGCATTTGAGAATTCTTGTAAGCTCCTCCAACGTCGTGGGAGAGCTCCAGAAGCCTGTCACCGCTTACTGCAGGCACGTGTCAACCTTTAACATGCTGATTTGCTCTATGCCTCTATGCCTCCATAGAAAATGCACCTATTTGCCAGTGGCTATCCTGCCTCTCCGAGTAAAAAGAAAGTGCCGCAGGCCTCCCCTTTTCCTTCTCGCACATGGCTGCGTACGATGGGATCGAACACAATTCCCGTCGATTCTCACTGTCTCCATCACGCCCCCTCCCCCGTCATTCCTAGATGATTGCACAACCCTCACCCAGTGCTGGTGTAACAAGACCTCCTCACACCCCTTCCCTCCTCTACCCTTCGCCCACTTTCCCTCGCTCCACTCTTCAGCTCTGCCCGTTACTAATCCCCTCGCTTTCCATCTTTCATACGTGTTCCAATTATTGACTGCAATACTATTTTTCAGGTGCTGGCGCTCCGGGACCTTCCCCCTGTGCGATGGCACACATGTGAAGCACAACAAGGCGACTGGAGACAACGTGGGACCTCTGGTGCTCAAGAAGTGAAAGGGTCCATGATTGTGATATAATAAGTCTTGTGCTGCGTGCATCATGTTGTCGATTCATGGAGTGCGTGTCTCTAGTTTATTGTGCTGAAACACAATAGTACCACCATCAGCTCCTCTTGAATGTACATGATTGTCTCTGGCTCCACTCAGTCTCAAACGTGAATCTTTTAAAACTCTCCAGGATGATGGAACTGGAATATAGTATGTGCACGTAACTACGCTTGTGTGTTTTTGTTCCGCCACCTTTACCAGGTGTGACTAACCTGAATACTGGCAAAAGAAGAAGTCAGGGTCTTGGCACCTACGAGTGTAGACTACGGTTCACAACCAGGAAGGGACTGACTACGGTTTGTTGAAGGGACTGACTACAGCTGCAATGATCTTATGAAGGGAATAACAAGATTGTATGGCACATGTATGCTGCATCAATTTCAGCAAGAGGATCCATTCATGACTCCTTGCAACAAAAATCTCACACCTCTCATCTATCTCCTCTTTTGAGATCCGAATCCCCAAACCACCCCACCCCACCCCACTCAACATGACCATCTAAACCAGAAAATGTGCTGCACAGCACAAGTGACATACCCCAGCCAGCTAAAGAACCATCAGCTCCGAGAGCTCCGCAAAAAACCCGCTGCAGCTCAGCCCAACCCCAGGGAAATCAGAATTTGCTCTGCCACAGGGCCAGCAGGTTCCCCAAACACTAACTCAAACAGCGGAGCCGGCAGCAGCACAACAACCCCAGTCACCAGCAACCCCACCCCAAGACACACCCTCACAGGGTCGGGAGCCGTAAGCGCCTCTGACACCGGCCTTCTGATCTTAGCAAGGGCGAGGAGAGGCAGGAGAAGGAACAGCAGCACCCAGGTCCAGGAAAAGTTGAGAGGGATGGAGACGAGAAGCATGATTGTAACCGCGGTGGTTGCGAGGGAGAGAACGAGCGGATCTCGAACGAGAGCATAGAGAATGTCGCCTCCTGGGAGGCCGACAGCTGGCAGGAGGGAAACGGCGGACACGTGAAGGCCTAGAAGACCGGCGAGAGCCAGAGGATGGATGACTAGGGTTTCAACGCTGCTGCTGGTGGTGGCTGTAGCGATGGCGGTGGTGGCGGTGGAGGCGATGGTGTTGGTGAGATCAGCAGCAGCTGTGGAGAGCGAGGTGATGATGTCGCTGCTGCTGCTGGCGGTATCGGCGGCGGCGCTGCTGCTGTTGATGATACTGCTGCTGGTGGTGCTGCTGGCGGTGGTGCCGAGAACACTGGAAGCGAAAGAAGAGGCGATTTCGCTGCTGAAATTCGTGAGTCCTGATCTTGCAGCAAGCGCTGCTATCGCATCTGCTGCTGCTGCTAACCCTGCATCCCCTGCTGCCGCCCCTGCCTCTGCTGCTGCCGCTGCTGCTGCCGCTGTTGCCGCTGCCGACTCTGCTGCTGCTGCTTCTGCCACTGCCGCTGCCGCCGCTGCCGCTGCTGCCGTTGCTGCTGCTGCTTCTGCAGCTGCTTGGACCTGGGCAGGGTCAGGAGTCCGAATTACAGTGGTAGAGAGACGTATCAGCAGCTCATGCAGCAACGCAGAATGCTGCAACAGGCCTGGATTCACTGGGATAACCCCAGACACGGATCCTCCTGCTGCCGTTGCTGCTGCTGCTGCTGCCGCAAGCTCTGAAACTGCCGGTTCAAATCCCAAAGAAGCGAGGTCGGAGGGAAAGGAGAACGGGGCGGGAGGGAAGGGGAACGCGGCGGAGGCTTGCAGGAGAGCGAAAGAGGAGAAGATAGCAGCAGAGGAGGAGAGGAGAGTGAGGTCCAGGAGAGCGACCCTAGAGGGGACTGGCGCTACAACCTGTGTGATAAGCGTGACTAGGCCGATATCCGGAGCGAATAGCGGGAGGAAGTACAGCGGCGACGGGGGCTTGGCTGTGTCCGTCCGATACGACCACGCCCAGACGTATTGGCCAGCCATGGCCGCACCAGTAGTGGCAGCTACACCTGCATAAAACCCTAGAAGAGCCCAGGCGAGGTCTGCCGAGGAGGTGAGGGCTAGATCGGGCTGGACGAGGGATTTGAGAGAGGCTAGCGTGAAGGCTGCGGCGCCGGCGGTGATGGGGAGGGGCAGGCCTGGTTGAAGGAAAACGTCTCTTCGCACAACGAAAGCTGCGCACGTCGTGTAGAGCGTCGGCGCGTTGCCCGTCTGAAACTGGCCCCACTCGTTCCAGTTCCCTCCCCCCCCGCCTCCGTCTCCTCCTCCTCCTGGCCCCCCGCCCCACCCTCCGTCCCTGTCGTTCTCTCCCCCCATTCCTCCTCCTCCGCCCTTGAACATGTCATCCCCAACATCCATCGCGTATTGCATCGAGTCTAACGACACTTCAAGATTCGGAAAGCTTCGTCTCAGCCGGGAATTCAGCGCCGCGTATACCTCCCCGGCCTCCCTCCCCTCGGGCAGCTCAAACGCAAAAACTTTCCCGCCGTACGGCCCGGGCACGCACGTGACAATGTCGACGGCTGCCCCGGGCCCGAAAACTTCCGACCGAAGATTCCTCTCGTCAAGCCAGTTCAGCGCAGCTGGGGGGAAGGCGGTATCAGAGTTGCCTTCTAGAGAAATGTCTAGAAACAGGCTGAGCGTGCCTGCAACGTACACGCTCACCCGCTCGTTCGTCCAATCCGTGACCACCTTCCCATCCGCGTCGTACCACACGTACTGCTTCTCCAGATTCGCGCGGAAGAAATCCGTGCCCGCGCGAACCGCGGCCGCCATGGCGTCGTTCGCCTTCTCCTGCGTCATCACGAGCATCTCATTGGTGTATAGCTCGTCCAGGAGCGCCGCGAGCGTCTGCACGTCGCCCTGCCACGTGGCGCTTAGGTTCCAGGATACTAGCCACCGGACTACCGCGCTCCGGCATAGCTCACCTAGATCTATGTCTAAATCCATATCCATATCGTATTCCATTGCCTCGGTATCTGAATCCTCATCTCCCTCTACCCTCCCTTCCTCCCGCTTACCCTTCCCTTCCTTCCCCTCCTGCTTCGCACCTTCCGTTCTGCCCCCGTCCTCCCCCTCCCCCTCCCCTTTCACGTCCCCCTTTCCGTCCTGCTTTCCCTTCCTCTCCGCCTGCCCCTCTCGCTCCCCCTCTGCTTTCCCCTTCCCCTTCCCTTTCTCCGCCTCCTCATACCTCTCCTCCTCGAGCTCTTCAAAAGCCGACTCGAGAGCTTCGATCATCTCCGCTATATCTATATCCTCTTGCGTTACCCGCACCACCTGGCCCTCTATAATCACATCCTGCCCGCCCTCCGCGACCTGGCGGTCCTTCTCACCCCCCGTTGCAGTCACATCCGACCCCCTCCCTCGAGCTGCGACATCCGCCCCTTTCCCTGCCGTCTCCTTCCCCGCGGTCTCATTTCCTGTTTCAAGAAACGAGTTCAAAAAAGCCGCAGATTCAGCCTTCCCAAGAACACTTATCCTCCCTGCAATCTCGGCCAATATTCTTCCGCGCTCCTTCACCTCCTTCCCGCCCTCCTCTTGTTCCCCATCCCTCCCATCCTCCTTCCCCACTTGTCCCTCCTCGTCCAACCCTCCCCCCTTGACGTCTTTATCACCTGCCCGAGTTCTTACGACTCTCCCGCCCTTCCGCGCGCGAAAGGTGGAGGGGGGAGGGGCTGTGGCGGAAGAGGAGAGGTGGCGGGGAGAACGGGAGCACGGGAAGTTAGCTCGAGAAGGAACGGCGCCTGGTTTTTCAGCCATGGCGGAGCTTGAGACGTGACTATAACGAGGGGTTGAGGAGCTTAAACGGGACGGATTGTATCGGAGGTGGAACTGACGAGAGCTAGCAGTTTTTCCGCTCCTTCCCGCGAAGTTACCATCAAATCGTTGACTTAGTAAGCTCCGTTGACTGGATTGAATTAATCGGCTCGCGCGGCTCGGGCGCCTCGGGCGGTTCGAGGAGATCGAATGAACGGGAAAAGACCCGGGATGAGGTTGATGAGGAGATGTGCGGAAGGGCGCGGGCAGCGGGAGGGCGGAGGCACGAGGGGCCAAAGGGGGGAGGCAGGATGGGAGAATGGAATAAGTCGACATGGCTGGAAAGGGAATCAATGACAGGAGACAAATACTTCACCAAAAACTCTCAGATAATTCCGCGAAAAATAGATCCAGTAGCGGAATGGATCACGGCAACGGGAATCTAGGATCTGCGCAATCAAGATTCGGGTTAGGCTCCAATCAAGCACGTCGGATCAGCAACCGTGACGTGCGGATTCTGTTGCGCCGCCGAATTCGGAAGACGTGCCAGCGAAGTTTCATCAGCTGCTTGCCTTGCCACCTTCCGCCGTTGCCCTTCAGACCTGGCCGTGCGAAACGGCACGATATGAAATATAGAATCCGCGAACCGGGAAAACGGCGCGTCGGATCCGCGCTAACTGCGGCAAGCAACTGGAAAAGGCACAGAAATACGAAAGTTGGGCGTTGCACGGGTGTTTTGGAGTAAGAACGGGGAAAAGGGAGGTCGGGGGAAGAGAAGGCGGGGAAGTGGGACGGGTGAAAGTGGGGAGAAGGGGGAAGCTGGGGCGGGGAATAAAGCGTGCTCCAGAAAGACTGAGTACGTTGCTGTGCAATCTAGAGCGGTTTTTCGAACCGCTCGGTACTCACTCGAAGATTGATACATGAACCGCATGCGAACTCCCGATTGATGTTTTCCCAAGGGAATCTGGTCCGGAGGTGGTAGTACTGTATGGGGGAAGGAAATGTTGAAAGGGGTGGCGGAAAGCGCACCAGCGGGAAGCGGAATCTTGCCACGCTGGAGCAGCAGAGCGGCGCTCCCTGTCCGACAAGGTCGGGAGCTGGCGAGGGCAGATTGGTTGGCGCGGAAAAGTCGAGGATCAGGTGTTTCGATTGTAACACACGCCAAATACAGTGCACAGACTATGCACAAACATAATGACAAGGATCACTGAAAAGGAGAGGGAATGAAGGTGAAGCATATCACTGTTGGAACTAGAATTTCTCTTAGTGATGCACAGATTTTCCGAGGCACAGCGCACTACCTAAAGGGAGTGCCACCAACAGCAGTAGCGGGCTGAGCAGCAACAGCTAGAGGGCTCAGATTAACAGTAAAGGCAAGCGACCAGAGATCCCGCAAAGCTTGTAGTGTTGCTGAACGAGCTTGTGAGAAAACCCTGAAGAGGAGTGAGAGTAGAGAAGCAAGCGGAGAGCAAAGATTAAGTAAACAAAGAAAAAGGGAATAAAGATTAAGGGGTTGAGGGAGTACGAACGCCTAACGCAGACAGGAACGCACAAGCAATCCCCGGGCCCCTCACCTGCTTGCTTGAGCTCGGAACCTTGTGAGGAGCACAAGGGCAAGGATCGCTGCAGCGACCAGAGCAGTCTCAGGGCCGTACTTCCCTGCTGCACGCACCCAAGCAGCCAGCACTGCTAGCACTCTCCGGGACGCAGAGTGAGATGCAGAGACAAGGGTGAGGATCCAGGCGGGCAGGCGAGAGGTGGGGCGGGTTGTTGAGGAGGTGAGGGAGGAAGATGGTGGGGGTTTGGAGAGGGAGGAGGTGTAGGAGGCAGGGAGATGAGCAGATGGTTGAGAGGAGGAGATGTTGTGCTTTGGTGCTGTGGCCGTAGAAATTTCACCTCCCTGCTGCTGCTGCTGCTGATGATGGTGATGGTGATGAGAGGGTGCTGATGCAGTGTCATGCATTGGTACATGGCCAGACGGGGACGAGCGTGCCATACTGCTCCCTGCTCCTGCTTCTGCGACAGCATCTGTGGCAGCAGCATTGGGTGTTGCTGCTGCTGCTGCGGTTCTCCCAGGTGCATCTTGTGTAGATTTTCCCGAGGTGGGATGGAGGGATGAGGCGGCAGGGTGGGATGCGGTTGGGAGGAGTCGGACTGTCAGCGCGAGCTGCTGATCAAGAAACTGGAGCAGCGGTGTTGGGGGAACGGGGAGTGAAGTAGATTGAGATTACAACATTCACAGGAGGTGGGCCGAAGAAGCTGGTAACTTGAAAATGTGAAGCATTTCAAATGGAGGATGAATCTGACTGGCATAGGAGATAACAAAAGTTAAAGAGATTTAGCAAGATAAAAAGGCACTGGTAGGGCACTCATAGAGAGTTGTACCGCAAACAAACAGCAGGAAGTTGATTGGTAAGGGATATGCAAGAAAATTCAAGCAGGAAAGCTGCAACGCAAAATTTCGTTTCAGATAAAAAAAAAGGCAGTAAAGCTTACATCAAGATCTGATGGGGAGAACAACGGGGGATATGACACCCTTCCCTGATTCTGCTGCTGCTGCTGCTGCTGCATGCGTGCGTGCACGAGCCACTGTCTCGCCCCACTCACATCTCCCAGCCCTTGCACCAGCACCGTACACACGTGCACCTGTGCACACGCCCTCGCTACCTTTCCCCACGGCCTCTGTTTTGATGTGGTGGTGTGGCTCGTGGTGGTGCTGGTACTAGAAGCATCGGTGGTGCTGGTGGTGTTGGTGATGGTGGTGCCAGTGGTGGTGGTGGTAGTCAATAGCTGTGTGAACAGATCTTCTAGGGCTACTCGGGCTGTACGAAATTCCCGGGCAGATACAGCAAGAGAAAGCCTGCGAGGATTGGCAGGGAGAGTTGAAGGGGAAATGGAATGTTTTCGGGAAGCAATACCCTACCAAACAGAAGAAGAAGAAGAAGAAGTACAAAAACAATCAAAAAGACTCGAAATAGGAAGAAAATACCATATCTATACACATACTTGCAGCTTCTGCAATGATGATATCAGCTAAAACTATTGTAGCTACTGGCGATTTGAAGAATGAAAAGCGTTACCATATCAGGAACAGAGGCGGAGGCACGTGGTGGAGAGCACCAAAGAGGCGCCTGAACTCTGAGAGAACCTGAGAGTGCCTGCCGGCACAGGGAACAAGGTGAGGTGGGATTGGGGTTTCAATGCAGGAGGTTTCTAGGTTCAGGGTTGCAGAATGTTTCGTACTAGCCATGGCAGACTGTTTCCGTGTACAAACCAGAAAGGAACTTGAACCTAGAGACAACCCGCGGACGCCAATAGCATCAGGAAAAGGGAAAGAATGTGACGCCAAGGGGATAGGAGTTGGGAGGAAAGCAGGGGAGCAGGAAAATCTTGGAGGTTGGAAGTTGGTTGGAAGGGGGGCAACTGCTGGATTGTGCACAAGTAAGAGGGTTACCACACAGCATTGTATGTTTCTGCCTACCTGCCCATTCGGGAGTTCGCCTGCACCCAAACCACTCCCACCGCCTCTACCGCTGCTGCTGCTGCTGCTGCTGCTGCTGCCCCTGACTCAGAAAAATCCCCATTGCTTTCCCTCTTCTCTCCCTTCTCCCTCCTCTTCCTCCACTTTCTATCTTCTCTTCCCTCCTGCATCCCCTTCTCCTCCCCTCCCCTCTCCCCCTTCCCTTCCCCATCCTCCCCGCCCGAAGCTAGCCCCTCCCCGTTCTCCCGCCTCCCCTTCCCCAGAAGTTGTGCCAGCAGACGCTCCGCCAGCCTTGCTGCGGCTGCGGGTCTCCCTTGGAGCAGCAGGCTGGGGGTGGGGAGGGGGGAGGGAGGGAGGGGGTGAGGGGGAGCTATGAGATGACTTTTGAGTAGACTCAAGAGTCACCTCGGAGCTATGGGACGGCTATATTGAAATCACTTTTGAGAATTCTCAAAAGTGAACTCAAGAGTCACCTCGGAGCTATGGGACGGCTATATTGAAATCACTTTTGAGAATTCTCAAAAGTGAACTCAAGAGTCACCTCGGAGCTATGGGACGGCTATATTGAAATCACTTTTGAGAATTCTCAAAAGTGAACCCAAGAGTCACCTCGGAGCTATGGGACGGCTATATTGAAATCACTTTTGAGAATTCTCAAAAGTGAACTCAAGAGTCACCTCGGAGCTATGGGACGGCTATATTGAAATCACTTTTGAGAATTCTCAAAAGTGAACTCAAGAGTCACCTCGGAGCTATGGGACGGCTATATTGAAATCACTTTTGAGAATTCTCAAAAGTGAACTCAAGAGTCACCTCGGAGCTATGGGACGGCTATATTGAAATCACTTTTGAGAATTCTCAAAAGTGAACTCAAGAGTCACCTCGGAGCTATGGGACGGCTATATTGAAATCACTTTTGAGAATTCTCAAAAGTGAACTCAAGAGTCACCTCGGAGCTATGGGACGGCTCAAATGTGCGCCAGCAGGCGCTCCGCCAGCCTTGCTGCGCCTGCGGGCCTCCCTTGGAGTAGGAGGCTGGGGGGACGGAAGAGGTGGGGAAGGGGGAGGGGAGGGGGAGGGGGGAGAGGGGGACGAGGGGGGAGAAGGGGGGAGAGTGGGAAAGGCTACTTTGCAACATCTCAAATCCCGTGGAACTGGCGGCTGGGGGAAGGAGGACGCGGGCGGGAGAAGGAGGGGAGAAGGCGGAGGAGGAGAGGGGGAGGGAGGATGGATTTGCTACTAGTCCAAAAGCTAGCATCACAACCTTTTAGAGATTCTGAGTCGCGTTCACGAAATGCAAATCCCGTACCCCTTCCGTTATGTCTCACCTTTCAGCAGTCTTAATTCGAGCCCACGGCACGTCCTTCCCAGGGAGAGGTTCGACGTCCCCCATACAACCAGCTTCGTCTTTGCGCATCCCCGCTATTGCCGGAGTGGCAGAGGCGACTTGTCTTGTTTTACTCGTCACTAACGCAGCGCTCGCCATAGGTGGAGTCGTTGTGACTATTCCGCAACGCGTAGTCGCCGCTTAAGCCAAAACAAACGCGTGATGGTAACGGGTTCTTGAGCGCGAATCCGGGCTCGAGAGAGCGTCGATTTTAGCGTCCGAAATAGTGCAAGGCGGGCAGCGGAAATTTCGCCACACGTAGGAAGAAAATAAGTTCATGATTCCCCTGAGAACCAGAAATGGTAACTCGCACGGAGGACGGATGCTTTTCAAAGAACGCTATCGCGAAGCGAAAGGGTTCACGAAAATGTACGGGCTTCGCCGAATCCAGGCTTCGCTTCGTTAAAACCGAGCCTTAACGAAATTAACCACTAGTGTTGTTGAACCATAGTCGCTATGTAGAATCATGAATAAAACAACCCTCACGTACACCCCTAACAGCACAATCCAGTAGTGCAAGCAGGGCCCACTGTCCGATAACCCGATGGTACATCTTCTGTGAATGCTTTCATGCCCTATGTACAATGCCAGTGGCATCCAATCCAATGCTATGGTCAAAGGTGCCTGCCTGCCTGCCTTCACAGTTATCCACCAATCCAAAGAAGCTACTGTGTAGCCTTGGCCGTAGTGGTATATGCCTAATGAGCAGCTGCAGTGGATGATTCTGCAGCATAAAACGGTTGGAACGGTGGGTCTTCTGCGGCCACTTGAAGCCAGTTGTCGGACGGATATTCCGCCCCGTCCGACTCGACAATGTGCATGGAGTAGGCGTGGCGTGACACGGGGGACTTGTTCTCGTAGCTGGGATGAGATGGTGTGAGGGAGTGATGGGGTGAGAGATGGGATGAGATATTGTCAAGATGTGTGGGGTGGTGTGAGATGGTGTGAGACGGTGGAAGGTGGTGTGTGATGGTGTGCGGGGGTGTGTGATGGCAGTGTAGCGAAGGATGATCCATAAACAATCCCACAAAGCAGACAGCAACGAGGCCAGAAGGAACAGAAGGGCAAGACACCTGATACACCATTTGCTAATCAAGGGGTTGAGCACCGTAGAAGGGACACGAGACCAAAACTAGACCAGACCCACACATCTCCCCCCTCAACTCACCTGAAGTGCACGAGCTGGCCGTGCAGAATGACAGCAGTGCCGGCCCAAAACCCTGCCCATTCATCCAACTAAACGCATCCAAATCACCCAGCCCCAAGCAGACCCACACATCTCCCCCCTCAACTCACCTGAAGTGCACGAGCTGGCCGTGCAGAATGACGGCAGTGCCGGCCTTGACTGGGACAGGCACGAACTGGGTGAGGTCGTATGTGGGGCTAGGCGCGTCAAACGTCACCCCGCCCTTGCCGTCCCGCATGAACCGCCGAGCTAGGGGGTCTGCATGGACAAGGGGGGAGGGAGGGGGGGGCCGGGGGCGAGGGGCAAGGAGGGAGGGGGAAGGAGAGAGAAAAGCGGGGGGAGAAGAGGGGAAGTAGGTCTGATGTTGCGGCACCTCAAAATAAGTCGTATGTGGGACTAGGCGCGTCAAACGTCACTCCGCCCTTGCCGTCCCGCATGAACCGACGCGCTAGGGGGTCTGCATGGACCCGGGGGAAGGAGGGGGTGTGGGTGTGGGAAAGAGTGGGGGCTGTAAGTAACAAGAAAGATCGCGAGAGGGAGGGGGTGGTGGGAGAAGACAAGACAACGTACTCTTGTTTCTACACGTCTGCACCGGTCCGTGAACTTACCTATGCATTCTCCTGTGCGCGACCATCAGCGCACAGCACACTCACGCCCAACATACACCCACCTTTGTGTGAGCCCGGAAGCGCGTACAGGCAGCCGTTGTGTTGTCCACTGAAACGTCCTGCACCGCCACCTACACGCCCACACACGAGGGGAGAGAGGAAGCACACCCATGGGCGCTGCCTATGCATACCCACCAGTGACACACACATACACATACCCTTGTGCGAGCCCGGCAGCGCGTACAGGCAGCCGTTGTCCACTGAAACGTTCTTATCTGCACCGCCACCCACACGCCCACACACGAGGGCAGAGTGGAAGCACACCCATGCGTGCTACCTACCAACACACCCCGCCAGTGGACACACGCACCATCCACATGCACACCACATGCACACCCACCCACCCTTATGCGAGCCCGGCAGCGCGTACAGGCAGCCATTTTCCACCGTGGCGTCCTGCACGGCCACCCACACGCCCACACACGAGGGCGGGTCCGTGTACAGGAACGAGCTGTCCTGATGCGGCACCACCTCGCCGCCTATGCCTGGTTGCTGCAGGGGGACAGGGAAGGGGGGAAGGAAAGGGGAGGGGGGTTGGAGGCTAGAGGGGTGGGGAAAGGGGCACGAGGGCGGGTCCGTGTGCAGGAACGAGCTGTCCTGATGCGGCACCACCTCGCAGCCTATACCCGGTTGCTGCAGGGAGAGGGAGACAGGGGGGTGGGGGAAGGCGGGTGTGGGGGGAAAGAGGGAAGAGAGGGGGTGGGGGGGTTAAGCAGGTCTGTGTACAGGAACGAGCTGTCCTGGTGTGGCACAGCACCACCTCGCCGCCTGTACCCGGTTGCCGCAGGGGGGAGCGAGAGGTGGGGGCGAGGGTTCGGGGGGGGGAGGGAGGGGGGGAATGCATCAACGCCTTTTCGGTTGCCGCAGTAAGAGGAGATGGGGAACAGAAGCGAAGGTACGCTTCATGCAAAGGCCATGATAAAAGCTGCTGCTGGGTGGGGGAAGTGTGAAAGGAAACAAGCAAGCACACGGTGCGGAGAGCCGATCTGTCACCTTCTGTATTGTAGTCTGCAGGGAGTTTTTGAGAATTCTCAAAAACTTCTTACAGGCATGTTTTGCTATTGCCATAGCAGCTCGACTCACATGCACCACGAATATGTACCTATACTGAACAGACATGGGAGCCAGCAGCACCAATAGTCAACTCCAAAGGGCGCCTCAGAGACTGAACAGTGAACACACACACACACACACACACACACACACACACACACACACACACACACACACACACACACACACCAATGTCTTGAATCCTCTCCTCAGACTCAAGCGCACCTTGAATATGTACATGGATTGGACGGGCAAGGGCCGCCGGAAGCCCAGAGACTTGCAGAGGGAGGCGACCTTAGAGGAGCGAGACAGCGGGCCGAACACACTGTCCAAATCGTGTAAGGCTGGGTGGAAACAGGGCAACGAGAGGGGGAGAGGGAGAAGCACGGATGATAATTATATTCCACTGCCCCCCCACCCTCCCCTCCCCCCCACCCCAAAAGTTATGAAACAAACAGAACAAAACACAAGGGCTCAAATCAGGTGCCAACTCTTACCCACCATGCCCCACTTTGTTGATGGCAAGCTTCTTAGGCTTCACCAGCTTCTTGTCTGCGTCAAACGCCTTCTCTGCCGAAACAAAGGCATGACACAAACGAGGATACGGGAACAAGACTAAAAACTCCAGAGGAGGAACCGCATACACTTTTTGTTGTTCGTGTAAATACATTTGTTGAGCAGCCACTCCCACACACAGTGATAGTTGACTTTAGTTTTGAGCCGATTCAAAAGTCACCTAAATACATTTGTTGACGAGCCGCTCCCACACACAGTGGTAGATCCGGATGGAAAAACCGAGCTCTGATATAAGGCAGGCCCCAAGAGTGATCCGAAACTGTGCAAAACGGCACGGGCATCCCAAGAGGTGTAGCTTGCGCCCACATAGACACGCGCTAGTTTACCTTCGAAGAAGAAAGAGACTCGTCTGCCGCTGTCGAGGAAATGATCGTTGGTCAGGCGGGCCTGGTCCGTTGAGAGAAAGGCGATGGGGAGAGAGGACAAGAGGCGTGAACAGAGAGAATGAGAAGAGGAGCCGTTTGAGAAAGGGTGGGACAGCGCGAAACGGGAGTGGGTGGGAGACGAGGTGAAAAGCTCACGGTTCCATAACTGCTTGGTTTGCTCATTCTGTAGGAATATTCAAACGGCAAAAAGTTGCTGGCTCGCGGCAGTGTGGGACAGACAAGAGGAGACGGAAGAGCATAAAATGAGAGAGTTAGTACATGAGTCATGCTGGCAAGGAAGAGCCATGCACGCCACGGGACGGGAATCACGCGTTCTTCTTGCACGACGGATGAACCTCACTCCATCGCGCAGGCTCAACCCCATCCCCACCCCGACCCCCACCCCCATCCCCACCCCGACCCCCGCCCCCACCCCCCCACCCCCATCCACCACCCCCTACCCCCACCTGATCACGCGTGCTGAAGACGTTGACCGTGTTGGGGTCGAAACCCTCCAGCAGCTCGTCGATTCGCTGCATCATTCGGGAGCAATCGTCCGACGACAAGAAATCTTCAAGCACCAGATAGCCTGTTCAATTTTGAAACGCGCACAGAGGCTTGAAATGTTGAGAGTAAGCGAGTTCCGTGTTCAAAGCGTGGGAGCTAAGGATGCTTTTGTACGGAATGAAAAAAAAGGAACGAAATAATATACGACACAAGGTACGAAGGCGTCTTCTTACCTTGATCAAGATACTGCTGCTTCTGCTCCTCAGTCAGTCCCTCCACGTGGCCCGCCATGGTTTGACTAAAATGGCACTGCAGTGCTCGTTGTACTTTAGTTTATAGTTACAGCTGGTTGCTGGTTGCGGTAAGACGCCGAGGCGCGGATGGATGCCTGAAAAGAAAGCTGGTATTGCAATGAGAAACTGACCGCGAGTTTCAGAACTGGAGTAGGAAACAACCAGAAAGGAGTACACAAGGAGTGCCTGACAAGCAGCCAAGAATTAACTTAAAGCTCAAGGCCCAAATTGTTCAGGATTACTAAAGTTGACCCTTGGGTGGTGGGAAAGCAGAGTAGGAAAGTCGAGGTGTTTGAGGGGTGTAGGGGTTTGGTTTCGCCCAGCTTCTCGCCACACTCAAAACAAAATTCGCTGACTCAGCAAAGCCTAGGGGACGCTCAGGTTTGGTTGCGCGAGTCCCATATTGCACAAATATTACTCTTGCCAGTTTCCCGCACCACCTGTTCCATTCGCTGACTCAAATGTTCTGGCCAATCAGATGGCTTCGTACATCTCGTAACCACAATTCGCCCAGCTAAAGCTGCAAAGCAGCACTCGATCAACCTTACTAAACTTGCCTCGCGCGGCCCGCAATTCGATATTTCGTTTCTAGGCTCTAGGACATGTCAGAAGTGCAGGTCATAGAAGAAGCATGAGGGGTTGTTCGAAGTGGCGTGTTCTCCGAAAATACGAAACAAGAGTTACGTATTGCATTCTCGTGTTAATGCAAGATCTTGCGGTGCGGAGCATAAGGAAGGAATTTGTATCGTAAGTGTGCCTTGTACTGCAACTTGGAGTGGAGTCTGCTTGACACTGGCAACAGCAGACGGCGATGTGACGTGGCGGAATCTCCTCTGACGTGTATGTGAGCTTCGCTAGAGACTAGGTGCTCTTATAGATATAGAAAGGCAAATGAACAATCCACTGAAACCTCAAGGTTTTTTAGCACATCAAGTATTAAAAGACTCACGATACTGAACCTTTAGATACACCTACAAATAGCACTGCCTAGCCCAACCTCCCAAACGCAGCAGAAAACCTACTTTATGAAGCAGGAAACTGCTTTCTAACTCCATTGCTTGCATACTCACTACCTTTTTGTGGAACCCTGTCCCCGTTTCCATCAAAGAACCGGCCACCTTTGACAATCTGTGGCACTCCAGTGACAACTCGAATGAACGCATCTACAGGCGACATGTACTCCACATTCTCGTTCGGCGCCGTGACTCCACGAATGAGAGGAACAATGGCAGCTGCAACAGTCTCTGGTTCCTCTGGAGAATGGGATTGCAACAGAAGCGGGTTTTGAGGCGTGACAAAGGGGGATGACAAGGAAAAGAAAAGATGCAGATGTCGAGGAAAAGTTGACAAAAAAGTGGAGCCATGCTGCCCATTTGATAATTAAAGCACTGCAAACGAAAATGAAGGATCCAGCTGCATCAGCCATCCATCGCCCCCTACTTGTGCACCTGCGAGTGCATTGAAGAAGCGGCGTGCGATGGGAGTGGAGTCCTTGAGAAGCAGATCCGTGAGCACCATGCCTGGTGACAGGTTGTGCACCGCTATGCTTGTCAGACCTGGTGGGTGGGAGCATGGCGCACGAATGTGGGGATAATGTGGCACTCATATTGCGGTGTAACTGCAATGGATGCACTGGAACATGTGCAGGGACACATGCAGAGAGACTATCAAATAAGGGAAGTGCTGACATGTGTGCAGAGAGAGAGACATGCGGAGAACTCGCACACACACATGCAGCGACGCAAACAGACGCTCAGATACATGCAGCGACAGCCTACCTGCCTGCTTGAGCTCGTCATTGAGGCTGGTGGTGAGCTGCGAGAGAAAGAAATTTATTCGACTAAAAAATCACCTCCGGCTATTGTCAACGACGCCCTACCTGCCTGCTTGAGTTCGACGTTGAGGCTGGTGGTGAGCTGCGAGAGAGCCATCTTGGTGGCACATGTACAGAGACAATTGCAGAGACACACACACAGAGACACATACAGCCGCCGCACCGTACCTGCCTGCTTGAGTTCGACGTTGAGGCTGGTGGTGAGCTGCGAGAGAGCCATCTTGGTTTGAGACGTCTCAAAACAGACACAAGCAGTGACAGCCTACCTGCCTGTTTGAGCTCGTCATTGAGGCTGGTGGTGAGCTGCGAGAGGGCCATCTTGGTGGCTTTGTGCGTGGCAGCTGAGCGCGTGAATGCTGCTCCCCACCGGGAGAACCCAAGGTTGAAGATGTGGTAACGGGGCGTGGCAGAGGACTGGGTTGCGTCAGCTTGTTGCCGCATCACTCGGATGGCTTCCCTGCAGAGAAGGTTGGGAAGAGAAGGTGGGTAGCAGAGTGAGAGGAGCCGTTTGGTGGGATGGCTGTATCGTGTCAATTATACAAAGGATGACAGGGCCGCAGCAGCATCCACATTCCAATACTTTATGCAACAGGGCATTATGGAACAATAGGGCATCGTTGAAAGAACTGGTGCTTCATGCGAGCACCCCTGGCACGCACAACAGACATTGCACGCAAGCATGCTGCAAAGGAATGCTCCAAAAGTGGCAAACATTTGAGAGAGCTTACCGGCAGCCGAGGAGGGACCCGAGCACATTGGTGCTGACAGCCGAGGCAATGTCTGATGGAGCCACATCTGCAAGCAGCGACTTGGACGTCACCTGGCCTGTATTTGTGCAATAAGGATAGGCGGGCATGTAAGGGGAGTGGAACTTGGAGGGAGGAGCCGACTTTTGAGTCGACTCAAAGGTCAGCCGAAGAGGGACCCGAGCACATTGGTGCTGACAGCCGAGGCAATGTCCGATAGAGCCACGTCTGCTAGCAGTGACTTGGACGTCACCTGGCCTGAACACGTGGAAGGAGAGAGCATGGAAGGAGAGTGGATCTTGAAGGCGGAGCCACAGTAAGGAAGATGGGAAGGGAAGGCTGGGAAGAAGGGAGGGCCAAGAAGAGTGGAACTTGGAGCGAGGATCCACACGAAGGACAGGTTGGAAGATGGAGAAAGGTTGGGGGTTGGGAGGATAGGAGAGGAGTCGGGGGTTTTCAATGAAAGATAGGAGGGGTGTGATGTGATATGCATCTTCGGCCTTGGTAAAGCTCGCGCTCTCTATCTCAAGGTTGATTCGAGAGAGTGCTCTCTTTTACGTGGCCAGAAAGCACCACTATGCTGCATCTACATGCTGGTCAATGACAGTCAATGAAAATCTCCGCTTGCCTGCATTATTGATCCAAATATCAACGCCTCCCATTTGCTCCACCGCAAATCCCGCCAGGCTCGCCAGATCCTCCGCATTCGCCACGTCACAACGGATCCCCCACACGCGCGCACTCGGCGACTCGTCTTCCTTGACGGACTGTCGGAGCGCATCAACGGCTGCAGCCAGGCGATCGTCGTCTCGACCGCAGATGACCACCGAGTCGCCCATCGATAGAAACACTTCCGCCATGGCGTATCCCAGTCCCTTGCTTCCCCCCGTTATAACGACTCGTTTATTCCCTCTCGGCGAAGCGCCTGACGCTTTCGCTGAACTGGAGGTGATTGTAGCAGCATTGGCTTTCACGAGGAGACCATGCGTTGGATTCGATCCCTGGCGCGTTGATCGTACGTCATAGAGCCGAGACGAGCCAGATTTATGTTGTCGAAATTCGTTGCATTGACGGCGGGAGAAGAGAGTAGAGGAGGAAGAATGCAGCGAAGAGTGTGGCTGCGGAGTTGACGGAGTTGCTGCAGATTTGCTGTGTCGAGATGACGAAAGCCGGAAGTGCATTGACGGAGCTGAGGTTGCGACGCGGCTGCTGAATGCGAGAGCCGCCATGGCTATTGCGGTCAGCAGCACTGAGCACTGGACAAAAGGAATGTTGAAGAAAGCGGTGTTTGTGTGAGGGGAAAGAAAAAGGATAGGATTTGGATTTCCGTAGCTCGATAGAAGAGCGGGTGTTTCTGCAAACGGTGAACGGAGAAAAAATTACTACACCAAGAACACAACATGACAACATAGCCAGCAACAGTGAAACAGCAAATTTTGTGTGGAAAATCGCCCATTACTTTCTCCCCCTCATTCTGCATATCGAGGACCCTGATTATGAATTTTGTATGATTTAATTGAATATTAACGGTTTATTGTTTCTTTTCATGGACAAAATTTACATGACCGTTTCATTAATTGTGTTCCTTTAGGGGTTGGAAATCTAAGGTTGCGTATACATGATGTATCGCCTAACTGTAGTGGTATAGAATTCCAGTTCCAGCTGTGGTCTTCCCTCGTCACCTCCCGCACCATCACCTTCAGCTGGTGTGCCAAGTCACGCACATGAGGGTCAGCTCCACATAAGCACCACCCTAAGCTGCGCTGGACATAGTCGCTGCTGCGTTCGCGGAAGCCCAGCTCCAGCAAAGTGGTCCCTCGACTCAAGTTAGCGGCTCGAGGATCCACGATGCCATACCCAAGGGCCAAGGCACATTTGTTGTGTCCAAGGAGCAGGCCCAGGTGGGACCTAAGGAGCCCCACCCAGCCAATCAGTGATCCTCCATGCGAATGGCATGGGCGACGACAGCATCATGGAAACACCGCGCAGTGGGCATCAGCACGCAGCCACGTCAGACCGTAGAACAAACACCCTTTGATAGTTCCGCGCGGTTGACACGGTGTTGCCGGTCCGTCGACATCAGCAGGCGGGCGGAAGGTATTTAGGCGGCTGGAATGGGGAAGGGGGGAGAAGACCCCCATGTAGGGAGGCGCATCGCACTCTAGCGCGGGACGAGTCACGCGAGAGACGCGAGAAGCGCCGCGCGGGAAATCCCAGAAGCGCGCATCTCCTCCTCCTCGCCATAGCGCAGAGGCACATTTCCGCGCGTTCTTGAAGCCGCACATCATTGCGGATTCCGGATTCCGCCACATCATCAGTTCCCGAGCTCCACCTCAGGGTAGCCATGGCGACTTCTGCTCCCACTGCTTCTGCTATCGTCGTGAGCTATTCAAGCTCTATAAATCATTCTTGCTCGCCAGTCTCTTCCGTAGCCCTCGTCAAGCCTTCCGCTCTCAGTTTCAGTTTCAGTTTGGCCTCTCCACACCAATTCCCGACTCGTCGTCTTCCCAGGACGACCCGTAGCACGAACCTCCCGTTACGTTCGAACCGCCGTTCCTTTAAGGAAGCTCGCATCGTTCCGGTTGCGGCTAGACTATCCGCCGGTGAAGAGGCCAGCATGGAGCATTACTCGTTCCCTGAGAGCATCCCGACGGTGAGGCAAGTGAAGTTGCCTGCCGGCGTTCGCGTTCGCGGTGTGATGAAGCCCGCGTACCAGGAAATTCTGACCCCAGGTACTACTCCTCCGGCCATCTTGCAGTCGTCAGGAAATTCACATCTTTCGCCCATTTAATTGAAGATTCACTAGTTTATGAAGGTTGCCTCCCTTAGGTTGGAATAACGATCCGTCAGTTCTTGCAAGTTCGCCTGCTGGAATAACCACGACGAGATGCCTTCATTAATTGGGACAAAGAGTTTCCCCCGCTCATCTTTTTGTTTCTCTTGTCGTTTTCCTCTGCCGCGATGCAGAGGCTGTCGAGTTCGTCGTGGATCTCGTCCGCACGTTCCGCCCGCGCGTCGACTACATCCTGCGCTGCCGCGCGGAGACCCAGGCGCACTACGACGCGGGGGAGCTCCCCACGTTCGCCGCGTGCTCCAAGGCCATCCGCGAGGGCGACTGGAAGTGCGCGCCCACTCCGCAGGTGCTGCTGGACCGCCGTGTGGAGATTACCGGACCCGTGGAGCGCAAGATGGTGATTAACGCGCTCAACTCCGGCGCGAAGATGTTCATGGTGGGTGCTTTGGCTGTTCCTCCTCGTTTGGGAATGTTTAACCGGAGAGATTGATGCAAGAATGAGGTTACAAGACGCATTTCAGCTTGCCCTTGCGTATCAGATCACGAATTCGTTTCGTCTCTCTGTTCGTCACTTCTATCGCTCATTTCTCTCCTTATTCTTCGTTACCTTCACTGCTCGCAGACTGACTTTGAGGATTCGTTGGCGCCCACGTGGGAGCGGATCATGGACGGGCACGTGAACCTGCGCGATGCCGTAAACGGCACCATCTCGTACGAGGACAAGGCCCGCCGCAAGACGTACAAGCTCAACGACAAGACCGCCGTCATGCTCGTGCGCCCCCGCGGATGGCACCTCAAAGGTACGCCCGCTGGCCGTGTAATTGCATGACTGGCCGTCATGACCCTCGAATCAATCACTAACACTAGTAATAGTGGTCTGCTTTGTCAAGGTATAGTTGTACCTGAGCTGTTTCCTTTTTGAATTCGCACCAATGCTGCAAGAATGGCCGCATGTAACAGGAAACGATTTCAATATCTGCCGGCTTCCTCAGTCTTGACTGCCATAATTACCATTTTCACCATGAGCGCTAGACAGGTCTACCAGACAGACCACTTGACATAAATATAATCTTCGCCTTTCTTTTCTCTATGTCGTCGTCGTCTCTCCGTCTCACCTCCACCACTCCGCAGAGGCGCATTTCGAGGTGGACGGGCAGCCTGTCCCCGGGTGCCTGATGGACTTCGGCCTCTATTATTTCCACAACCACGCCAAGTTCCGCGCCACGCACGGCGGCGCGGGGCCCTTCTTCTACCTCCCGAAGATGCAGCACTCGCGCGAGGCGGCGGTATGGAACGCCGTCTTCGAGCACGCGCAGGACCGCGTGGGCGTGCCACGTGGCACGATCAAGGCGACGGTGCTGATTGAAACGCTGCCAGCGGTGTTTCAGATGCACGAGATTCTGTACGAGCTGCGGGAGCATTCCGCGGGGCTGAATTGCGGACGCTGGGACTACATCTTCAGCTTTATCAAGACGTTTCGCGCGCACCCGGATCGCCTGCTGCCGGACCGCCATCAGGTGGGGATGACGCAGCATTTCCTCAAGAGCTACACGGAGCTGCTGATTCAGACGTGCCACAAGCGCGGCGTGCACGCGATGGGCGGCATGGCGGCGCAGATCCCGATCAAGGACGATCCCGCTGCGAACGCGGCGGCGTTCGCGAAGGTTAAGGCGGATAAGCAGCGCGAGGTGGACGCGGGGCACGACGGCACGTGGGCGGCACACCCCGGGCTCGTGCCGCTTGTGCTGGACGTGTTCAACGCGGGCATGCCACGCGCCAACCAGATGGACCGCGCGCGCGACGACGTCCGCGTCACCGCGGAGGACCTAATCGCGATGCCCAAGGGGACTAAGTCGCTGGACGGTCTGCGCGTTAACACGCGCGTCGGCATCCAGTATATCGAGGCGTGGATGACGGGATCCGGATCCGTGCCGCTGTACCATCTCATGGAGGACGCAGCAACGGCTGAGATCAGCCGCGTGCAGAACTGGCAGTGGCTGCGGTACGGAGCGGTGCTGGACGGTGAGCTGGTGCCCGTGAAAGTTACCAAGGAGTTGTTCAGCCAGGTGGTTCAGGAGGAACTGCAGCGCATTCAGCAGGAAGTGGGGGCGAAGAGATTCGCCTCGGGAAGGTTTCAGGAAGCTGCAGCGCTGTTTGCGAGCCAGTGCCTGGCGCCGACCCTGGGTGATTTCTTGACCCTGGACGCGTATCCTTACATCACGCAGTTTGTGCCCGAGGCAAGGCTGTAGAGTAGAAGTGCGTGCTTGGCGCAGGTTCTCCGCTCCGACCTCTGCCCTCTGTTTCTCCATCCATCTGCCTGTCTCTACCTGGTTCTGGGTGCCTTAGCTCCTGCTGCTCCTCTGTGGGGACCGGCTTGTGTGTGAGAGTGCTTCTCGCCACAATGCCCAACCGCTGCATCTGCATCATGCATGGCAAACGTGGTACAGTGTACATATGGGGGTGCATTATACATGTTCCATTCCATATCGTGGCATTTCACATAGTACCTACCCATCTGCTCTCATCTTGCGTATTCTCATCCATACCCCTGATCTCTTTCTCACACTGGTAGGTGTGTTGTGGTTGCTGCTGTGCTTGCTTTTTGCTGCTCTTCTCATCCTTGGTTCTGTTCATTCTCCGCAACTGCTCCTGTGTCAGTTTTGTTTTCCCTAGCTTGTACACTGTATATGGCAATGGAATTACCGTATGTTTTCAGGTTGGAAGGTAATTTTGGCATGGGCATTACCGAAGTACTGCAGGAGCAAACTACTTTCATAACCATAAAGTCCGAACCGAACGTCAAGCTTAGAAGCTACCTTTGTAACCTGATTATGAAAACGACGAGTTCATCATACGGTACAACTCCCTCCCCCCCCCCCCCCCCCCCAAATATAAGAAATATGCACCTCAATACAGGAACCAGACACCTCAATACCTAAGTAGGTGACTTATACGAGAAATAAAAAAAACCTTGGTTCAGGGAATGCATGTATGAGGGCGTGTTCCTACGGCCTCCTATCAGAGCTACCTCATATCAGATAATGAAAGTTGCGGACAACGTTATGC